CTGTCTACTCAGTCTGTTTCTCTCCTGATGGAAATACATTAGCCTCTGGTAGTAGTGATAAGTCTATCCGTCTATGGGATGTCAAAACAGGATAATAAAAAGCCAAATTAGATGGTCATAGTGGATATGTCTACTCAGTCTGTTTCTCTTCTGATGGAAATACATTAGCTTCTGGTAGTGATGATAACTCTATCCGTCTATGTGATGTAAAAACAGGATATTAAAAAGCCAAATTAGATGGTCATAGTGGTTGTATTAACTCAATCTGTTTTTCTCCTGATGGAAATACATTAGCTTCTGGTAGTGATGATAACTCTATCCGCCTATGGGATATAAAGACAGTATAAGAAATTAAATCCTCTGATAAAAACTACAAAGATATTCTTACATAATTTAAGATTCCACTCCAATAACATAGCCATATTTCCGAAGGTAGTATTTATTTCCTATATATTTTTAGCCTCCAATTACATCACTACACTCCTTATATCCTAATCTGCTATATTCTAAGCATAAGGAGCATTTCTCCTCAAAGGAGAATTCATCAATCATCAAGGCACTGATTTGAGACCTTTATTGAAATCCAAAGGTGGCTGTATTTTAGAAGACTTATAGAAAAAGTGATTTTGATCATTATCAAACAACAATAATAATTACAATAAATAACTCAATTTATATTTCTTGAGCTTTAATTATAAATGATACCACATTAAATTAATAATCTAAACAGAGAATAGTAAGCAAAATGAAGAGATTAAAATAAAGAGTGGTATAATTACTTAAAGAAAACTAATTTAACACAATATTCTTGTATAATTCATTTAAGATATTATATGATAGATTTACTTAATTTATTACTGTTTATAAGCAGGATTAGTCTTAAAAATTATTATTAATAATTTTGTAAAATTAATTTATAAATAGGAAAAGATACAATTAATAGCAAAGTTAAGAAATAAGATACATCAAGAATTAAAAAATAAAAGTTAATCTTAGAATTAATTTAAACTATAACAAAGTTAAAACAAATGATTTTTTTAAATTACTCCACTCTTGGTAATATTTTCATAACTTGTTATTATTATTTGCTAATTGAATTTAAAATATTAGATATATTTAAAGACTGAAAAGATTGATTAATCATCGAGAAATACGATATCATTGAAAGGATTAAGATTTAAGGAAATAAATATGTCTTTCCAAATAACTATCTATGAATCTTAATTACTGATTTACTTAAGCTCAACATAAATTTTACATACATCAAATAATAAACATTTATAAATCACTGAGATTATGTATAACCATTGATTACTTCAAGAGGATTTTAATGAAATTAATTAATATCTAACCCAAAAATAATATCCCTTAAGATTTTAAAAACTCATCAACTGATAAAATTTTACAATTAAATTAATAAATGAAGAAATTACCCAAAATTTATATTAAAAGATTGAGGAAAAAAAAAGAATTACAAATTGGTATTATTATACGTCTCCATAAATAGTAGTGGTAAAATACTTTACTTTTTCACCTCTATTAATGAATTCACCCCCTCTAATAAGAGATTAATTGGATAGGAAATCTAAAGAACTAACTAAATATATTTAAGAAGAAAACCAATGATATTTATTATTGGTTTCATGTATATGTTTTTATATGATTACAAATTAGAATTTCTAATTTTTCAATAATTTTAATATTTAAGGGTTATAAATATTTTTTAATCCTTTATTAACATAAATTTAATTTAATAAATATGATTTAATGTTACAGTAGCTCCATGAAATTTATAGTTTAATTTAGCAATTTAATCTTCTTAATTAACATAATTTTAATATTCCTCGGATGATTTTAATTCCTCACTTTTCTCCTCCTGCATCTTCTCCTTCAGACTACTCATCCTCATCTACTTTCTCTTTTAATTATTACCTCCAGTGGTATAGGGGGTAGCCAAACCCTCTATTTAATCGGAGGTAAAAGGTGAGATGAATGCCATTCAGGTGAGAAAAAATCTACTTTTTAAACTATAAACTCTTTTACTCATGATTTCACTGATCCAAGTTTTACAATCATGTATTTTACATATTTTCAGGAGTGAACAAGATTATGTTCCAATATATTCCAATCTTTAAATTGTTAACTGAAATCATTAATTATGCTGAAACAGAGATGATCAACAAGTATGACTCAATCAATCATGTGACTCAATTTAAGTATAAATTAAAATATTAAAAATAGAAATTAAGATATTCTATATTATTAAAGAATAAAACTATGCATATGTTGAAATGATTTCTCAATAGCATAATTTGCCTCTATAATTATCAATTTCAAATCTTCAAAAAGTTCAAACTTCTATTGTGAACCATATTTTAGAGAAAAATTAAATTCTAAGTACCTAAGATATTGACTTTCTTCGCAATCTATATTCAAATATAAAGATCCTGTTTCAAATTAAGTATAATATTTTAATTATGGAGTTTTTAAAGGATAACCCCTATAAGCACACTCTTAAATATTTATAGACACTGGATGAATATTCTAAGTAATATAATTTATCTATAAAAAAAAAAAAAGTGGCATATTTTTATTACACATTCATTCTAAATTAGTTGAAGAAAAGTTATATCCAGTATTCAAAGAATATAAGTATTTAAGGCTACTAATCAGTAATTATGGAATATAAAAGAAGCATGTTCACAATCTTAAATAATCACTTAGTTACATGATCTAAAAGTTAAAATGGATTTCATAACAAATTACTTGGAAATAAAAATTAAAACTATTGTAAACCTCTATCACTCCCCATATTTTGTATCCATTAAGAGTGATTCCTACTTAAAAATATAGTAATATTTCTAAGGCATTAAATGAAATATATAAGGGCAGTTTTAAAGCACCATTTTGGTTTCCAAGAAATTTTCCTGACGAAATCATCAAACTATTGATACCTGAGCTTTAAAACTTAATCAATAATGTAAATTAAGAAGAGAATAGAAGAGTTAATAATTATTATTGAGAGTTTATGATTGTGATATTTGATTAATGTTTGTTAATATCAATAATAATAATAATTCATTCACTTATTCAAGATGATGATGTTCAAATTTGATTACAAATTGTATTTGTATTAAGAAAAAAAATTTATTTTCATAAATTCCTTCTTAGATTGAATAAATTTTCATGAGATGTTAAATTAATTGAAAATCTGTATTTTTCAAATAAGATTTAAGCATTTATTTAACTTAAAATTCTATTTGAGTATATTTTAAAATGTGCTAAATTAATTTGCTGATACTTCAAGATTTATTTAAAAAAAAGCGATAATAAAATAGAACGCAAAAGAGTAAAATTGAATTTAATAATTTCTACTCATATTAGACACAATAAGAATATGATAATGATATAAATTAATTTTTTTTAAATTTATTAATCTCTTTGATTTATGTATTAATCTCTTAAATTTGAAATCATCTTCTGGCTTTACTTTAGGACTAAATTTTTCCATTTAGAATTCAAGTATATTAGCTATAAGTTATAATACTTCAATAATTTATGCAATAATTCAAGATAAGACTTACTCTAGATTGAACACTAAAAATAAATTTAAAATTCTAAAAGCATCTTGTAATTGATAATTTTCCATACAATTATCAATACAATTAATATATGCAAGTTCAATCTAATGAAAATAAATTAATGATATTTTAGATTCTTTTGGAAAATGAAGATTAACATTACTTAGGTATATAAGGGGAGGATTGCAAAATTGTACGACCATTAACGGATAATTAATTAATAGAAAAGCAATGAGTGAACCCAAGTCAATAATCCTAAGAAATAAATAGATGAAAATTTATAATGTTAGGTTAGATGTTGAATGCCCTCGGTTTATGCAAATGATTCTGAATAGAAGTATATTGAATTAAATAAGCTTAGATTGATAAATTTGAGTTATAAGGGAAACAGAAACCCAGGGCAATTGAACATTGAAAAATTAAAAAAAAATTGTTGTATTGATTTGATAAGATTGATAAGACTTAATTATATTATGAATTTGAGCGCAATTAATAATTTAGATTTGAATGATTATTATCAATATGATTATCAATTTTGAATCAAATATTAATCAAAATCAAATTGCATTAATTTTTAGTTTATTAATTACATATTTTAAAAACTTTATAAATTCCCTTCTTTTTATATTATTCTTTATCAGCATCCATTAAATAAACTTATATTTCTGAATATATCAAAAACTTGAAAGGTATAGTCAGTGGACTTATTTAATGTCTAATAATTTATATTTTTTACTTATTATTTTTCAGAGAATATCTCTATTAACCATGTTAAAGGTAAACCTGTATTAAAATAGAATTTCTGTAATATCAATTAGGGAAAGCTATTATAGAGTTGGCAACTCTAACAGACCGAGTTCTTATCAATTAGAAATTAAGCTCCATTATGCATGGAAATTATCATAAGCAGCATCTCTAAATGATTGATTATCTTATTCTTCTAAACAATATCCTTCCTGCTTTTTATTTGGATTAATTATTCAATTATTTTTAAGTTTTTAAAAAAATTCAGTTCCATCATTCTTCAATAAATCAGATAATTAGTCATAAATCACGTTAAGATTTATTTTGATTTTTTTGATGTTAGGAATAATGAATCTTTTGATTTTTGAAAAACCTTGTTAGTTTTTTTAAGGATAAAATTATTTTATTAGAAATTAAACTTAAAATTTAGTAGGGCATAATCTGACATGTGATTGATTTATATTATAAACTAAATAAACTTTTTAAAAGAATCAAATTCTGATCAGTTCTACTTTAAACTAATTTATATCTTTAGAAAGTCATTTCTTATTAAGTATTACATAATTAAAATTACATAACGCAATGTGTTCTTTAGCTTTCTAAAAAAAATTTCTCTTTTATTAAAATAACAGTAAGATAAATACATCATAATATTCATTTCGGGTATGATAATCATTTTAGAATTTCACTAAAATTATTTGAGGTAAGACTTTTTATTTCTAAGTAATAATTGCACCTTAATTCTATAATTATGAATAATGACAGTGAAATAAATAATAGGGGAGGAGTTTAATTGTGCTTGTCTACACTCTTATTGGTATAATATATATTAATTAACTAATTTTAGCGTTTTTACCACAAAAAGATCTTGATTTAACATTCTCAATTCAGCTTGTATTATTGTTGGTTCTTATTTGTTAGTTTACCTGTGGGGTTTATTTGAAAGCGATTTCATTCATTTATTTATTAAATTTAATTATATAAATTATGTGAACTATTTTAAGGAAATTTATCTTGATGGTTCTTTAGATTTACTCAGTCATTATTATTTATTAAAGTTTAAATGTGGAGGATTGAGAATGTATCAATTTTTTTGAAACAGAAAATATCATTAGTTGAGGTATTGGGTAAATATTTAAAATGTTTCTTTTTCCTTAAAATACAAACTCAAATTTTTTCTGCCAAATATGCCAAAATTTTATGTGTTTTAATCATCATTATTATCAATTGCAGCTTATTTAATAATTTATCACCTTCCTATAAATCAAAAGATTCTGATACAAGGTTTATACATTAAATTGTAGTACTAATAATACAACTATTCATTTTTGATTATTCAATTTATTTCTTGGATTAGTATGACCTTATTTATTAATTCAAGTATATTTTGCATTCGTTATATATGAAATGAATCTTAAATTGAATTGATTTATAAATTCTCATAGCGATATCTAATTTCTAATTTAGTTAGATTATTCAACATAAGGTATTTGATGCAAAGACTAGACTACTTAAATTTTATATCATTCACTCATTAAAATTTGAGTGATTATTAATAGTGGTTAAATCATTTTTCTTGCTGCCATGCTAAGAGTAATGATTTAACCAAAGACTTAGTAGTAGTCGATATGAATTCCATTATATATTTTTTAATTTAAAATGTATTAATTAAAAAAATAATTATAAGATTGACTAGGTACATTATTCTAATTATCTTATTCTTTTTCTCAGTATTTGGCTACCAACTGTCTTGAGTAATTTAGATGTCCCTTATTTGCAGAAACTAGTTGGAAGAATTATCCATATTCTAAAGGAGATTTGATGAAATAAGATTCTGTTGCCGATTACTTTAATGCATTTTTGCTCTCCTCATCTTTGTCAACTGGGTCAATAGTAATAATAATCATAATTTTGAATGTTATTATAGATCAACATCCTATTTTTGGATCATCCTTTAACACTTTATCTTGCTCTCTTCATAACACTCGGCAAAACAAGTTCAATTTCGTTTTAAGCATTTAACATCATTTTCTAGAGCAACTGGAGGTTTGTTGATAATAAGGTTGAATCTCTTACAGTGTCTAAAAAGGTAAATCTTATTGTATTCTATTCTTAAGAATTGTAAATTATAATGTTCAGTAAATTATTTAAACTCATAGATGCCTTATTTTATGGATGAATATTTTATAAAATAATCTATGGAATTATTATTTATTATCAGTTTCTGGTATTTCCACCCCTATTGGCATCAATTTTAGATTAAGATTAAAATTATTTATTATAACTGTATTAGAAGAAGATGAGAGGTTTTCTAGATTTCAGAATATTAGTTTTATGCTTTTTCAATATTTTTTGAAAGAGTTACAAAATCAATTGAAGAAGTTCTTTTCATATTAGACTCAATCAATATAAACTTACCAAGGTCTAACATATCCGTTTTGATCTTGTAGGTATGATTTACTATAATCATAATTAAAGTAAATGTATTTATTCTTTTGTTTTTCCAGGTTAGTAGCAGTTAGTCTTAGGCTAAAATATTAGTATTAAAATTTATTCATAAAATTTTTCCACTGCATTTAGTAGATTTTAATCTATTTATCAGGTTAATTATATTATTTGTTCTAGGTTTAAGTAAGTTTGACTTAAGGGATAGATTATACCTTTCTTCTTGAATAACTTAAGTTGAAATTTTTCACTTTGCTATGAGTTATTATTTTTTGCTTAAGTATTTCATCTCTTTAGCTTAACATTTTACCCTCCTATTATTTAGGATTCTACAACTATCTCTCCCAGCTTACTGGTTAAGGGCTAAAACCTTGGTTATCATCAATTACCTAACTATAATATTACATTTTTATTCAGTTTACTTAACCAAGAAATTCATATCCAATTTCTCTTGATTAACTTCCATAAGAGAAATTAACTAAGGGCTTTATTGAGTAACAAGGAGAATATTATTCATTAACTTTAATAAATGTTGTGAACCCATAGTTCTCCTATTGTCAGACACTTTTATCATTAAAAGATTGACGCTAGGTTTGAATACCAACTTATCTACCAGCTTTGCTTATTTCAGTTACTATCCCTATCATTATTTTATCTCTATTGATATTTCCAGATAAGGTATTATTGTAAAATATAAATCTAGTGTGTAATTTTATGATGTACCATTATTAATTTATGGGGAGTATTAACTTTTTTAAATCTAATTTAATCCTTGATTTGAATTATTTTAGTAAAATATACCTAGCACTTTCTAAATGTATCTGATATACTCCAGAAGATTTTTTTGTTCTTTCATGTTTATATCATGATCAATTATTAGAGGTTTTCCTCTCAATATTTTTATTCCCATAACAAATGCATCGACATCCATGCCTTTCGCATCAGCATATTATAAGTAATAATTAATCTCAGGCCTTTCGCTGTTATATCAGTTAGTTGGCTAGAAATTTGATTCAACTACTATTGCTAGCTAGATTATTATTCAAATCTAAAGGCCTATTTGAAGAAGTCGACTGATAGTAGATCATGTTCCATTGTTAGATCAATAAGTCCACAAATTAGCCACTCTATTAGCCATCTTAGTGCTATTTTTATCCTCTGGAGCTACTAGAACCTTTACTATGAACTTTACACTGATTAGGAGAATAGGCTTGATTAAATTCAGAAAAAATGTTGAAAGGTCAATTTTATTTCCCAATAAAAATTGTAATGAATTTTTCAGGTTTAATGATAGCATTTTTTTAATTTTCATTAATTCTTTAAGAAACTCATATAGAAATTATAGTTGGCTGTAAGATAAACAAAAACACTGTTATAAAAAATTTTTATGGATTTGAATTTTTGCCATCCTCCTGTTTCTAGAACTATCATTTACAGCTATTGTTCACAGAAATTAGATGAGTTACTAACAATCTTGTAAATCTAAAAATGGTAATTAGCTCCTGTTTTAAACTACTTAAGCATTGAATTATTCAACTATTTTGCTTATTTTTTTCAAAATTTATTTAAGATTATAACTTAATCACCAAGTTGAACCATGAATATGATTAGATTAATAATTAGTGTAACTATCTATGATGTATAAATGAACTAATAATGGGTTATGCAGAATACTTATAATAGAATTGTTTTTATTTTCATAATTTAATGGGGGAAGCCATGAATTTTAATTTGAAAATTTTAAACCTTCTGGACCTCAATTTTTGGGATAAAATGCGAAAAATATGGTATGGATCAACGGGTATAAATAGCCCCATTAGGAGAAATAAGCAAGTTGATCAAATCTTTATTGCAAGGACTATAAATAGCTTTATAATTATATTATACTATAATGAAAATACATATAAAAAGTGTTATTAAATTGCTATAAAACTTACAACAATAAAACTTTCTTTGAGTTTTAAAATAATTTATGAACAAATTTATCTTATATTACATATTCAATAATTTAATCTAAGGCTTTAAGATTTAACTTAAATTTTTCATAATGATTTCATTGATAATATCCTAAGAATGGTAACTCTCCTATTAGATTTTTTATATAATCGATTATTATTAAAAGTAATAAATGGTGATTACAGGATGATAATTTCACTATTTTTTCAATTAAGATAGATAGTCTGTTTTATATTGCAATGTCTAGATAAATTTCCAATTTTTTTCTATTTTAATAAAAAATATTTACTTTATATGGTCTTCCGCAATAATGAGCGCACATCTTTTTAAGAAAAAATAAGCAAATTTATTAATTTTGTTCCTAATTCTCCATTCTATACAAAAGCAAAAATCGGCATTATTTTTTTTGACAAGGAGATCGGTAGCACTTTAGTAAAAATTCTTTGAAGTTTGATTGAAATTTTTCTAGATAATTTTATTTTAAATCCTAACTTATTCTATCTATATCATATGAAAGTGATTTTTGTTGAATTTCTGAAATAATAAGATTTTTCAGTCAAAGTTGAACTATTGCAGATTTATTAGGGTTTTCATAAAGAATTAGATCCAATCCTTATTTCAAACGTTTGATATTATTTTACTTTATAATATTTTGCCATAGTCAATTCAAAATTCTAAAAAGGATATCTTAATCATTTTCAACTATTTCTTAAAAAATAGTGGTTTAATTTTCTTGATAAACTATTTGTAATAGAGCCAAGACTTTATATTAGAATAAATGATTGTTTTTTTAATTAAATTTGTTTAAATCACTCAATAATTAAAATAATAAGTTGCAAAGTACTAATGAAAAAATTTCATCTCGAAGCTATGGAATGTTGAGTTCTTCAACTTTTTTTATCTGTAAGGGTTAATAAAAAGAATTCCAAATTTTAAATCAATATTTTATCCTTTGCATTTGTGATAGACGGGAAAATTGTATGGCAAGCAAATACGACATCCTTAATATTTAAACAAGCCTATCGTAAATTTTTATTCCTTTATTATAAACATTATTTATGAAAAGTGTGTTAACAACTTGAAGCTACAACTTCGAAAATGTCTATATATAAATTAATCTTTATTGGTTTAGGAATCATATGAATATTCGAATACTAAATTAATAGAGCTCTAAATTAATTTCCTCTTTTTCAAACTACAACTAGCATAAAGAACAATTTTCAGTAATCAATTAAGTTGGAGTCTCTGCAATTTGATTGCTAAATCCTGATCCTATATTGTTAATTTTTATTAATAATATTGTCTTTTTATTTGTGATCTATAAGCTCTTTAAGCATCGCTTTCAACTTAGAAAGAATTAAAACACAAAGTTTCATCAAGTTATTTAGCAAATATTTCATAAATGCTATTTGATGTTTAAGTTAAGTTAATATCTTATAAAATCTACAAACATATTTAAGAAATAGCACTCAAATATGGAGGAAGATTTGCATTTTTATTTTTCAAATGATTATTGCATAAATAAACTAGATTAATATAAACAGAATAATCTTCCAATAATTATGAAATATTTTTAATTAATCCTTATTCTTATTGAACTTATAATTATTCTAAATTCTATTGAAGTGTTTGTTATTCTATGTCACAAACTATTACTTTAAGTATGGCTAACCTTTTAGATGTTAAAGTAGATTTGAGCTAATTTAATTCATTCGCTAGAGCAGTTCCAAATAACTCTGTTATCTATCATTTTATGTTTTTAATTTATCAGTTATTTATTCATTTAGTTCTAATACCAATGAAGCAAAATTGGTTCATATTAAACTGGTAATAGGGTTTTAATTATAATTATTCAATACCTTAATTCAACTCACAAGAACTTTATATTATATTTTACACATCAATTCTACTATCATTACAAATTTACTCAAGTATTTTTCTTAGCACTTTTACTTTGTAAAAATACTGATCATAAAAGATTTTTTGGAATAATTTATTTATCCCTTTTTAAAATTGTTCTGGAAAATCTTATCTAGATAAATCTCCTACAAATTAAATAAGATCATAATCTGTTTAAGCTATTCTACATATAAGAAATGATAGATTTGTTTTGGAATTAAGAAATGTTGCAGTCTCTTTATAATTGGAGATAATATAAAATTCATATCATCAAATATAAGCAATATCCACTTATTCGAGTGAAGCCTGCTTTAGTTTTAATTATTATTTCTCATATTATTCCTTATATAGAGATGGAGTGCCATTTTTTGACAACACAATAATATTAAGTAAAGTTCTTTTCAACAATTTTAACATAACTTATTTTTAAATATTTGAAATATGGTTTAAAATTGCCATCAACATGAAGTGCGTAAAATAAATCTGAGATATTATATTCACCTTTTTTTATAAATTGTGATAATTAATAATTAAGGATTGAACATTAGCAAATTTATTATTATTTATCCAATTTAAAATTAAATAAAGGGTCTTTTAAATGAACATGATATAATTTTATGAATTTTTGAATACTCTCATCTATTGGAATCTAAAGAAATTTGCTTGTAGCATAACTTCAAGGAATACTATCTTGTTATAAACACTAAAGGATTTTTAATATAAGTGTATATAAGTGTTAGCCTTAATTCAAAGCTTTTTATCTATCTGAAAGATCTACTTCTTATATAAACTTTAATGATTTTCTAAATTTAATATCTTGATAGCCTTTACAATTTCAGTCATCGTCTATTCTGTAAAGTCAACAACATTCAAACAATAGTCCAAAAGAAATCATAATAAATTATCAAAATCTTTCTATCACATTTACTAGATTGATTGTATAAATTCTTACACCCAAATAATTTCTCAGGAATTGTAATTTCATTTTGAATTTGCGAATGTTTATTACAAAGTGATTTTTTCTTCATTATCAATATATCTCCACAACCATAAAATCCAAATTTTAAATAATCATATGTCACTGCATGATCTAATGTAAAAAGAAATATAATAATACTTTTATGTTTTTCTGGTATAAAGCATTCTTAAAAATAAACATGATTAGGCTCTTTACAACAATCAAAACATTAATAATATAAAGTATTATTAATTAAAGTTGCTGAGCATATTTTGTTATTTCCTGTATCTTTTTATTAAATTATTCTATATTAAAATGTATTATCAGAAAACGCTAAAACATGTTATACTAATTAGAAATCCTTCATATTCTCTTATATTTCAGCTTCATTCAAAATGATATTAATCTATTTATATATATCCATGAATATTTTATATTCATATATTATAATATTAATTCTAATACTTTTTTTTATAATAGAATTAAATTAGCATTTTCTCCGAAAAATATTTATAAAATTAATTATTTTCTTTACAAATATGAATAAGCTTTTAAAAAAATGGACTGAGGCTGATACTTATATCAATGATAATATATAAAATATACAACGTGAATTACTTGCAGTTATTCTTCCAAATGATTAAAGTTTTTTAAATTGGGAAAATTCAAAAACTAAATTTTAATCTACTTGTGGATACTTCATTTCTGATCAAGAATTAAGTTTTTAATGTTTTACTTGTGGAAAGGAACCTACACATATGATTTGTAAAAATTGCTTTATACCTAAATTACATAGAGGTATAATATATATATATTCATTAGATCATTAGTGTATTATTGATGTCAAAAATAAGGGATTATGCGATTGTGGTGTCAAATCTCTGATTTTAGATGATGGGTTTTGTTCCAAACATACTGATAAAATTAACATAAATAAGGAAAAAGAAATTAGTAAAATTCCTATTAATATATAAAATAATATCACTTTTATTTTTCAATAACTCATTAATTCTTTTAGAAGTTCGATTAAAGAAATAAAAAAGATGAATGTTTCAAACTTATAAATTACACTTTTAACTCTCTATCATTTAGCTAAATAATTTAAGGATCTAAATTCAATTAAATATATGGAGATGTATTAGAAGAATGAATAAATTTCTGAACTTGTTAGAAGAATTGCTAATATAAATACTCTAATATTTACTACAATTGAATTACTAATTGATAAAAGATAAAATTATTAACTTTTAATAGAGCAAATCCTCTCAAATAAAAATTTAATTAACTCTAAATACACAATTTTAGAAAAGTTATTTAGATATTAAATATATATTGAAGTTTATCAAAATGGTTATGATTATAAGATAGATTAGATCCTTTATAAATTATTTAATGATGAAACTTTCAAAGCTTATATTTTCTCTATTATTTTGAAAAATTTCTCTAAATTTTGGTTAATCAATTAATTTAAAACAACCATTATTGATGAAAAAATAGAGAAATTATTCAAATAAATAGATTAATCGATGATAAAAAATTAGAAAACCTATTTTTGTTGTTAAACGATTGTTTAATATAAAGGAGAGAACATTGATCTTTCTTCTTATTACAGTAGAATTTAAAATTATATTTAACCATTAATTAAACATTTAATAAGTAATCGATAATTATTCCACTCTGTAAAGACTAGTAAAATACTTATATCTGAATCTTAATTTTAATCTTTTGAAATGTAAGAATAATTCTTTTCTTAAAATTAAAATATTTAGGACTTTGTTGTTACCATATAAAAATTACATTATACTTCTGGTGCATTATGTTCTGATAATTAATTAATACTTCCGTAATTATTTAAAAAGAGATTTGAATATAAGAATTTTGGAGAAATAGCATTAGGTTAATTATAAAATATATTAAATGAAAATTTTCATTCATTTAAATAAATAGATATTAATATTGATATAATAAAAGTATTCAACTTTAATAAGTTTGCAATTACAAATTTGATTTTAAGTTTGGGCAAAGGAATTTAAATGAGGAATTAAACTAATTTATTGAATAATTCAATTATATTAGCTGATACTATTTACTATCTTCAAGATTAAGCAACATATTATACTGCAATTTACACTGGATTAAAGAATCTATTCAGTAATTAATATAGTAATGAAATATTAGAAAAGAACATTATTAAATTACTTTTTTATTAAACTTACTTCATCTTAAAGAAAACTATCAATATCAATTAGATAAATATCAAGTCTTCATAATCTTCAATATAAGATTTGCCAACTATTAAAAATGGCATGATAATATAGAAATTGTTTATTTCTTATTTATCTTATTTATATTGTGTTACCTAATTTGAAAATGGAAAATAATTCTTACATTACTTAATTGATATTTTAGATGAAGATTAATAAAATTTTGAAAAAATACTCAATTAATTATTAAAAGAAACTGTTTATGTGCATTTGATTATTCAAGAGAATCAAGATTAACAGATAAAATCTGTTTATTAAGGAAATAATAATCATACAGAATACTCTTAATTTCATAGAGTTGACACCTGTCTTATTAAATTATATATATTTTTATTTGATGTTTATGGATTCTCAATTGTTAAAAATATGATGGAAAAGTTTTATTAAATCTAAAATGGTACAATACTTTAAGAATTAACAAAAGAGAAGTATCAAAATTTTTAATAAATGTTTATTAATTTAATCTTAACAGATTATGATCTTTATAACGTATGCTGCCCATTATTAACTTAATTAACAAATGAGTTAAAATTTTCTTTAGTTAGAATAGTAGGTAATTACTTTAATATCTCAACCTTTATAGAATATGGAGATATTTAGGAGAAACTTAAAAATTTTGGAGTTTTAATAACTTCAAATTTTTCTAACCATATATTATAAATATGTGAAGTTGATTAGACATCAAAAAAATTAAAACTAAAAGGAGAATATAAAATATTCTATGAACCTTGTTTAATATAGAATTAATCATAATTATAAACGCAAATAGAAGAAAGATTGTTTGAGTAAAAAAAATCAGACAGTGAAATATTATTAGGAAATGGGATCACATGGGATATTGAATAGTTTTCAAATAAAAGTTATAGAGTTTTAATGCAATAATTATTAAAGATTTATTGCCATTTTGAATTATTTTTGAGAAATCTGATTTAATTAATGAAAAAGGACAAATTAATAGTATAGATAAGCTATCTTATTTATGCTCAACTTGCTTATTTGAATTAATTTGATTAATAATTATTTAAATAATTTTTTGAAATAGTAATAGTTTAATTGGAAGAAATATAATAACATATTAATTTAAAATAAAAGTAAAAATAATAAATCAAAGTACTTATTTAATCAATTAATGAATTAAACCAAAAATAAATAATGAACAATATGTAAAAATAAATAAAATAGAAATTTTAAACTCTAAAAGAATAATATAAGTCTAAATTTAATAAAATATAGTCATCAAATTTAGTATAAAAAATGATTAATGAAAAAGAGGAAAATTAAATTTTAGTATAAGAAGAAGATCTATGTTTTACATGTAAACTAGATTTTACAACTGAAAATAGTGTGGGAATGATGTATATTTATTGGAAATCTCAAACAGAATTTTTTGATGAAACACATCAAATGCTTAAAGATTAATTGTTATTTGATTTCAATTTGGGAATATAGACTTGTAACCACTACTTTCATGATAAATGCTTGACTTAAGCCTTTGATTGTTATTAAATTATGAATTAAGAATATGGGTAAGGGTTTAATTAATATAAATTTTATTGTCCAATATGTAAATTACATACGAATTGTAGATTTCCAATTTCAAAAATAGACTATCGAATAGTTAAAAGTTTAAATTCAGATTTAATTTTCATTTATTCTTAAATAAATATGGATGATGAATTTGAAGATGAATTACCTTAATAAATTAATTTAGTTAAAATTTACATAAATCTATTTTATGACTTGCTGATCTCATTGTTTATTAATCCTCAAAATTATAGAAAAGCTCAAAAAAATATATTATTTAATCAATTATTTTGTTGCTTTTATGAAACAATTTAAGATATGAATTAATAGGATATAGAAGCATAGACATAATTACAAAATATTCAATAGAAAAATAATTTCTTAGTGAATATTTTGACTTCTATATATGAAATGTCTGTGAAATAGTGTAGCTTGAATTAATTAAGATTATCTATTATTGAATTAATCAGTTAATATAGTTAATTAAATAAGGAAGAAATCTCACTTTTAATTAGTTCTTTTGGCATAGAAGAATAAATGATGGTATAAGATTTAAGTCAAAAAAATAAATAATGTATTCATGACACATCTTTAGAATATTATTAAAATTTTTAGATTAAAACCATTTAATATATTTAAAAGACTTTGGGAGAAACATTTCTATAATTTCATAGTAAATATTTTTGTAACAAATGCAGTATATGCAAATTTTATAATCTTAAAAAAAGTAAAAATTCAGGTGTTTCTGTCTGTTTACTATGCAAAGATTTATTTTGCAATGAGTCTTGCTCCTTATCTATTAAAGACCACTTAAATTATCATGTAGAAAAGAGGCATCATGGAAATTCAATATTTGTGAGCCTTTAAGATGGTTCAGTTACAATAATTAGTTAATCAACTTCAATTAAAAAATTTAAATATTTGTATTATAATAATTTAGGTGAAAAAATCAATATAGATAATCCTAATTCAGACTGGAATTAATACATACTTGATATCACTAAAGCTAATGAATTAGTCGACATCATTGTTAATAATAAATATCGTAAAATAATTAAGAGTTAGCAAAAGCGAAGTAATTTTCTTTGAACATGAATAATTTTTTAGACTTGATTATTTTATTATATAGTATTTAAATTAGTTAAACAATTATTATTATAAATTTAATTTCAGTCAATAATTACTTTACTGTTTAGAAGCTTTAGTTTCTACAACAGTTACATATTAAGTGACTAGTTCACGTACTTAGTCTGATGTTTATTCTTACTTCACTATCTTTTTATAAACTAATGTTGTTACTCATAAAAATATTAGTAGAACACCCAGTCAGATAATTAGTAATTATAAAAAGAAATTAGATTATTTAGAGAGATCCTTAATATTTGAATAATTTGATTGATTTTTGCATATTTCAGGGGATTTCAGAAACCTTATAAGATCAAATATTACTTTTACAAATATTGATAAATATATTCTTAGCTGTAACATTTTAAACAACAAAATGATTGTTCAAAATTACAGGTGGGATATTGGCATGAGAAAATTCAGAAATTATTTCTAAATATTCTTCCAATAAATTATTGAAAGCATTTAAATTAGATTTGGATTTATTTAGTATTTTTTTTAAAGAACAATCATAACAATTTTCTACTCTAGATTTTAGATAATTTAATCGAATCAGTAATTCTGAGAAACAATATTCATACATATAGGCAATCTTACTTTAATCTTTAAGTAAATCCTTTAATATATAGAATTTATTAATAAATAATTAACATCAATATTTAATTTCTATAAACAAAGTCATCATATTATTTCTTCATTTACATCTTATCCTGTTCCATAATCATCTCCATCAGGACCATCAGTATTTTTGTTAATCTATTTAATAGAATTTAATGAAATAAATTAAATATAAATAATAATTAGATAATATGATATCTTCCTTTAGAAATATAATTTAAGGATTCAATAATATTATTTTCATCATCTTGATTTTTCAACTATATAGAGGATATAAAAATTGATATTTCACTTAATATACTTTATGAAATATCTCTATTTATAATTAAATCATTAATTGGGAAGAAAAATAACAAAATAATAATTAGAATAGGTTTGTGTTAAACCAGTTGATTCTTCTAATTAAGAGATCAAGTTTCATTTGGATGAACCTTTAACAATGCATATTAAGCCATTCTGAATATAATTATATTTAATTTAGTAGATATAATAATCTATTATCTTTTACAAAATCATTTTGTCTTAATTAGGAATTAGTATACTATTAAAACACTGATGAATATTAAAGCTAATTTTATAAAATTCTAAATATCTTTCGATATGGTAGACTTGTGTCTGTTTTAATGCTGATTCAAAGCTAATCACTTGCAAACCAAACTCAAAATATGAAAAATAACTGCATCAGGCAATAATTACTATTCCCAATTCCTAAAATTAACTAGAAAATAATTAAAAATAACAATTATGATCTAAAATAATTAGTCGATTTTACTAACTAAAAATGCTTTCCCAATTATAAATTAATTTGATCTATTTTTATTAAACTTATTGATTTGCTTTTTCTAGATAAAGAGCTTTCAAAATTAATATAACTTATGTTTGTTTATAGCATTTTTTGCATTATCTTAGGATATCTTCTCCGAACTTGGAATCTCAACTATCCCAATCTAATTGATATATTATTAATCTTTCAAATAGGCTAATTTTATATTAAATAATGTGAACTAAAATTGAAGTTTTAATTTTTCATAATCAGCTCAATCCACTATTTCTTAACTTATTTATTAATGAGAACATAAATTCATCTGATTGCCAAATTTCTTTATGATTATATTACCAATTTACTATAGTAATTTTAAGATTGATCAGTTTATGAGAAGAAATGAAATTATATAAAATTAATCTGCTCATACAAAATTATTTGAAGTATAATATATTTATTTTTTTAAATTGAGAATGTATCTTAAATATTAAATAATAATTAATGTAATAAAATCTTAGCCTTGAGTGGAAAACAAAATTGTTTTGTATGAATCATAGATAAGAGTAAGTGGAATATTGTTGTCTTAATAAAAGTTGCTCTGAAAATAGATTGTGTTGTTAGAAGTGTTTAGAGTAATATCATTAATATCACACTATTGACATAAAAATACTTGATGCAATTCAGGAAATCATTTCTAACTCTTCAAAAAATGTAAAATAAGTGTTAGCAACATCAAAAGTTGGATTTCAACGTGTAAAAGAGTCTTTTGATACAACCATCTGCAAAATAGAAAATAAAATATATGGGTTAGAATCAACTATCAAAAAAATGAACACAAGCTAACTAGAGGAACTCATTCAATACTCTTTTTAGTATGAGGAACTTGAAAAAATACTAAAGGCTTCATTTGATGAGTTGACAACTCACATTTAAAAAACACTTGAACAAATTTATTTGAATTACTCTCTACAAGATAGAATACATCTTGATGAATTTATGATAGCTTAATTAGGCAATGACTTATTTAAATAAAAAGATTATTTGAGAGCCAAGGAGTATTTTGAATAATGCATTCAAATTAATCCCGAGAATATCTCAGCACTTGTAGGAATAGGTATTTATTATACAAATTTAGCTAACTGTTTAAGGGATAATCAGAAATACAAGGAAGCAGAATAATTTTATACAAAAGCAAAATTGTTGGATGAACACAACTCAAATATTTTCTGTGATTTTGGTAATAAAATTAGTATATAAAAGGTGAATGTTTAAGATAACAAATGCAAATTGAAAAAGCTTTAATTGAATTTGATTAAGCTTTAAGAATAGATGCAAACTATCCTTAAGCAGCATTTTATAAAGGTTATAAAGAGTAATATCTATAGGGGTTCTTCTCATTTACTAAGGAATATGGAGAGTATTAATAAAGAGGGAAGATGAAAAATTAATAAAAGAAGAAATCTTTAAATATTTTTAAAATATTACATTTTTTAAGAATGATACTTATGTAAGTCTATTCAAAGGTATACATTCATAATATTTTTTAGCTTTGCTTCTAAGTCTAGATGGTTTCCCTGACGATGCTTAGTAGATAATAGAAGAAATTTTAATAATAACGCCAAACAATTACGAGGGTCTTTTACTAAAAAGTTTATATTTATTATAAATTAGGTTTCATGCTATTTGGTAAGCAATAATTTGGCTTATCTCTACAATTACTTGGATAGACAATAATCTAGGACTAATTTGTAGTATTTTTTAAGAGTAAAAAATTTAATTCAATTAGGTTTATGTTTATTTAGTTTAGAATAATACAATGATGCAATAAAATTGTTAGATTCTATTTTAGAGTTTGATTCTAACAATTAGAATGTATAATTAATTAAAGGTATGAATTATAAATAAAAAAGGTTAATGCTTAATGGAACTTAAACAACATAAAGAAGCTAGTGCAATATTTTGTTCTATTCTGGAAAGTAATCCTGATTACCTAATTGCTCAATAATACAAAGGTATAAAAAGTCATAATTATAAGATCAATGTTTAGAAACAATCTAGTAAGAAACGGAAGCTATATAAGATTTAGAGTAAATAATTTTATACATTTTAGATTAAAAATTTGATGAATAATTTATTCATACATACATACATATAAATATATAATAAATAAGATATTAATAATTTTTAACTATTCATAAATAATAGATCATCAGATAAAAATAAAAAAATGCCACAAATAATTTGAAATTATCATTTATTTAAAACCTAAAAACTTCATTCTTAAGGATTTTAATCACAATATCAATATCTAAATAACAAGATACTAATATTTCTTTTTTCAACTTGCTTGTATACAAAATATTAATTAGTATTTTCGTTAGATATTTTATCATCATGTTTTCAGTATTATATAATTTCTATTTAAAATATATCAATAGTAAATATGATTAGATAATAAGAAACTTAACATAAAATAAATCGCTAAATCGCTAAGTTTATATAATAATTGTTTTTAATTAAAATAATAATCATAATTTTTTTTACTTTGATTTTGCTATTTCAAAAATGGCTTAACAGTTTTCATTTCCAGTATTTTTTACTAACCTTGAAAATTCAGTTGATTTATCAACAGAAATAGAGTTTATAGAATTGGCTAATAAATTAAAAGGAGTATCAAATTCTACAATTTATCCTTCACTTATAACCATAATTTTATCATAATCTGCTATAGTATTTAATCTATGAGCAATAGTTATTAATGTGCAATCTGAAAATTTCTATTTTAAAGTTTCTTAAATAAAATCATCTGTTTTCATATCAACATTTGCAGTAGCTTCATCCAAAACAATTATTTTCTTTTCTTCTAATATCATTCTGGCCAAGCAGATTAATTATTTTTACCCCACAGAAAAAACAGAATTTACATCACTCATATCTGTCAAAAGACCCTTTTATAAATTTTTTACATGACTTATAAGGTCTGTTTATTCTAAAGCTTTCCATAATTTTTCATCTTAATGAATATCAAATGGATCTAAATTTCTTCTTATTGTCCCAGTAAATAAGAAAGGAGATTAAGGTATAATTCCAATATTACTTCGTACTTTATGTAATCCTAATTTTCTAATATCTTAATCAGAAATTAATAATTTTGATTCCTATAAATCTTCTATTTCTGACATTCTAAAAAGGGCTTGTATAATAGAAGATTTTCCAGCTCCTGTTCTTCCAACACAACCAACTTTTTCATTACTTTAAATTTCAAATGACAATCCTTTAAGTACTAAATCACAATTTGATCTGTATCTCATGAAAACATTCTCAAATTTTACTCTTCCATCCTTTGGAAAATCAACATGTTTATCATCTTCTTTAACATTGTGAGGAGGCTCTGGAATTATATCTATTATCTAAAACATTCTATTATAAGAGGTCATTTGTGTATCAAAAGTTATTAACTGTCTTAATCCCCATTGTAGTAAATCATTATATGTAGATAATATTAATAATCCTTAAGATAAAACAGCAATATTGTCATAATTCAATTTTAAAAATATAAAAATTCCAACTGATGAAGTAATAAATCCCACTACGTCTAAATTGAACCCAAAAGATCTTGATGAATAGTAATAAGTTAAAGCACTAAGATTGCATTTATTTGAAACCTCTAAAAATTGTTTTCGAAACCAGTCTTGTTATTGATAAACTCTTATTTGAATAACTCCTCCTAATGTTTTCTTCAGAAAATCAAATAAGGGGCTTTTTTACATTAATTCAACTTCTTTTAATTAACTAATAATTTTCTTAGCATAACTAAACTAATATGCATTTATTGTGATAATAAAAATAATCATTATCAAAAAATATGGTTGTAATATTGCTAAGGTTATTAGAGCAAATAAGAAATTACCAATTATTTCTAACACATCTAAGCTAACATAATTTGTTTGACTATCACACAAAGATAGATCATTAGAAAATCTATTGAGAATTCTGCCAGATGGATTTACATCAAAATATGAAACAGGTGCTAATATTAAAGATTTAAGCATTTCTTAATGTATCTTCTGAGTAGAATTTTATACTGAATATGTATTCAAAGAATATTTTATTAGATTACAAAGAAGCAGTCCTAAAGTAAGCATTCCTAATATATAATATGCAGTATCAATATCATTTTCTTATTGATATTCTTGAAAAATTGAAACAATTCTTTAATAATAATTTATTAGAACTTCAGATCCAGCTTCTAAAAGTAGAACAAGAAGAATTACTATTACATTCCAAAATTAATAATATCTAAAATACGTTCTTAAAGTTGTCAACTACTGTTAATCAGCTTCATTACCAACTAAGTTATTAGCAACTAAGTTTTAGATTTTCTTTTTTTTTTAAAGATTTTCTACTTCACTTCCTTGTTATTTTGTTTACTAACTATTATTTAATTATTATGCTAACTCTTCATTTATCATATATAAACTTGATTTAATATCTTAATATTAGCCTTGAGCTATTAATTCTCCATCATTTAAAATGCCTATTTTGTCACATTAAATAGCATATTAGATTTAATGAGTAACCAAAATAACGATTGGCTTCTTTTTTTCTGGATTTATCTGTGTTTGATATTCAAAAATAAATTCTTTGATTGCCATCTAAAAAATCCTTTTAGCAACATTAGCATCAACAGCAGATAATGGATCATCAAATAAATATAGGTCTGCTTATTAATACAAAGCTCTAGCTAGAGATACACGAGCTTTCTATCCTCCAGAAAGTGTGATTCCTCTTTCTCCTATCTCAGTGTGATCTTAAAATTTCATTGAAGATAGATCTGCCTCCAATTAAGATGCATGCAACACTTTTTGATATAAGACTTTATTATATGGTCTACCAAACAAAATATTCTTTTTTATAGTATCAGGAAAAATAAATGGTTCTTATTCAACATATGCTACTGACAAAATAGTTTTATTTGCCTCTTGACCGTCAATTTTGAATGAGCCACTATATACAGGAATCTCATGCAATAAAGAACTAAGTAAAGTGGATTTCCCACAACCTACTTTACCAATAATAGCCCAAGTTTCTCCTGAATAAATTTCTAGTGTAATGTTTTTGAGAACTGGTTTTGTAGTTTCAGAAATTAAGTTTGTCCAATATGATGTAAAATTCTTGAATTGAATTCTAGGTCCATTATAGTTTTATTTATAGGTATCACTTTCTGATATTTATTGATTTTTATCCAAATTTTTCATTTCTTAATTTTCTATATTTAAAATTGTTGCTATTCTATTAAAAGATACCTTTATTTGAATTACAGATTAAATTCCATAAGAAACCATGAAGACACAACTTAATTTTAAAAATGTCAGTAATTGAATGGTGGAAATCATTTCAGCAACACTCATTGTTTCTCTGTATCCTCCATAATACAAAATGATAAAAAATATAAAACTTGACCAGATCTATGAAATTAAACTAAATAATCTGTCTAAAGCTGATCTAAAATTGATTGTTAATAGGCAAATATATTCCTTTTGTCGAATTATTGAAATCATTTAAAAAAAGGCTTGTTCCCATGCATACATTTTAATTAATCTTATTCCTTCAATAAGTTCATTTGTCAATTTTAATCGTTAATCTTAATATGGTTTTGAGTTTTTAAGTGTTTCTGAGTTAAACCATTAAAGCATGACTTATATCGGGTACACTAAGAAAATAATAGCAAGTGCAATCAAACCAATAGGCCCATTAAATCTATCCCATAATATATAGCAGCCAAAAATTATGGACACAAAACAAACACTACTATAGAATATTGTAATAAAGACATATTCAAGATAATTGATATCACCAGACACTAAATTAAAAATTTTACCTATGTTAGCTTCAGCTATTGAATAAGCACTTAATTCAGTTAACTTTAAATAAACTAAATTAATAAGTGTCATTCTTGCTTTTGTTGAGAAAATCATTGCCAAATTATAACCATGATGCATTGTTAAAAAACTCAGTAGATTTAAAGCAACCATCAAAACAGCAAATAGATATGCATCATCCTTTTCATCTTTTTAAGCACTTGTAATTACTTTACTCATTGTAATGGATATTCCATTCTTTGCTAGAGCTTCAAAAACATGAGAAAAAAAACATCCTATGCTAATCCATTTTAATTATCCGAAAAATATTATTTTCACTAAATCGCTACAGTTAATTTTCCGTTTATTTTTTACTCGATTTTGGGAATCTTCGACAGTATCTTTTAAATCTTCCCAAGGTGATAATTTTGGTAAGTGCTTCTCTGTTATTTTATGATTTTTGTCTAATAAATGTTTTTTTAAAAATAATGAATATCTTGTTAGATCTAGAAAGATGAGCTTTGAAAGAAGCAAATAATTTTACCCATGATGGTAAGGATAGAATTTTTTTTCTTCTTCTTCTTGAATAGTAAGTAATGAAGGCTCATGATTTTGTTCATTTAAATTTAATGGTTGAGATTCTTGATTAATTTACTCCTATTAATCATTTGGAGCTGTTAGTATTTTTGTATTCAGATGACTTTCTATTTTTGTGTCTAATCCATTCTACCTTATTTATGAATTGATGTCTATCATAAGAATTTAAAAAGTATTTCTATTAACTAATAATTAATTGAAAAAACTAAATTCAAATAAATGAAAAAGTATTAAATAGAAAAATTACAAAAATTCGTTATTGCTATCTAATTAAAGACTTTTTAATTCCTAAGTTAATTAAGTTACAATATCATTTATATAATTATCAATTACTATCCTTTAACCAAAAATAATACAATATTCATATTGCTAATAATGTATATTTATATCATCATTATTCCAAAAAATCTAGTAGTTGTTGATTTTCTTTAATAGTTATTCTTAAACGATTGGTAACTGAGAAAAAAAAATCAAATATTAAAAGCGGATTTTAGGTTATTAAGAAAAGCAATGGATAAAAAAAACGTTTAAGTTTTGATTCTGATAAATTAGATATGAATCTAATTAGATAATCATTCACTAAATAGATGTATTAATCTATGTGTTTTAATCAAATTAGAGAGTTAGAATTTAATTACTGAGAATAATTTGTTCTGATGACTATAATAGATTAGATGAGCTATAATTTAGAAAACGAATTCACTAAAATTAAGATCATTTATTAAATAAAACTATGATGTTGATCAGTCTGACAAGTATATATATGAGTTAATTGATTTTTGAGAAGAAATCTAAAAGAATCCAAAAAATTTTGGAATTTCATTTTAATTAAACTTAGTATTAGTATACTGCTCTTGTCTTTTTTATATACAACTAAAAAATAGCTTAGTCTCAATGAATTTATATTTTCTTTTAAACTAATTAGGAATAAACAGGAAATTTTGAATTGTTAGTTTTACAACAAAATGCAAACTTGTCAACATATTTGAAATTGAATAAATGAATCGATACACATTTAAAAATAATAAAAAAATTAAGAAGTTTTAATCTAATTATAGATTAAAATAATAATTTTTTTCTAAATAAGGAATTAAAATTTTAGTAAATGATGATAATAATTACGCATATTTTAATATATAAAAAGATTTAATAAAGTATCAAGTAGATAACTTCTTCATTTAGACAAAAACAGTTTAAAACTATTCTTAAACTTTATTTAAATTAAATAAACAAAAATTATCATAAACTATTATTATATACTATAATTGATTATGATTACACTTAAAATATTAAATTGAAGATTTCTATGAAATACTAATTGATTCACTTGATACATTTATAAATTCCTGTTTGTTAAAGTTATGTTTTGAAATCATTTTATATAAATTAATGTGAATTTAGTTCCTAAAATTATTTTTTCTCTTATTCTGTTAGATTATGGGAATTTTTGCATTTATCAACTAATTGTTAGATGAATAATTGCTGCTTTTTATTGTGTTTTACTAGTTATTCATAATCAAGAAGTAAAACATCAACAACTTTTAAAGTTTTCTTAATTGCCTCTTCTTATTTTGTTTAATTATCCAACAATTAGTATTTCTAATATGATAATATAAAATACAGTTTCCTACAATGAATTAATTAATTTTTATTGTATAACATTAGATTTATCTTTTGATTCTGCGTTTTCCTATTTTTATTGGATGTTCGATGTTGGATTTAAAGCAATTTATATTGATTATTAGATTTCTTCTGGTTATTCAATCAAACTATTTTATTCTTCATTTTAACTGCCTTCATCATCTTAAATTTAATTTTAAGAAATATTTTATGAATTTGAGTTTTCATTTTATGAATTCTAAGATTATGATCTTTTTTCTTTTTCTTGATGCACATTTGATTTGTCTTTTGATTCAAATAAATCCACACATGTTTATACAAAGAAAACAGCATCAATAGAATTAGTCAAGATTTTATCATATACTTTAGTTTTGGAATTAACTTCTTTAACTTTTGCTCCAATTTAAGATATAGATTCTGCTCCTAAAAATCGAGTTGTCAAAGTTGACCAATCATCTAGTATAACTATATTATATACCAAATTTTAAATTTAGTCCATCAAGCATTTGAGTTCTAGAATTGTATGAAAAATTGGTTATGATAGTCTTTCTTAGCTTTATGTAGAATGAAATAGATGAATTTGATTTTTTCAATTGAAAATATCTCTTTATGTATGATAGATCTGATGAATTATTTGATTTTTTCATGAAGCTGTATAACAGAATGGTTACAAATGATTTCATTTTACTTGTTACACCACTTTGGATATGAAATTTTTATTGCTAAATATTTTCGATTCTATACGGAATAATGAAGTAATAATTGTTCGATAGGTAATTAGCTTGTTTTCATTAATTCTAGTATTTCTAGAAAATACCCCATGATATTGACATCTTTCATTAGATTTACATCCTTTTATTTTGATTGAATTTTATACCTTTTCATACTATGGATCAATAAGATTAGGAATTTTTTCTTTCAATTTGCTTATAAACTTAGTGTCATCATCGATTTCCATATTATTAAATAATTGAATTAATGGATATTTTAAAAAAGGTTTTTCAAAGCATCACTATCCCTTCAATACAAGGGTATGACTTTGAAAAGGATTGCATACTTACAGTTGGCTAATGGAGAGTTTATAATGCAAAGAATAAACAAAGGCTTGGTTCTGTTTGGCTATGTGATTAGAGCAAATAATTTTAAATAGCCAAAAAAGAATACATCAGTATGATTAAATTAAAATACCCTGGAATTTTGCAAGTGCTTGAACCACTTGTAGAAGAAAAATCTCATATAGGATTTGTCACTGAGAGAATAGAGTGTACTCTAAGTTAGGCCTTAAACGATAACAAATATGTATTGTCAGATATAGAAATGAAATTGCATATATTGGAAATAGTAGATGGATTATAATTTTTGCATAATAATGTTCGACAAGTTCATTTAGATTTGTAACCAGAAAAAATTTATTTTACAGATAATGGAAAATGGAAGATTGGAGGTTCCCCATTTTAATAATAAATTTTATCTTCTATCGTTGATTGTTAAATTAGCTCTGGATATAATATATTATACACAGCTCCTGAAATTGTATAGTATTTTAATTTATTATAGCTTTCTTCTAAGTAATAATGTGGATATTCTACAGATATGTTTTCATTAGGAATGATCATATTGAGATTAATGAGATTAAAAAATAATCGGGTGCCTTTTCCAGAGACTCAAGATTAGGATTCTTATTTAAAATTTATCAAAAGTTTAGATCTAATGAGATATAAAGATGTCCATTAAGAATCATTTTTACAATTTTTAGGATTAATGCTATCACCTTAAATGAATAATAGACCTACATTATCTTAATTTGTACAAATTGAATGGTTTAAAGATCCATATTTAATAACGTTTAATATCTTAAACAAATTACCAGAATATGATATGCAATAATAAATTGTGTTTTTTAAGGGATTATCTAGTGTAATTTTTAATTTTGAAAAATCAATCCTTAAAAAAAGACTTTTACCAATTGTTTTAGGATTAACCTAATATGATCATTTGTTAACTGCAATAGTATAAATTATTCTTGAGACTATGAGAAGAGAAGATATTATTAATTCAACTTAATTTTAATCAGAAATTTGGCCTAAACTTAAGTATTAATATTAACTTTATAAGATAAATCATTTCTGGAAAGGAAATACCTGCCTAGGTATTGTATGATTTAGTTCTTGCTTTGCCTGTTTTTCATAAATATATAAGTTAAAAAGAAATTTAAGAACATTTGATACCGTTATTGATAAAATGTTATGAATGCAAAGTTCCTAAATTATAAGATTTAGGAATTAGAGTTACAGAGTTTGTTCTTGAAAATAATGATTATACCTTTAGCAAAACTAAAATTTTACCAAGAATTTTTGTACTTGCATTAGATTAAAACATAGAAATTAGAAAAACTACACTAATTTGTATTTATAAAACATTAAATGTAATGGATGCTGATTTAGTTTTAAATTCATTAGAAAAAGTAAAGGCCTTGGGGACAGATCGATAATTAAATTAAATTGTCTTAAAAATATATCAATCATTATCCAAAATTTTATCAATAGATTAAGTATCTTAAAAATTATTACCATAAATAACTCCTTATTTAACAGATCCAACTCTTTCAAAATAAGAATTTAATGAATATTATGATACCTTATAATAAATGTTAGCTAGAATTAAAAGTGAGAAAGAAAAGAACCTTAGTGACTAAAGCATCAATGTTATACAAGTTGATTATAAATTAGCTTTACCTGAACCAAAGAGATTAGTTGATAATAAAAATGTATAGTTTGAATTTCTTAATCAATTTGATTAAAGATTAACCTCCATTCCAGATAAACCAGTAATTCAAGAAACTCCTACCTAACCTGCAGCAATATAATAAAAAGATTAAGTTCCATAATTTTAAAATTAATAACCACCTATTATTTAGCCATCAACTTAAACAGCATTTCCTATTTAAGAAAATAATAGTTTCAATACAATGCAACTAGGTTAACCTGTAACATTAGGGATGCCCATTGATTCATTTTAATAGCATTCTTCTCTAAATTTGTTCAATTAACCTTAATTAGGTATTGTATAGACTCCTCCTCTTCAATAAAATTAATAATTGAATTAATTTTCAATGTAACCTACTTAATAATAAAATCCTTCTTTAGGACTTTATTCAAATTCATTTTAATAATAAACAACATTTGGATAATAATAATAAAATGCCTTTCAAAATCAAACCTAATAAAATTAAGGATAGTAAAATCAAGCAACTTAATAGGACGTTAAAAAATTAAGTACTCGACCATTATATTCAAATAATAATAATTCATAATAATAATAATAATAATAATAATAATAATAATAATAATAATAATAATAATAATAATAATAATAATAATAATAATTTTTCTAATAACCTTAAAAGTAAGAAAATAATTTTTTTGAAAAAAGTAATGATCCTTGGAGTGCTTTTAACTAGGGTACCACACAAGATCCTTGGGCATAATTTTAAAATCCGGTAATTTAAAATTAAAATTAACCTTAAAATTAAAATTAGGGAATTTGGGGAATTTAATAATAAGCCTCACAATAGACTTAAAATCAACAATCATTAAAGAATAAGTATGCCAGCTTTGATGAGTTAATATGAAGTATTTTACAAATTATATTATAAAACTTAATCAAATTTCTAATCTCAAAGGTTAAGAAATCCAAAAGAAATAAAATATTTCACTTCCCAAAATTACAACAATCAAAATAATTGATGAAATTTAAACACATTTTAAATCACTGTCATAATCTCTAAGAATAAAATAATAATTACATTTTCATCAATTATTTAGCAAATGCAAATGCCAATAAAGTGCCAAAAACATAAGAGCCTAGAATTCCTATGTAATCTATGATTTCCCAAAACCAAGCTTACCAGAAAAATATAATTAAACCACCTAATATCATTCCAACCATTTAATATCTCCCTGAACCTGAATAACTCCATTTATCCCACTTTAATAAAGTGTATCCAAACAGCACTCCATCAAAAGTAGAAGGTACTAAAACACCATTTATATGCAATTTAGATGTGTAACAACAGCTAAGTAATGTGCCTCCAAATCCACCAAATATACTTATCATCCATAATTTCTTCCAACCTAACAATTTTTCTACATATGACCCAAATATTGCAACAGCAACTTAACAAGAAAAATAATTGATAAAATTTGAATACAAGAGAAGACTTAAAAACAATCTTTAAATCTCTTATTCATATTTAATTCGGTATGGATATAACATACCTAAAGAATATAGAGACTAAGAATTAAATAATAATTTATACGTTTTAATTGGGTTCAAGAAATTATCCACCATCTTTTATATCACCACTTACTATTAAAATTATAAAGTAAAATGAATTCAATATGATAAGTATCGTTGTCATACTTTATAATTTAAAAGTTGGAAGGCAGGTGTAAGTAATCATCTCAGTAAATTTTTCATCTCTTGGATATTTTAAAGAATTCTAAAAATTTACTACATAATAAATATGATATACTAAAGTATGGAGGATCTGAATCTTAACTTCTCCAAATACTCATTAATGCTTAAGGTGTTGGCTATCCAGTTGATGATTAAGCAAAACTCATTAATATATATTTTTATTATATTAAATAATTTTATTTTAATTACCGCCAAAAAAAAATGAATGTTTAAGATCAGAATGAGTTTGAAAGAAATTTGTATGCATATTATAAGCATCTTTTTCCAATCTAGATGATTGTTGAATGGCTAACATATGCAAAGGATAATCCACCTGAATTAAAGTATTTTAATAGAAGAGAATTTTCATTTGAAAGGAGTATAGGTGAAGACACTTTTTATTAAAGATATTAGCAATTTCAAAATGCGTATGGTCTTTAAAAATTCCTCTTAGATAACTAATAAAATGATGAAACATCATCTCTTATAAAATATGATATTGGTGCTGTTTTTGATAAATTACCTAAAAAGGGTGAAAAGCTTAAAGCTTTGGAAAAGGAAATTGTTATAGATATTGATATGGATGCATATGATGAAGTGCGTACTTGTTGCTAAGGAGCAAAAATATGTGAAAAATGTTGGAAATTTCTTTAAGTAGCTTGTGAGATTTTGAGACCAGCTTTATTCTATGATTTTGGGTTGGAACACATTTTAGCGGTTTATTCAGGAAGAAGAGGAATACATTTGTGGGTTTGTGATAGTCATATAAGAAAATCTACAAATGAAGTCAGATCAGCTATTATAGGATATTTGAATATTAATATTGGTAATGCAGATTCTGAGGAAATTATAAAAGAGATAAAATAGGAGAAAATAGAAAAATTACATCCTTCTATTTAAAGAGCATATATGATAGCACAATAATTTTTTAAATAAATAATCTTAGTTGATCAAAATAGTTTAAAAATTGAGAATGTTAAGAAAAAGATTTTAACAATTTTGAAATAAACAAAAATTCTTAATCCTAAATTAGAGAAATTGATTTTGGAAACAAATGATTCTTTTTAGATTTGGGAAATCATTTGTTCTTAAGATTCAGAAAGACTTGAAATTGCTAAATTATAAATAATTTTAATGTGTTTATATCCTCGCCTTGATGCACATGTCAGTACTACAATTAACCATTTATTGAAAGGTCCTTTTAGTATACATCCAAAAACATGTAATATTATAATGATTATTAGAACGTGTTTGTGTTCCATTCAATCTTAAAGATAGTTCATAATTTAATCCATTAGACACACCTACTTTACCTAATATTATACAAAAATTAGCAGAATTACCAAATGAATTGAAATAAAGAGAAAATGAGAATAAAATATTTCCATTTTTAGGAAAAGAAATACAAAGTTTAAAAAAATATATAGAATTATTTGAAGATTTTATCTCTAAATATAATAAGCCTAAAATTAACTGATGAATTAATTATTAAAAACCATATTAATCATTTAATTAAAATATCAGACAAATTATTTTTTATTCTCATCTAATCAAAGACTGTCCATTCCATTTAATTTTATGTGCTTGCTCTAGCTTCTCTTAAGTTTCTTTGCAAAAATACACCTTTGATTCTATTTGAATATGTTGTTGTATAAGATTTAACAAATTATGAGATTCGATTTAATTATTATTTATCTTAAATAATTGACCAATTAGGTAAATAATTTATATGTAAACAATCATCTTATAAACAAAACTAAACATAATACATATCTTACTCTAAATAATACTCGTTGTGCTTATTCCCATTATAAATCTAGTAACGCAAAAGATAAGTTACTTAATTGTACCTCTTCAGTTTTAGTTGGATCTAACTCGTATTTGTCATTGTTTGACTTGAACAAGAAATCAAAGAAAGAATCTGTCAATTTATCATTTATTAAACTGGCTAAGTGTTTACAACAATCTGAAAGCATTTTATCTATTGTATAGAAAAGAAAAGCCTAAAAAGGTTATTATAAACATTCACTTGTTTTCCAAATAGTAAACTTAAATAGTCTTGATATTTGAAATCTTTATTTTTAATTGAGTAAAGTAGAGCATTCTTAAATAACTTGTATCTAATTTCAATTATTTTCTATTTTTCTTTTTCATTCAATTCTAAAATTAAATAATTAAATACTTTCAAACTTTTCATTTTATTCAAAATTCTAACTAATTTAATGTGCTAATTCAATTCTTTGATACAACGAATAGAAATATCGAAAAAATAAATATATTCCAGATGTTCCATAAATGATTTTTCCTTGAGGTTTAAATTTACTATTAGTATTTGATAGTAATTATAATTAATTTCTTGGAAATACATCTTCTTCATCAATAAGAGGTGATTTAAGAGTTTTGATTCTTTAAAGTTCATAATCAGATTCTTCAAAATCATCTGAGTCTTTTCTGTTGTTACTATTTGAATTATTGTTATTTAAATGAGATTTTTTAGTTTATTCTTATTCAATATTAAATTAATCAATATAGGAAAATGATGAATTAGTAACATATTATTCAATAGTTGATAAGTCTCCTCTCAAAAGTGAAAAATTATAATTCTAATCAATTAACTCAAGATTAAAGTATCCTTAACATAATTTTTAGAATAAATCAAGAATCCATTCTGATTCATTCAAATTTGATTATTCAACATAATATTTAAAAATCTCAAATGTTTCTTCTAATAGAGTTTTATTAGAAATATATAAGCTAAAAACAGTGCTTTAATCAATTTCATTAATATTAACATATTTTTCATGACTGAGAGGTTTAATAGTAGTTAATTAGACTAAAGAATTCAAATATTCTGCTTAAATTGCATTATTTGCTTATATCTATGTATATTTTTCATCAGGTTCTTTTAGAAATCTGGAAGCACAAGTATATTACTTTTCATTTTTCTTAAAATAAAAAGATCGATGATCTAAAGATCTAGAAAAATTGTTTTTTTAAGTAATTTTCCATGTTTGATTGGCTATTTCTCTAGATTTAATTAATTCCTAACATTTTTAATTTAATCTATCTCTTAGTATAGGAGAACATCCTATTGGATTCTTCTACCACAATGTTATAACTTCCTCTTGATCTTTACTATTAGTTTTGTATACTGATTGTAAACACTTAATTTGAAGTATTTTTCTAATTTACTATTCTATTGCTTATTAATTATTTCCTGCTATCAATTAATCAAGTAACTATTTTATTTATAATATTTTTTTACTTTAATAGTTCTTCTATAACAATTAATATTGACATCATATTCAAACATTTCATCTTCTATTTTGAATAATTGTTCTTCAAAACTATTTTTTCTCATGATTGAAAATGAGTAATCTTCACTACCAAATGGTACAGATACCCAAAGATGATTTAATACATTAGGTAATTTTGGATCTTCTTTCATTATATTTGCATAACCAGGATGCATTCTAACATATGAACCTGTGATATGTTCAGCATTCTTAAAGTCAGTATCTTTAAGTGGTTTAAATAATTATGTTTATTGACGACGTGCAGGTGCTCTTGTAAAAATAGCTATTCTAAGTTCATCTATAATTTCCTAATCAATCCATGTATGTGATGACAAAATATCCATAAGTTCATATTAAGTAATTATACATTCTGTATATAAATGAATGACATTTACAAATTCATAAAAGAATTGATTAAAATCAGATTCTTATGTAAAATGGCTAAAACACTTTAATCTTAGTTTATCCAATACAATAATTTCATTTTTAATCTCTCTGCTTACTTATAGTTAATAAGCATTATTGTAAAAATATTAAGTATAATAAGCTTAATATGATTATATTTCTTCCATTGTAGGAGGATTAGGTTTAACTTTTTTGTTTTTCATATCTTCCCAATCTAATTGAATTTTTTACTTCTATTTTTTCAATTTGAAAGCATTTTGAATTTCTTTAAGAGCTTCTGGATCATCTTTAAATTAGATTGATATTAACTAGAATATGATATAAAAGTTATAATTACATCTAATTATTACTGTTGGTCGAGGTTTCCCTTGAGTATTAGATTTTTTGTTTACTCTAGGAGATTGATTCTATTCTTATCTTATTTAAAAATGGACTCTAATTATTAAATAGCATCATTTGATTTGATGCGGGCATCATGATAAAATAATTTATTTAGATTTTCAATGACAGCTGGCTAATCAGAAAAAAGCTTTTTTATCTCACTGTAATAGAGAGATATATTTTATCTATTCTATTTATAATCCTTTAAAAGCACAACAAGCTATCTAAATATTTCAATTTATAATTTACTAATATAATGATGGATAGTCTCTTCTTAATCTGTTGCAAAAAGCTTCACAATTTTTCAATCCTCTTTGTGTTTATTCCTCTTCTAGGTAAGAATTATTGTTCTGACCTTCACTCATAGTAATATAAATATATAAAAATTAATGATTTCTATCTCTGATTTGATTCGTTGACTTTAGTTATGAAGAGATACCTGATTATTTAATTATCATATAATAATAATTTGAATCAAAAATATCCATTGTCTTGAAATGCTTGATGTAATGCATTAGAAACATTAAATTAAAGTAGCTCTCCCAACCTCTGATATTCTTGTCTTAATCTAGTATTTTCTGCATGTGATTCTCTTAAAGCTTTTTCTAAACTATGTATCCTTTCAGTTTATTAAATTCTTTCATTCTATAATTATATTTCAAATATTTACTTCCCAAGCTTGACGATCTATTTTCTATTCATTAAGTAATTAATTTAAAGAATCAGATTGCATTTTTCTTTTTTATTCAATTTATGCATTTAATGTATTAATTTCACTTTCATATTTCTCTACTGCAGATTCTTTTACTTTAGCTTACTACTTCAAAGAATCACATTTTTGCCTTAACTCTTAATTTTATCTAATAAAATCTTTATTTTAATTTTTCAGTCTCTCCAATTCATCATATAATACTTAAACTTCTTATTTTCCATTTAAGATTCTTTCATCATATTCCCTTGCAGCATCTGCATTTCTTTTTATTATCAAATCTCTAGCCTCTTCCATAGCTCTTATCTTGGCATCTAAAGTTGTTGAAACTATATGGTATTTTTAGTACTCTTCCTCTTAAATCCTTCTTCCAAGATCTCTCAATTCTTGATCATAAGTTAATTATAATTAAATTTATCTTTCTTATAATGATCTTAATTCTTCTTCCAATATCCTATTCTCTTATTCAAGTTATCTGGATCTATCCTCTACAGCTCTGCATCTATTCTCCCAATCTCTTACTAAATCTCTTGCTCTAAAGTTATTTTCATTCAAAGCTCTATCCAAATTAGTTCTGTGTTTCTTCTCCAATTCATTCAAAATAAATTCATTCTATCTTATTTTTTCTTCCATTGATCTTGTTACATCCTCTTATTATCTTTCCATCAATTAATATTCATCTCTTAATTTCTCAATCTAATATAAACTAGCTCTATTATCAGCTTCTAATTATCTAGTTTTTGCATCCAATTCTTCTAACAATCTAGTATCTGCTTTGTCTCTTCTCATTAATTCATCTAACTCTCTCTCCATTCTTTATTTAATATGCATTGTGTGTATTCTCTCTTACTCTAACATTTATTCCAAATGTTAAACTACTGATGCTCCTGCCAATCCACTAATCATTGGTTCTTCTTCTTCTACAACATCCTCATCAATTGATAAAATTCTATCCTTCTATATTGGATTACTAGCCCTATGTTATTCTAATATATCCTCTATAGCTTCATGATCTTATTATATAATTTCTGTTCCATTTAAATCCAAATACAAAATTGCCTTATTATCTCCAACAGCTGATAATAAAAATTCTCCTCCTTTCTTCCCAAGAGAATTCCATCTCAAATCAAGTGAAAGTAAGGTAGTGTTTTACCTTAAAGCATTAGCTAAAGGTTCAATTTGATCTCCGGTTAACTTATTATTTGATAAACCTATATGTTAAAGTGACTTATTTGAAACTAAGTATCCTGCTAATGTTTCTATTCCAACTCCATCAGAACCTATTTGATTCCATTCTAATGATAGAATTTTTAATAATGGGCATCCTCTTAATGCTGTTACTATATCCAAAAATCTTATTATAATTTTAATATATACCCTTAAGCTGTAATATTATTTCCTCTTAATACTAAACATTTCAAATTTTTATTGTTTTTCACATAATTAGATAATAATCTTGCTCCATCATCCCCAATATACATTTCAGATAAATCTATCCTTTGGGCATTCTTTAACTACTCTAACATTGTTTATAACGATACACTCATTTCAAATTTAAATTTTATATTATTAAATACATAATTAATCACTTCTATTTATTTTTCAATCTTTTAATTGTTTAACATGATTCAACATCATCTAAACCATCAATAATACTAGATGATTTAAATTAACAGTTTCCCTTTTTTTATTCTTTCATTTTATTTTCTTTATCTTTATTTTCTTCACTTTTTTCCTTCTCTTTATTTAAAACTGCAATATACTTTTCTTTTTATTGAATACTTTTTTGTAAAGTTCTAATATCTGCAATTTTAGCTTCTCTTTATAAACACAATTCATGAATTTATTTTTCTAATTGAATTTAAGCATTCTCACTTTTAGTAAGATCACTTTTGAGTTTATCAATTAATGATAAATTTTCATTTATTTCATTTGATTAATTAGTAACTATATTCATAATTTCCTTTTATTTTTCTTTGAGTTTTTCATAATTTCCATTAATTTCTTTGAGTTAAACTTCTAATTTTTCTTTATCTAATGTTAATTTTTAAGAATGAGCTTATAACTATCCTACTTCTATTTAATAGAGATTATTTTAATTTCTCAATGCAAATAAATTCTTTTCATCTTCTTTATGTCTCAATTAAAATTCAAAGTTTAATTTTTCATATTCTTAGACTTTATGTTCTAAATCAACTACTTTTTTTTCTAATTCTGCTATTCTTCTTTCTTTAGTAAAAAGATTATTTCCTAATTTTAGATTAACAGCCATTTTAAATTATTAATTTCTTTTCTATAATGAATTAAAGTTAATAATCACAAGAAGTTTACAAAATCATATTAGTTGGAGATCAAGGAGTAGGAAAATCATCAATTTTACTCAGATATACAAAGGATCTATTTTATAGAGATTATAATGTTACTATAGGACTAGAATTTGCGAGTAAAAAAGTAACAATACAAGATAATTCATTAACACTTTAAATTTGGGATACTGTAAGAAATCTATACATAATATTAAATAGGCAGGTTAAGAAGCTTTCAGAAGTATTGCTAGATCCTTTTATCGAAATTCTGCTGCAATTATTATTGTATTTAAATTAACAAGGTTCATTTGATAATTTATAAAAGTCGTGAATCATTTTAAAGTATTTCAGGATGGGTAAAAGATATCTAAGAAAATAGTGATGAAGGAGTTGTTATTTCATTGGTTGGAAATATGTCAGATTTAGAATCAGAAAGAACTGTGACAACAGAGGAAGCAACTTAAAAGGCTAAGGAATTGAATGCATTGTATTTTGAAACTTCAGCTGCCACTGGATCAAATATTGATGATGTAATATATATTAATCTAATAAGATAACTAGATTTTTATTAATTCATTAGAGAAAGTTTCACAATAACTCAATCCCATAAGAACTAATTCTGAATAAAATGTTAGAGATTCCATATAATTATCTCAAAAAATTTAATCACAAAATCAAGTAAAATAGGAATAGAATGGAGGAAAAAAATAAAAACAAGTTGAAAGCTCTAATAAGGGCTGTTGTTGAAGTATTTTATAAATCTTAAGATTTATTGGTTATTTTATATAACAATATTATTATCATAACAAAGGAGAATTTAATTAAGTTTCTTCAAAACATTCGAACTCTTCTAATTTAATATTAAGCATTTCTAAGTTGTATTTGACTATCTCATTATGCTTAGAATTCAAATACAAGTTATAATAAGCTACTGTATTTTAATATTCGTTTTAATATATTTATTTAATATTCCTAATTAATCCTTATTAAACTTATTACAAATCTTAATAACTTTCAAAAAAATTGAATTCTTAATTAAGTTTATAAAATTGATCTGCTTATATATAGTTATTACCACATTGTTATATATTATCATTAACTAAAATCAGAATTTATAATAGTTTTTAATAATAATTTTTTTATGGATGAATAACTTATTATTCATTTTAATAATTTTTCAATTAAAACTCAGGAGAATTGTGTTTATCTTTGAAAATTAAATATTTTGTAAAAGATATTAATACTAAATTGTTTTTATAGAATTAATTAAATTTCTTTGATATGATAATTTCAATATTTTTAATCTGTTTAGTTGTAATGTAAATATTAGGTAGTTATTCAACAAAATACGTTGGAAGACTCACAAATAAATATACCATTATTTAGCATCTAACCCAAAAAGAAAATGTTATTAATCTTTCATTAATTGGAATTATAGTAGTTAATGAATACCAAATTATAAATAGAAATTGAGGATACAATGTCAATTTAAATAGGTTATCCTAAATACTTTTGGTTTATATTATTCCTATAATAATTACAGTCAATCCTTCTTATAATAAAATACTTAAAGCAACAAGATTTTTATGCTCCTTATATACTTACATAGCTAATAACATTGGTTTTGATTATAATTTACACTATATATAAGTTGGAAGGGGAAAAAAAAGCAATCCTTAAAGTAAAGAAATAAACAATAATTTTTTTTCATCTGAAAATAATTTAGCAATTTTTGTATTTTATTTTAATTATTTTTTATTTAAAGCTATAGCTATTCTTGCAAATTTCATCAATTATAATGTATAACAACAACCTCTTGACCATAATTAGAAGAATGAAATAATTTATATTAAGATTATTTATGGTTCACTATGTTCATATGTTTCTTTGAAAAAATCATGTTTTAAATCATTGATTATATCAACAAATAATATAATTGTTGCAAATATTTAATAAAATCCACCTGAAAATAAAGTTAATATTGGAGATAATTGCTTTATAGGGTATTGATCCCTTAATTTATATACAATATTGCAATAATATAGAGTTAGAATAATAAATATTAGTTAGAGTAAAGTCATAATAATAGCATAATTCAATTTTGATGTATCATCTTCTGATTCCATAAAATAATTAGTATATTTTTTGTTTTGAATATTAATTAATTTATATATAATATTTAAATGAAAAATATAAAAGAATCCTTTATAAAGAGTACAAAAGAATATAAAACAAAAATTCACTCAGGCTTAAATTTCTTAAGCAATTGTACAATCTTTAATCTCAAATCCAAATATTCACATTTAATAAATTACAAAATTACTGGATGTAATATCTATTCTTGGAAATATAAAAAATCAAGCATTAAACCCATATTATGAACTTCTTCGTTTTTTCTTTCTGTTTCCTCTATAAATTAAGCTAAATTTGAATATATTGAAGATAATAAAGTAGGTTTGATAGTTTCTAAAATTTTATTGTTCAAATTATTATTATTTTAAAATAAACTTATTATGTTGATTATTGTAGTTTATTATGATATATTTTCCTTTGTAACTATTTAATTTATATAAAACATAGTTATTAATTCTATAATTATTATCTCTTATTCATTATTATATTAAAGGGATAGAAAATATTGAACCCATTCATAAATTTTCTTATTCTACATTAAAATTGGTTCTACTATTTATCTTAATACTTCTTAGCTTAAAAATTAAATGATTTAAGAAATCAAATGCTTTATCTTATTAATAAATGTTATTTATAGTCTTTCAGAATTATCAGTTAAAAATCTTTAGCTTTTCTATTTATATAAATAATTTTTACATTTAATTAAATTATTAAGGATCTAATGAATTTTACAGTTGGTTCAACCATTCTAGGTGTCAATTTTTATCGTATAATAATATCATAGGATGTACATAACATTTCTAATAATTTATGAAATCTTAATTAAACTCCTATTGAAGAGAATTATTCTGAAATAAAATTTAACCATTTTAAAGCATCTTCTTCTGATACATCATATCCAGGTAAACATTGAGAAACATATGATTTTAAAATTGAATTATCAAATAGATAATTTTCATTACATACTAATGCCATTAATTTAGAACTTATAATAAATGACTTTTATTATTGGCTTTTAAATCCTTAACTCAATATTTAACAAATATATTGAAAAGTATCATTATCAATAAAATATTGAGTGTCAATTTAATCATTATCTAATAAAGAATTCAATATATCTAATGATATTTCTATTTACTAAGTTGTATGAGTTAAGATCTTTGATAATACTAAAATTATTTCATGTTTTATGTAAACTAATTGTGCTTAATTAAATGATTAGATATGATAATAAAACTTATCATATTTTTCCTTTTAAATAACAATTTCAGCCCAAAGAGATATACATAATTTTAAAATCTCCAAAGATTATTTGTATTATTCATTTATTGTTTGTTTATCAAATTTTATTGATTAAATTTAAAATTTAGGAGTTTCAATTAAATTATTATGATTAAATCTAGGTGTAGTACTAAATAAACTTATTTATTAAAATTCTATTCTTAAATATTGAACTATACAATTATTCATTAATTCTTCAAATAATTCATAGATTTCATTAAATTATTCATTTTATGAATTTAAACATAATTAAGAAGCTATGTGTAAAGCTGCAAATTTTAAATCATCTTAATTATCCATTGTATCTTTAATTAATTTTAGAGACATATTCCATAAACCAGGATTATTTATTTTATGTTATATTGATTTTAATTACAATTACCATAACATGCATATAATTTTATGTTTAATTTCATTTTAATATTATTTTGATAAATATTTTGTAAGATAAACACAAATACTTGCCATTCTCATCAAACATTAATCATTTAATTAATCTAATTAATTAAAGATTAATTCACTTAAACAATTTAAACATAATAATAAATGTATAAATTCTTCTTTTTCATTTAATAATGTTTCAAATACTTTAATTAAATCAATATATAATGTATCAGATATTTGCTATTACTTTATTAAGAAATATAAAAGATTCATAATATATTCAACCACATCATCATATCTTGAATTTATTAATTCATACATAGCATTGAATAAATCAATTTTTAGATATTTATTATTAAAACATTAACAAATAATACTCTTCAAACTATTTAAAGAGTATAATCTCATTTCTTATGATTTAGATTAACATAAACATAATAATAAAGCTTCCACTGTTTACCAAATCTTATCTAATCTAAAAACATTTGCTTATACTATTAGTACAATTTTATCAATAGCAAATTATTTATATATTTAATTTATATCATTTGTATTACTATTTATTTATACTTTTTCAACTATTTATAAAGCAAGTTAATTTAAACCATCCATAATTTTAATTAATGTTTAATCATCATAATCAGAAGAATTAATAAAGAATTTCATTATTTCATCTTATGAAAAATTTATCATTTCAATTCTTTGCATAGTTTAGAATATTTAATTCCAAATTTTTGGTGAAAATTAACTCATATAATGTTTAATACATTCACATAATATATTATAACTTATTATCCAATTATTATTAATTTCTTTTCTTAAATTAATAGAATTTAAATCAGGTACTGAAATTTAAGATAAAAATTTTATCATCAATTCTTAACCATTTTTAGATTGTTAAATCCATTTATATAATTATTCATTTAATTCTACACATTATTAATGAGATGATATTTATAAAATGTATTTAAATAATTTAAACATAGGTCTACATATTTAAACTAAATTTTTATCATAATCTTAAGTTATTAAGAATTATATGTTAATATTAATTAAATTAGCTAATTAATAATAATTTATATTTACTTAATTATTAAATATATTTATTAAATACTATAGTATTAACAAATTCTAAATATTTAACACTGAAATTTACAATCAAATTACTTTATTTTTATGATTAAATTTATTCATATTCATATATATGTAATATAGTACTATTATAAATAGTTTTAAATATTTATTCATGATAACCTATAATAAATATATATATTATTACTAATTTAAGTATTTTGTATTTTCTAAGTGAATAATTTTGTAATTATAATTTCATTTTGATATAAATACAATAAAGCATCATGAATTGCAATTTTTAAAATGTCTTTTTATTATGATTTTGTGTATAAATTGATTATTTAATCTAGCAATTATATATGATCTTCCATCAATAAGATATATGTTGATATCAATAAAACAGAATTTATTTCTAATTAATTAACATATAATACTTGATAATTGATTTGATTACATCTATATATCTAAGGATAATAAATAATTATAAACCTTAGAAATATAGAAATCCTAATTTTTGAGTGTTCTACCATTTTTTAGTAAAATAATGAAGATATCCTTGCCTAAATTACAAAATCAATTACAAAGAATAGAGTTTAAACTACTGTTTATTTTTGTTTAATTTTTATCTTGGAGGATTAAAAAAAAGATTTCCAAATATTCTAATAATTAATCTTATTATATAAGTGAGACAATTAAGAGTATTCCCTAGATTGCAGATTATTAAATAATTGAATTGTCTGAGATTGTGTACGTTAGAAATAAATTGAATAGCTATTTTTTTTGAGAATATTTAAAATAAATACTTTTGTACAATTCTACATCCAATTAATATCAATTATGTGAAGCAATGTTGATATTAATTTGATGTCTATGGCAATATCATATTCTTTTTTGATTGCATTTATAAAGTCAATAATACTCAGTTATTGATTCTTAAATTTAAGATAATTTTCATTACAGGATTGAAAGTGTGATTGGATTATTAAATTATATTTATTGCTTTAAGGACATATCCCTCATTCTTGGAATGTGATATTGTTTGTAATAACAATGGCAATTTGTCAGCATCTTATTCTTAAAGTTCAAACAATTATTTAATATTCATAATAAATAAAAATGGTTGATAATCCAGTACAGCTGCATATTGATTTTGAAAATTTATAAGTTTCTGATTAAGATGATGAATGCTACAGTGGAGTTTCAGATGTTTCTGTTGAACTTTAATTATTAGAATACTCACCATAATAACCAGCTAGCTTAAACATAGAAAGAAGCATTGTCTCCTATCTCAAGGAACTTGGCATTAAAATGAAAACAGATCCAAGAGCTAAACAAGATAGATATTTTAAGAGAAAACGGCAATTTAAAAGGGCATAAACTACATTTATGGAAGAAAAAGAAATTAAATCAACTACTATGACTCCACCTTAAATTGGTAAAAAGCCTATAATGTAATTACAAATGAATTCAATTATCGGAAGACGCACTCCACAAAATTTAGGAAGCACCCCTTTACTACAATTTCCAAATAAAGTTACTGAAAAATCTAAATTCAGCTTATAACGCGATACATCTAGTTCTCCAGTATGAATTTTATAATACATATAACAAATTAATATCCTATAAAATAAATGCTTAAATTCACAACTTTTAAGTGGTAATCATGATTTTTATAAATTAATTTTGAAACTTTAAAATCATGATAAATGGAATCAATCAATTTTATATACATATATATGACTTTATTTTTAATAATTTCAATGTTTAATATTGAATTGATGACCCAATTCATACTCATCATCAAATCTTTAAATAACTTATTATTCAACAAATGATATTATCTAAGATAAAACAATAAATAAATACTTAATAACTTAAATAAATGATCAATCCTTATCTAGTTAATTAAATATTTGTAATTAAATGAATATTTTTTTATGATAAGAATTGGATCTATTTACATATTTATAATTAATCTCTTATAAATTTTTCCTTTTTATTTTTATTTTTGTTGATAGCTTACAATGTGTATTTTATGAATGGATACCTCAAGTGGAATGAAATTCTAGTATAATAATCTTAAAGAACATATGAATTCCCTTATTGAATTATACTTAGAATAAATTCATTCTGATCAAAAAGAAAATTCTTGTAGCATTACAAATTGTTTAGATTAATTTTATTGTCTTAAAATTACTATTAACAATTAGCTTTCTTCTAGAACTATCAGATTCATTATATTACTAAATGATATTTAGATATTACATTATTTATGATAATACATTGTTAAAGAGATTTTTCCATTCTATATCTATGCTACTTTGAAGATCTGTTGATGACCTGCTGTTCTATCTTTTTCAAGTAATTTAACTTGATTTTTCCATTATTAAATATAAGTAGTGTATTAACAATATTCTTTAAATCTATTGCTTTATAATCTTTATTATTTTTGCATTTGCATTTGATTTTATTATTAATAATTTATCTACAATTTATTAGCTTGACTTAATAATTTCTCTTAACTAATTTTTAATATTAAGTAAATCTGAGTAGTCATTTTTTTTTATTCTTCTCTAAATCCTAGATACTTAATTCTATTCCAATTCAATCTTGATTACATCATTTCGTAATAATATTGAAAGAGAAAATATATATATTTCGTCACAAATAATTTATTAATCGTTCATATATGTTTTTTCTATATCTTATAATTTCAGCTATTATATTCTCTCTATATAACTATGTTTAATTGAAATCTTCTAGTAAAGATTTTATTATTTTTTCAATAAAATCATTTGAATATCAATCTTATTAAATGAGATTAATCAATAGGTTTTGATTATACTAATAAATATTTTATTGGTTGTTTATTATTGTGATTAATAGATGGTTTCTGCATTTTAAATTGTTTATTATTTAATTATTAAATTAATTCATTTATATTACATAATACAATTTAAAAATAAATAATCACATTATCTTATTATGAAACCTGACAATTATATAATATCATTAGATTCATTAAAATTATGAATATTCTGAACAAAATTAAAATTTTATTAACTTATTTTTATAATATAACTCTTGTTCCTTTACTAAAATTTCTATAATAATATTATAACAATTATTTAATACAATCCATAAACATATATTCCTTAAATATCATAATTTTAAATTCTTAAACTTAATGTATTCTTCTTTTCAAATTAGTCTTAAAATCTTAGCTTTACAATTTTTAAAGTTATGATTACTTATATTAATTATTTTATTCTTCTTCAATTCAGGATTCAAATAAAGTCTAATTTACTTTTTCTATTACAAAATACCTTTTGATTGAAATTTAATCTATTTATTTTTCTTTTTTATTTTCTTTGGCCAGTAATGATATAGCTGTTTGTTATTTAAGTAAATAATTAGTTGAGCATCTAGATATTTGTGATTTTCAAGTTTCTTTAGATGAAATTAGATTGACTTAGAAGAGACTTTCAAATCATATCTCTATTCCAATTTGATGTAATGTCATCTTCTTTAAGCAATTTTAATGGTTATTCTTTATATACATCTAAATCCACTTAGATTAGAACAATTTGGTTATTAATCAAAAATAGATGATATTATCATATGTCATATATCACTTTAGAAATGACTTATTGGAATTTAAATACTGCAATTACTATTAGTTAATCCATCTCAATGTAATTAAAATAAAGAAAGAGAATTGATATCTCAGATGATCGTATTAATTTGATATTAATATATAAGCTCTCTTTTTCAATGATGAACCCATACACAAATTGAGGAAGTTTAAATTGAAGAAATTGGCAGATTTAGAAACTCTAATACATCAATAAAGTTCACGTAGAGAATCATTTAACTAAAATGTGAATTAAAATAAGTTATAATAACAATATAAGAACCAATCACTTGATCAAGGCAAGATGATAGATTATGTAAAAGTTTAAAATAAAGAGTATTGATCAAAATATGATTTCATAGGTTAAACAAAGTTAAATTACAATAAAAACTTTTGAACCGTTCCCGTATACTATAAGATGAACCATAAAAAAATAATGATAATAATTTACCTTTCGTTGAAGTAATTCTATACTTTATCTATTAAGTAATATCTTTTTAGGAAAACATTTTATAACATCATCAAAAAATCTCATCTTAAACATGAAAGCATTAAAGCCTCTTTAAAGAAAGTTGAGACCCTTTTGAGTGGCATAGATACAACTAGAGATTAATATCCTTTGCTTTCACCTATTGTTCAAACTAAATAAACTTAGATTAAAACTTGTAGAAATGAAGATAATTCAAGTTATACTATAAAATCTCAATTGCTTAATGTAACTGAATCACCAACTGTTAGAGATAGATCATCTTCTCTTAAGTAAACTATTGAGTAGAATAATGAAATAAGAAGTAATTTAATATCATTTCTACATTTTAGATATGAGGAGAGCAAAAGTAAAAGAAATAATTTATAAAACTGAGGAAACTAGAGAACGAAGTATGGCAGCTGTAAGATAATTGCTAATTTAAATAGAAACTATCAGTTTATAGCGAAAAACCAGATAGTATTTAGCCAACAAAAAAATAATTATAATAACTTAGATATAGATGGGTTAGAAAATTAAAGTATAAAATTGAATTACACAACAATTAAATGAAATAATTTATGGATTTCTTAGAATATCTCAAATCATCTGAAATAAAAGTAACAAATGAAGATCATTAATATTTAAAATACTATAGAGATAAATTATTAAATGGTGATCATCTTGTTGACTAAGATTTTTAGATCATGATCAATGATAAAAATACTTATAAAATTGGATAATTAATCAGAAGTTCGATAGCTATTGAAAATTGATCAATGTTTATGTAACAATTTATTCCAGAATTTTGGATAAAAATAATTCATTATTCATATTCATAAGTGTATAAATAATAAATCTTTTATATATTATTTTAATCCAAATGGCAGAGAATGTAAACATATTTTCTCATTATTTAATAGTTTGAATTAGCAGCAGAAGAAGTTAAATCATTCGTTGATAAATTGAATGATCAAACTAAATTATAGATCTATGGATTATACAAGTAAGCAACAGTTGGTGATGTTAATATTGGTATTTTTGTAAACTTATAATCTCTTTAGGTAAACCAGGAATCCTTGATCAAAAGGGAAGAGCAAAATGGGATGCTTGGAATTCCAACAATGGAAAATCAAAGGAATAAGCCAAAGCTGAATATGTGTAAGTCGTTAAAGCCAATGCCCCAGCTGATATCGCAAAAAACTTATGAGAGTACAAGAATGATAATATCATAATCAATTTACATAAACATATAAATATCTAGATGACATGTTAACTAGCACAATTATTGGATAAATTATCATATTTAAATAGTATGAAATGAGATAATTCATATATAAATATATGAATATGCAATAATAATATGATATCCTAATAATAATATTAGTTAGATATTGTTAAATTTTAGAAATAGAATCAAAAATCATTGACTTATCTATAAGATTGTTTAACTATCTTTCTTGATTAATATTCAATAATTAAATAGGTAAATAGAGTATCTAATTCGTTAAATCTTCTTTAACAATAACTTATTGAATTCTATGTTAGTTTTACTTTGAATAAGGATTTAATTTTATGTAATAAATTTGTGACTTTCATTTACGTTTCATAAAATAAGTCTGTTGTGAAAATCAATGTTCATCAAAACTTCTTTGTGATGAATGTATAAAATCAAACAATGATCATGCAGGTCATAGGTTAGTTGATTTATAACAGTTTATGAATTTAGCAGAATAGTTTTTAAAAGGAGGATAGTACATATATTAATTATAAATTCATAGTCCAGAAGTTGTATTATATGGTGCTGATTTAAATACTAAAACTAAGATTTATGTTTCAAACACTCAAGATATTAAGTAAGAAATGTAAGCTTAGTATGTTAAAATTCTGGAAGATTAGATTTAAAAATATATAAATCAATTAGTTGATGGAATCAAATAAGGTAAAAAAATGATTATAGATTTTGTGAATTCAATTATAGAAGAGAGTTTTTCTTCAGCAGTTTTAAAGTATTACTTTATCGAATTATAGTAATCGAGAATGTAGTCATATGATTATTAAAGGTGTTTTATAGGCATTTGAGTAAAAGATATCAACAAAAGATGGAAATAATTTATTATATAGATTGCATACAGGATAATTAGAAAAAGATTATTATGAAAAGAAAGTAAAAGATTTTTAATTTATATTTAGATACAAGGTTTAGTAGAATTGTTTCAAACTCATTTATAATAAATTTTAGAACCATTAGGTAATTAAGTGGAGAATTATGCAAAATAATTTCTATAGTAAATGGAAAAAGTTAAAGTTTCTGTTAAAAATGAACATTTTAATATGAATAGGACAAATATGCTTGCAAAATAATTTAAAATTAAAGATATGGTAATTGATTAAAACCTTTAATTAAAAGTTGAATAGCCAAATTATATTTCAAGAAAACATAATGTATCATTACCACCACCTCTACAAAATGAAAGTGAATATTAGAATATATTTAAACTTAAAACTGCTAGAATTCCTAAATAAAGGAAATTAGAATTACTTAAATCTTTAGACTTTATGCATCATACAGCAAGAAGTGATTCAAATATGTAAACAATTTCATAAATCACTCCCTAAAAAGCTAAATTAGATAATGCTGGATAAGATCTTAAACGAATTATGGTTGTTAATTCAATTCATTAAAATCTTCTTGATGTCATTAGCATATAAGGTAACATATGTATGACATCTGGAAAAGAAGGCACATTGAATCTATTTACTATATAAATTGAAGGAACTGATATTTCTATAATAAATCAACATTAAATTAAACCCCATCAAGAATTAAGAGATGTAGAAGTATGTTAAACTCCAGGAATGTTTCTTACAGTTGGAAGAAACATCAAAGTAACAAATGAGAAATATGTTGATTTGGGATATATTGTGAAATTATTTCTATTTCAAGATATTAAAGACATTGAATTATTGACTGAATTTAGAGATCTTCATAATTAACCTATTGAAAAATTGAAATTTATCAATGAAAATTATATCAGAACAAGAATAGAATATTCAAAATTTAGTAATGAATTAGAATTTGCATCTCAAACAATTGACACAATCAAAGTATGGAAATTTTCATTTGATAGTTCAAAAATATATGAAGGTGAAATGTAAGAAATGTATAAAATAGAGGTTAAATAATAAATTATTAAATGTATTGAATTTTCTAATGATTTCTTAATTTTAACAACCAAATAGAATTATTCCATATATCATAAGACTACTTTAATTAAATAATAAGTTTAAGGGAAAGATTTTATTGTAAAATCTAAGGTTATTAATAATAATAGAGTTATGATATTAAGTAACTAAGGAGTTATAACAATATTGGATATGTTGAAGATTAAAAATAATGAGAAATCATTTGAACCTCAAAAAATAGTAATATATATTTATAATTAATCAATTTTAGAATATTAAAAAATATTTGAGATTGATCCTATTTGAAAAAGAAGAAAAAGAAGTCGAATTTATAGATTGCATATAAATTAATTAAAAATTCCTTGTATTTATGCATAGTACAGTTTATGATTATTTTCTTACATTAAATAAAAACTTTGAAGTAATAATTACTTTTACAAATTTAGGTAGAAAATAGATACAGATACCCACCATCTGAGATAAGATTATTAAAATGCTTAGAATTCGATAAATACAATCTAATCATAAGTGTTGAAAGTAAAAATGACTTCGGGATTTGGAACATTGTTTTAAAATGATTTATATATATTTATGTCTAATAATTCAATATATCAATGGAATATGGATTTCTTTTATGAATTCAATAAGGATTTAGTTTCTACTGTTTAGTCATTGAACACATATGCCTCACCACCAGCTAATAATATATATAATTCAAATACCATAGCTTTAGTCGATTCCTAAAGATTCTTATTCAGGTTTAATCTTAAAGATTCCAATACCTTTTAATGGTACTAATACTACTAGAATCAATAGAGCCCATCCAGCAATGGAAAGTACTCCTACAATTTATATTCCAAATTGTTTTAATCCATAACCATAAAATAATCCATGTGATCTTGATAATATTCCATATAATAAAGTTCCAAGAACTCCTGGTACAAGATGAGCACCAACTGCTTATCCTGGATCATCTACATGAGATCTTTTAACTATTAATTATATCACAAGATATGAGATTCCAGCTAATGTTCCAATAAAGGCTGCTGCCCATAATTAAATATCATTGGCACTTGCACTAACTGCTACAACTCCTGCAAGAGCTCCTCTAGCTATAGTTATTAAACTTGTTTTTTCTTTTTTCAAATAGTATGAAACATAACTACTTAATCCACCAAATGAAGCTGCCAAAAATGTATTGACAGGTACTAATCCCTTAATATAATTTTCTGATCCTCTATTAAAACCAGAGAGGAAAATGATTTATACAACAACAAGTATTATTGTACCTATTCCAATAAAGAATGGTGCATGATGTGGGAAGATACCAGGATGAATTTTTCCATTCTAATCTCTACGTTCATGTAATAATAATGATGCCACCAATGCAGTAACACCTCCAAATACATGAATTACTGAGCTTCCTCCAAAATCTTAGAATCCAAATAAACTCAACCATCCCTTACCAAAAGTCCAATGAACAACTATTGGATATAAGAGTCCTTATAAAAATACTACTCCAAAACTGAACGAAAAGAATCTTGATCTCTCCAAAGTTCCAAATGCAAAGATTGAAGTAACAAAAATTGCAGCAATTGTTTGGAATACAAAGTTATCATAATCATTTTTGTTTGGTGTTGATTCAAATGATGCAGCGGCAAACAATGATTTACCTATGAATTTATTTGAATCCAATCCAAATGCAAATGCATAACCAGTCTAATTAGATATTAGATTATTTTACAATGAAGAAAGCAATAATTGTTAAGATTGCACCCAATAATATTGTTATAATAGCAGATTGTACTGATTTGTATCTGACCGCTCCAGCAGCAATCATTGAATATCCTAGTAGTCCTAAGATAGAAAAGAAGCCACAAGACAACACCCAAGTTTCATCTAAACCCATTTGATTCCGTTAAAATTATTAATTACTTTTTGGAATTCAAATTTTGTTTTTATATTTGGATATTATATATATATTCAATTCTTATCATTGTAATAATGCTCTCACAACAGTATTCACATTTAATTTTTTTAAATGTGTATATTTCTATCCCACTCCAACAAAAAGAATTGGTTTGCCTGTGGCTGATGTTAATGATAAAGCTGCACCGACTACATAATATATTATAAATCATTTACCTTTTTCATCAACAGTATCAAATTTACTCAAAATAATAGCATCAATCTCTCTAACATTATCCTTAGGACTATTTACAATTAAAGCTTTATTAAAATTAACCAATTAATCTACTCCATCGTTACCAACTAAGGCTTCCCCTACAAATAATACAAGATCAGGATTGTTCATGGTTACTATTCTTGATAATGCTCTCATCAATGGTTCATTATGTTACATCCTTCCAGCTGTATCTACTAAAACAACATCAATTTTTTTTATTGTTGCTTCCCTTATGGCTTAATAAGCAATTTCAGGAGGATCATCTTTATATCCTCTATCATAAACTGGAATCCCCAAACATTATCCATGAGTTTTTAATTATTCTACAGCACCAGCTCTGAAATTATCACAAGCGGCTATCATTAATGAGAAGCCTTAACTTTTGAATAGATATCCTAATTTTGCAAGTGTGGTTGATTTTCCTACTCCATTAACTCCTATAATAACTATTACATAAGGTTTTTATTTTTCTTTTGATCTTAATGCTTCCGCAATAATATCAATATGTCTATTAGGTGTCAAAATTCTTGTTAATGTTGATTTCATTGCTTCTTAGACTGAAGTACGTATTGATTGAAATGCCTTTGTTTTTGTAGCTAATAAATTACTTTTAATAGAGTCAACCAATTTTTATGCTATCTCTTCTGCTACATTTTTCTACATTAATGCATTTTTGAAATCATCTAAAACTGGTAATAAATCTTCTTCAGTTAATTATTTATTTCCTGTAAGATTCTGAATTTTTCCTGTCAATTTTGAAAATAAACCTTATTTTTTTTATTATTTTGGATTTTCATCATCTGAACCAAATAAAGGATCATCATCACCAACAAATTATTTTAATAAATCATCTTCTTATTCTTAAGTCATATATTTCTCATTTTAATTAGTTTAAAGTTAACTTTAACCTTTATTAGTGAAATCCAAAGATTCAATCTATTTTTTAGTTACATTCGTATTCATAATGACTGATTATTTTGGTGATCTATTATCAACTGGTGATTTTGCTCCATCTTTTGGAGACTTTGCTCCATCTTTAGGAGATTTTGTACCTGATTTTTATTACATCTTCATTTTAATTATTTCAGATTTGCTCAATTTTTATTAAACATCATTTTATTCTTCATTAGGCGTATTACCTGTTTCAACTTTCGGTTCAAATGTTTAAAATTATTCTTGTTAATCTTATGTTCTTGTTGGTCCTTCTTTTTCCTTTTCATTTCTCTTGTCACAATATAATTGCCACATTTTCATGACTTCCTCAAAACCAGAATCAAATTCTGGGATAGATCTATGATTTTAGATTATCTAATTACTTATAAATTCCTTTCTATTTAATAGCGGGATTATAAATTTGTTTAAATTAAGTTTACAACATTTTCAACAATACATCAATATATTAAATGAAAAAGATTTCTTAATAAGAAACGATAAATATCAATCCTAATTCATTTAAAACAACCCATTAAACTTTCATTGATCCCAATTATAATTATGTTTTCTATTGTAAACATCCATCAATGACTTTACCCAATACATCTTCTTTTATTTAACAAAGAGCCTAAATAATATATAGAATCTTCTTACTTTATAAAATAGAATGACTCCTCCTGTAGTTATAATGCTTACTAAATCGATCATTAAAATTACACGTAATTAATTTAATATTAAAATTCTTAAAATATTATTAAATTGTAAAATCCAATCCCTTTAACAATTTGATAAATTCTATGTTAGTTGAGTTGAATTCCAAATTGATAGAGATAATAATTATATATTTGGAATTTTTAAATTAAGATAAATATTAATATCAATTTTACAATGAAATAATTAACATTATCATATCCATTTTTCTTTTATCCATTCTGCTGGATATGAATCAGGTTTTGGCATTCTTGGAAATGTAACAATTCTTGTATTTTAAGGTACTTATTCTTTACATTCAAATACAAAATCAGATATTTATGTTGGGTATATATCTTATAAGAAATCTGCATTTTCTACAATCATCTCTAACCAGAAATCAAATCTCACTATAAATTTTTATATATTTTTCCAATTAGAATCTAATTCTGTGAAAATTCTTTTAAAAACTTCTCTGTTATTCCAAATAACTATACTACTGTTATATCCATTTTTATTTTATTTTTCACATGCAATTTCATCTGTTTTTAATATTCCAAATGCTCCCTTATAATCCATAATCTCATCAACATTTCCAGTTATTATCATATCAAGATCAATAAAAAATAATTTACCAGGAGGATACTCATAATAATCCATAAACAAAGTTGCTTTACCCCACCAACCAGTCCAACCCTTTTTTAATTCTTTTGTAATTATTCCATTTTATAAATCTTTTGGATCATCTGTAACACAAATAAAGTTAAATTATCTAGTACAATGTCTTTTAAAACCATTATATAATTTATTAACATAATCTGGTCCATATTTGGTTCCCCATTTCATACAAATAACATTAACTAAGTCATTTTATTCAATAGGAATTGATTTTACATCTATTTTTTTAGGCTCTTAATATCCTTAATCACTAATTTAGACAATTTATTTCCAAGTATGATCAATTGCTTCTTTCTATCTTCCAAGTTATCTTAATAAATCTCCAAAATTTATTTAAGCTTCATAATTATTAGGTTAAAGTTGAATAGCCTTTAAGCAATATTCATATGCTTCTTCTGGTTTATCTAAATTTGTTAATAAACAAGCAAGATTGGTATGTGCATCAACAAATGCTTCAAATGAATTAATCTTAGAGCAAAAATGAATAATGGGTATTTTTTATGATTCATCAAAATATGGGGATTAATTTACAACTCTCTTGTAATATTCTACAGCTTTTTGATGTTACTTTTGTTATGCATAAAAATTGCCAATATTCATTAAGATATTTGTGCTTTATACTTAATTTAGATGATAATAGTACTTTCTAATTGTTCTTGAATTGTCTAAAATGAAGTTTCAAAATGTTTTAATGCTAATTCAAATTTTTCAGCTTTAAGACAAACACAAGCAAATTTATTTTCTTCTAAAGCTTTTGTTAAAGTTTCATTTGATCTTTTTTTGTATTCTTGATCAGCTTTTGCCAATCTCATGTTATGCTTTAATTCTGAATAAAAATTCATAATAATAAATAATTATGAGATTTGTTAGATTGATTTATAAATGATTAAAGAAATAAAAATATTTAGAAATAATTTTTATTGTTAATTATTAATGTCTGCATCAAAGATCTTTTATTCACCATCACGTTCGAATGTTAATGTATCAAATGTACAACCATATGGAGGTGATAGAGCTCTTTCACCAAGCAGAGCAAAAATATCACAATTATCAGAAAAACTCTCCAATCTCTAACATTAGATTGATGAAGATCAAGCTGTAAGAGTTTATTGTTAATCATTAAGTTTAAAAAAGAGACTTTTGAAAGCAAGATTAAAATCTTAGAAGATAGAGCAACTAAATAAGCTTAAGGAGATGATTCTAAGTTCAAGTTGTTGAAAGAATAATTATAAAAGGTTGAGGAGGGTGCATAAAATGAGAAAATTATTAGAGAAGTATTAATTGTTTAAGAATTAGGCTGGAGATGAGAAATTAAGATCAAAAGATTTAAAGGGATTAGAAGGATTTTTGAATAAAGAATTATAATCAGAAAAAATAAATAGAAAAGATTTTGAAGGAAAAATAATTAAGAATACAGATGATAAGGTTTATAGCTTAAAATTGGATTTGGCAAGATAGAAGAAATATAGAGAAGAAACAGAAGAGAAGAATGCTTAAGAGATAGGAGATCGTATTTTGTAATTATAAGAAGAAGTAGAAGAGGAGAGAAGATAAAGGTATAAATATTAATTAAATTATAATAGAGAATAATAAAATCAAAATACAATAAAGAGATTAGGTGATTCTATTTTAAAATTGTAAGAGATTTTAACAACTGAAAAGAAATAGAGAGAATAAGCATAAACTTAAATGTTTAGAATGTTAGATGAAATGAATCATTATTTAAATAGCGAATTAACTAGTGAAAAGAATGAAAGAGAAGCAACAGAAGAGAGTCTGATTAATTTGATAGATCAAACATGCAATAGAGTTGAAAATTCATTAAGAAAATGATATCGTATGTATGATCTTTATACATTTAATTTTAAAATAATGTTCAATTCTCAAGTGCCAGGACTAAAAGCTAAACGAATATATGTGTTTCTTTGTTGCTTTCTTCAATATGCTATGTTACACTCATGTCGTTCTACTTGGAGTTACACTACTGGAATATTGACATCTAAAGAGGATCATTAATATGACGATTAAAAAATAGATGATTTTGATAAGAATTATTTGGCTGACGTTAACTTTGCATTTCTATTTACATACGGATCATCAATGTTATTGTAATTAATCTCATTCATCAAAGCTTAGGGTAAATAGGAGACAGAATAGGACCTAAAAGATTCATGTTAATTGGTACTTTTATGACTGGAATTATTTAATTATTGATTGCAGTATTGTTTGAAGTTGAAAGACATAATAGATGGTTAGTTTTGATGTTAATGATATTAAATGGATTGGCATAAGCTCCAGTTTGGCCAGGTTTAATGGCCATAATGAATAATTGGTAAAGCAAACCAAAAAAAGTTATTGTTATGGGATATTTTACAGCATGTACAAATATAGGAAATATTTTTGGGGATTTATTTGCATAAATACTTATAGAATAATTTAATTTTAGAGTCATATCTCCTATCTATGTTGCTGCTATTGGAGTTATATTAATGTCAATCATAAATATTTTTACTATTCCAACTGATTCAGCTAAAGAATATATTGCATCATTTCGAAATCCTCATACAAAATCACTTGTTTATAAATAGGCACATGCAGAATATTTGAGTAGAGCAGGATCAAGAACTGGTTCAGTAGTATCTAATTAAGATTTAGATATTTCAAAAAGCAATATCGATCAATCCCTTTTAACAGTAGCTAGAAATACAATAGGAGAACCACAATTATAACCTAAAAAACCTAAGAAAGACAGTATTAATATGTTTTCTGCATGGAAATTACCCAATGTGGCACTCTATGCTTTTGCTTTTGGATGCATCAAAGCAGTATTTTATATATTAGCATTTTGGCTTCCTAATTATTTAAATGATTAACATTTGAAACATGTCTCACTTATAACTTAGATGATAGAATGGGGAACAATCCCAGGAGGTATTCTAATTTGGTATTTCTATATTTTCTATATAGTTATGCTGGAGTTTATTGGAATATTAGAGCAATTCTTATAGTACCCATTCTTTGGATAGGTACAGTTGTGATGATTTGTATCGATCAATTGCAAAAAATTAAGAGTCATAATTCAGACTATTTATATTATATTTTAGTGTTTCTAACTGGTTTATTGATTGGAGGAGTATATAACAATATTTCTGGAGCTATTGTAATTGAACTAAGTAATATGAAAGAATTGAAAGGTTAAATTTATATTAAATTCTCTTAGGTAATAAGAAATCAACTGCAACAGTTACATCTGTTGTTATGGGATATGGTGCTACATTTGCTGCTCTTAATTAACTTATTGTTCCACAATTGGAAAAGAAAATATTTTTGTATTGTGGATTGAATGCTATAATTGCAGGAATGTTTCTTATTCCATTAATTATAAATGAATATAAAAGACTGAAAGAAAAGAAGAGAAATGTCGAAGATTAATGAAAAAATTAATAATACATATATTATTTGTATATTTTATTGTTGAATTAATCAAAATTATTACTTATCAGTTAAAAGGGTCAAATTTATATATAAAAATTTTTAACATAAAATCATTTATTAATATTTTAAATTACATTTTTATTAGAAAATAAATAATTAACATGAATAGATATAAATAATTATGTTATGTTTAATTTGAATTATTAAATTATGTTTATAAACTTTAATTCTTGATATAAGAAAATAGAAAATTAATATTTATTTATAGAAGAACTTTTATTTGAATATTAATAATAAACTCTTCATTTTCATTCTTTCTTCTAAGTATATTTTAATAATGGATTTTCTTATTTCTATTATGGAATGTTTCTATAAAAGTTTTAATATTAATTTATACTGTTTAAAACGGGAAGGTTTAATTTGGGGAGAAGCTTAAAAGTTATTTTATTAATTTTTTTAAGGCATTCCAATATTAGGAATACTGTCTACACTGTCAGTTTTACCAGTCAATAGAGGTGAATTCATTTATACTTAATTAGAGGAATCAATATTCTTTTAATGTTTTAATTATCTAGTAGCCAAACCACCAGGAGATGATTAAGGTGAATTAAGCAATTGATTTTTTCTTGATGCATCAAACTTTGCAGATCTAAAAAAAATATTAATTTAATAATTTACTCTTCATTTAAGGCATTCATTCTCATTCCTAAATCATTATCTTCTCCTTCATCTATAAAGTCATTAGAATGATCATCTAACATTATTTAATTCATTTCAGCTAAATAAGGATGCTATAGACATTAAATTGCAGTTATTCTTTTACTAGGATCTTTTTCAAGCATTCTTTTTAATAAATCAATAGCAGTGTTAGGAGCATTTTGTAATTGCTTAATAGTGAAATCAATTGTTGCTTCTCTATTTTATTTGACAACAGTGCTATAACTCTTTCCAGGAAAAGCAGGTTTACCAGTTAATAATAAATAAAAGACTAATCCAAAACTATAGATATCACAAACAGAACTATAATGGCCTTTCATATCCTTAATATTTATAACTTCAGGAGCAACATATCCAGGAGTTCCACATCGACAATATAGATAAACTGGTTCATTTACATGAGTGGCCAATCCAAAATCTGCCACAACTACTGTTTCCATTTTCCTATTATTTTTAATTTATGAATTATTTTACTTTTGTTATTTGAATAAAATATTTTCTAATTTTAAATCTCTATGCATTATTTCTTTTTCATGCATATGACACAATCCTTGTAGAACTCCTACTAAAATTTATTATATTTATTTTGTATTTAAAATGACTTTATCTTTGATTAGATCATACAATGAACCACCTTCTAATAATTCAAGTGCAACATAGAGTGAGTTTTAGGTTTCATATATCTCATGCATTCTCATAAGATGATGATTATTTAGTTTTCTCATAATTGTTAGTTCATTTACGATAGCCTCTTTTCCATGGTCTTCTGCATAAGCTGCTTATTTTGAAAATGCTTTAATTGCCATCTATGCACCATCTTCTATGCGTTCTCCCAAATAAACCTAAAATAAAGGGGATTAATTACAGATGCAAAATTACCTTTTCCAATTTTCTTAAATACTCTAAAAAGATGATGAAATTACCATTAATTAATTCTAGGTTAAAAAAATTCTCTCCATTAAGTTATGACTTTTTCATTTGCTGATAGTTTATAGCTAGGCATTTGATCTTATCCATGATCTCTCATTAGAATCATTCCTATTATAGTACCCAAAGAATCATCATCTTCATCCTTTTTTTAGACTGTTGTTCTAATTATTTCAAATTTAGTCTCAAAATCTAATTTGAGATATTTAGATGGAGGATCTTCAGGTTTCTTTGTTAATAAGTTAATTTTATCATACTTTTGATATAAGAATGTATTGATCATAACCGATTAAATATCTCAACTTTTTGTTAGACTTTTAGAATTCAGATTTCAAAAGAGGCTTATCATTTTTCCACTTTAATTCATTAGGAATAGCTACCCAAAGTTTTTATTTCATGTATATTAATATTAATATTTTTAACCAGTTTAATCATACTTTTTAATATAAAAACATTTGAATAAGTTCTTCTATATATAGACTACTTTTCATTCCTATATTCAAATGTAAGATTACATTTCATTAAATTTTGAAACTTCCTCCACTTATTACTATTAATTTAATATCACTTTCTATATTTAGATTTCAGAATTTCTTAAATAATAATAAATAATATAATTTATTTAAAATAAATTCTTATTCAAGATGGATAGATTTAATAGGTTTTAATTTTTATATACGGATTTTTAAGTTAAAAATATATATTATATTTATTCATTATGAATTTTCACATAAAATGATATTAAATTACCGATACTTTTTTTAGAATAAGTCTATAAATGATGTAATTATTATATAATAATACTAGAAAAAAGATTAAGATAGGAATTTTTAAATAAATGGATTTATTTAGAATTTTATTAAATTATTACCGATAATTACATTATACACACAAAAAATTTTATAGTTTATTTTATAAAATTAATTCCCATTTTGTTACTTATAATAATATTATTTGTTCCTTTTAATAAATAATTCATAATCATACATATGATATCTTATGTATATTATCCAAAAAGATTTATGATATCTTAATTAATTAATTTCCCATAAAATTAAGGTTATAATAAATATATAATAGAGAACAATGTATTTAATAGAAACAATTTTTAGAATATATTTAAATTCATTTTTTTAATAAGAAGTCTTTAAAGATATTGGGGGAATCTGAGTTTTATGAGTAGCACTATTCTCTAATACATTCAGCAACCATTCCCTCAAAAATTCTGAAACATCTTATCCTTCCTTAATCAAGAGATAAACTAGTTAAGGTACTTACTTAAAGAATACAATATTCTATTGAATTTTGAGCATTTACTTAACATATCATTAGACATGCTTAAAATTCGTCAGTATTGAGTGGTTACTTATTATCTAGATCATCTATGATCAATATATTAATTGCTATTACATAAACCACAAGTGACTAGCCCAATCATAAAGGAAACTATTATTATCCTAGAAAACATTACTTATTAATTTATATATAATATAAAATTTTGTTTATATATTTATTTGTAAAATATGATATTGCACTCATTATAAGAAAGGTGAATCTGGTATTAATACTTTAATCCTGTTAAATGTTTGAGTTAATTAAGCTTATTCTAAGACACTAAACTCATATTTTTTTTTTGCACAAATTGAATGTATTTTTAATAATTCAACTTCAAATAATCGAACATAAATAACAAAAGACTTGGCTAATAATAACAAATCTTATTTATGTAATAATAATGGATCTATTTTTGTTATAATATTTCTTATAAAGTCTTTATTATCTATTCTAATAGCTGCTGATGCAACTATAACTTAAACTAATTCTTTTTCTATTTAAGTTTATTGAGATATATTTACATTCAAAATCATTTAATGTAAAAACTTGAGATCTATGTGCTAATTCAATTAATATTTTTATTGTTTTTTCCAAATTAATAGATTCATAATTTTTATTTTTTATTTTAGCTACAGCCAAAAACAATTAAATATATTCTGAAATATTCAATTTTTCACTTTTTGCATGACAAATTCTTAACATCTATTTAACTAATTATTCTCCTTCTTATTATTCTAATTCTAAACAAGAGAGTATTAAATCAATCACTTTTTACATAGATATATTTAAATTATGTTTTTGTGTTGATTCAATCTTTTATGTAAGTAAATCTACCATTTCTTTTACATATTCTGTATTTTCATGATTTGTTATTCTTAATAATTCTACTAATACATTTACAAATTAATCTTAACTCAATAAATCTTATTAAAATTAATCAGATAATTATTCAAAAATCACTTTTGAATTAGTAAATGATCCAATAGGTAAACTTTTTATTAAAGTAATCAAATTACTAGGTGTTTAAATAGTAATATTTTATTAAGTTAATTTTGAAATCCTCAATATTAAATCATTTTTATCTTTTAGAATATGATATAATGAGAATGCTAATGATGGTAATGTTTCAGGTGGTATCTTTTCTAAAATTATTTCAGCTTATTATTTAATAATGAATTGTTTAGAGTCATTTAAATTTAAATCTCCCATTTCAATTTAATATGTAGACAAAGCCCAAACAAAGGCACAAAATTATTCTGGATCTAATTTGTTAATTTCCAATAAGATTTTAGATGTAATTTGTTAAAATCTATCTGAATGATTTTTCATTTAATCAGCATAATCTTCATTTCTTAGACAACTTGTAAAATAGAGAAATAAACTCAATTCATTACAATTAAATGGAGGTTAAGGATTTTTTTCATCTAATTATTTTGCTATTTCTTTTGAATAAAACTCAAAAACTTCATCTACATCACTCATTTACATCAATTTAAATGAAATCAATTATTCTCTTTCTTTAAATACATTTTCCAAAATTTCTATTATTTTGTTATAAAAATATTACACTCTTTTTATTATAAGAACTATTCAAAATTTTCCTTCTTTTAATATAATTGCTTTAATTTTTCAATGTCTTCCTCTGATATTTAAAACTTTTCATTACAAAACCTATAAATAGGTATTCTGTAACAAATTCTCATAAGTCTAGAGCAATATTTAATCATTATAAATTATTTATTTAATTTTATTCATAATTAAATTTTATCAAAACTATAAAACAAAGATAATTTAGAAAAACAAAATTTTATTATTTCAAATCATAACAAAATATTATTAATTTAAGAGTTCTTTTGATAGAAATAAAACAACAAGTTCAATTAAGTTCTTTTATAATAAAGTTTTATATATGTTAATAATTGAAATACTTATGAATTAATATTTTCTGTTAATCCCCTAATTAAGATTAATCATTTATAATTAAGTTGAAAGTGTAAAAAAAAAATAATAAATATAATAATGGGTTAGTGTACTTCAAAAAAGTAAAAAAGAATAATCTTAGATAAATAACATCAATAGACAACTTCCAATAGTGTAACACCAATCAAGCCTAAAAAACTATTGCCTTTGAAATTATAAAATATTTAATCTGATGATTTAAAAGATTAGTAGAAGAAGGAAATTAAAGATGAATAAAATCCATCTCCTCCACCAAAGTTATATTTTGATAGTAATCATTTGAATGTTGAAAAAGAGAGCATTTTTGGAAGACCAAAAGTTTAGAGTATAAGACTCAACTAATAATACTAAAACAATCATAAGGAAGAAATCTTTTTTGGAATGAAGGTTCGTTATTCTCATCCTCATTTGTAAAAATGAAAGAATAACAATACTTATGATAGACATTTATATAATTTTATATACTTATAATTCCAATTCATTTCGAATATATAGATACATCAATATGATAATGATATTTTATACATTTTCATTTTGAATTATATGTAATTAACAATGATACATTAGACAATTTATATATGGAGAAAATCTTAATATATTTAAATGTAAATCAATTTATATATTGAAATGTAAATGAAAATTTTGAGACCATCAAAATTTTGAATAAATAATTTACAAAATTATCAATGAATAGAAATCATTATATGATATCAAATAGTGACCAATATACATTTCAATTTTATTATTTAATATTCAATTTAATAATTAGAGAAAATTAAGTTTATAATTAAAAGTAAGGAATTTAAAATTGAAAGAAAAGACTTTATAATCCATATCATCACTTATCATATAAGTAAATTAGAAAATTGAAAACAAGCTCATTAAATAGAAATTCTATATGAGTACTTAGAATATATAGATAGTAATGATAATTAAAAGATGGAATGGATTAGATTCTGTAAAAAATATTAATTATAAATATATTTTAATTTAATTTTATTAAAATATTAAATATAAATTAATTTTATTTTACTTAATCAATATCTTTGGAAGTCAGCATAAAAAAATTATAAATGAATATATTTTATTTATTTAATTATAACATAATAGTTATCAGTTTTCTTCTTATATTATTAAAGATTCTTATTAGAATGATGGTTAATCTTATGCTTTAACAATTTGAAAATGCTTAGTTTATTTTCTAAATAGTATTTTTTTTTAAGCTTAACTTGAGATAGATGGTGCAAAATTATTGTTGTTATTTCTTTTATTATCAGAGATATTGCTATTAGATTATTGTGAATGCATATTAAGAATTGTTTATTTAATTACAATTGTATTTTTGATAGTTTTTCTTTATTAGCTGATATTGATTCCTTCAACTGTTTGTCTTTTAAATTCTTCTACACTATTTTTAAAATAAAACAATAAATATGCATCAGATAAATGTTCAGGTTATTAAACTGGTGTTACCAAAGAATCATTATAATGATACCAATGTAGATCATCTCTATTTTTGGCATAGGCAGTATAATGTCCAGAAGTCAATGTACCACTATGATTGATTACTGCATAAAGATCATAAATAGGTTTTTCTGTTTATTTTGTACAAACAAGATTTTCAAATGATAAATTCTATAATGGAAATTTGACTAATGACCTAATCTTAGCTCTGAATTAAGAATTAAATTTAAAACGTTTTAGGTGGATAATTAGAATATTTGGCATAGTCCATAAATCAATCTTTTTACTACTGTCTCTTCTTTATTAACAATTTGTGCAATTCCATCCTTCATCATCTCTCAAAGTTTCTTTTTTCAAGAACTCTTCAATGCATTCCTATAAATCACATTCTCTATTCAATACTGGTACACTTAGATACATAAAAGGTTCAAAACAGTATCTAGATGATTTACATGTTAAACAGGATAAAGTATCAAGCATATGTCCTTAAAATAAATCAACAATAATTGATTAATTTCTTGATAAATATTTTTTCCATTCTAAATCTGCATCATCATTAGTTGGAAATTTAGTAAATTTAGTTTATTCTATATAAGGTTTTTTCTTAATTCTATTCAAATCTTCATGTATCATATCTAATAGAAAAGCAATAAACTCATGTGCATCTTCTTAAGTACCTTCTGCAAATATAGGATTATAATTTCCTATTTTTGAAATGAATTATGTCGGTTTCAAAACTTTCATATCATCATATGAATACTAATCTACTTTCTACCATAGTTGTCTAATCAATTAAGCAAATGATTTGACTATATTTCCTTAAGATGATAGAGGATTATCAGGATTTATTTCTTTGATATGAAGTTAAGACATAAAATAATCAGTTAATGGCTATGTATTTGATAAGGCTTAGATAGACTATATAAATATTAATGATACTGAATTAAGAAAGCATGTATTTCCTAAATTAGTTAATCCAAACAATCCTTAAGTGTCAGTATCAAATTAATTATTTTATTACACTCTTCTTTATGTAGCTTATCTTCTAAATTTGTTTGGGATCTATTTGTAATTTACATCTAAAATGCGACTTGGTTTAGGTAAAAATCGTTGTTCTGTATTCATTTTTTTCATTTTTGTTTAAGGTTCATTTACTAGGGGTTTACTATTTAAGCAAATGCCCATTGAAAAAAATAATAATAATTATTTATTCTTAAATATTGGAATTTAAAAGGTCAAGACATTATTGGCACTGTATCGACCTCTTATTTTGTGATTTTTGTTGGCTCAGTTGCTTATAAACTATATTATTATTCATCATCGGCAGGTCTTCTTTGTTTTCTTTCTTTTTTTGGTTTCTTTTCAACAGAATCAACTTGATTTTCATCTTTCTTTTTTTTGGATTACTTAATTGATAATAATATCATAATACTTAAACTTTAGATGATTTAACTTTTCTCTTTTTCTTCAAGTTTTCTGGGTCTTCCTCAAAGTCTTTATTTAGAGAATCATTCAGATTTTACATTTTATGTTGATCTTCAATTCTCTAACAGATTTATTTACTCATATTTGACCAATTTGTTGTAAATGTTAAAATTAGATATAAGATAGCTAGAATTGCATTGACAATACCAAAAGCAAACCATATTCCATATACTTTTTAACCTAATCCCAAATCATAAGCAAAATACACAACTAAAGGTATACCAATTAAATAGTAAACAAATAATGTAGAATAGGTAACAAAATCTTTTCTATCTATTCCTTTCAAAATACCAGTCAATGTTCCTTATAATCCATCAATAACAAAAAATCCAAATACAAAAATTGGATATACTTCTAAAATTAGATCTGTAATTTCTTATCTACCACCTGAATAGAATTCTGCCCAGTTTTATTTGAAAACTGTTAATGCACTTAAGAATATTATAGTAAATCCAATATATAATAGGAGTCCTACCCATGAATATCTTTTAGCTCTCTTTATATTCTTAGCACCCATTTCATTACCAACAAATGTCATCAATGCTAATGATAGAGAGATGGGAAATTTATAATAAAAATTTGAGGTGTTAGATAAAGCCAATTAAGCATTCAATTGATCAGAACCAAATCCTACTGCAATAAAGTTCAATAAAAAGAAAACAAAATAATCTGCATATATATGTCCTATAATTGGTATTGATCCTCTAAGAAAACTTGCAAATAGTTTCTTTTCCTTTTTTCTTAAAGGAAATTTAAATTTATAATCACTAAAGACTTACTTTTTATATTTAGTTGCACAAATCACTATTAAACAAAATACACAATTCAAAACTTCTGTACATATAATAGCTAATCCTGCTCCTGCAACACCTCCTCCTATATTTAAATAATCTATAAATAAGTAGCACCATAATATGTGAAGAATAGCTGTACCTAATTGTATAAACATAAAGACTGCAAAGACCTAGATTTTTAATTGATAATTTTACTTTATTTGCTATCATAAAGCTTTTCATGCATTCATATAAGATGGCGAATAAAGTTGATGGTAATAAATAATATAAGTAAATCTAGGATGAATCTGATGTTGCATCTCTATCATCTTCATTAATGGTCTTAGCAATTAATGGTTTAATCAAAATCAAGATAACTATTTAATTAACTAAATTCAAGTACTTGAAAATGGTATAAAGTACATTAAATGAATAAATATAGTTAATGTAAAATAACTTTGAGCTAACTTAGGCTTTTTAGCCCCCAAAGCTTAAGCTGAATGAACATTCAAAGATTAATTTGTTCCTTTTATTTTCACTATTAATAATTACCTAAAGCCATAGGAATTAGCAACACATTCACTGTTGTAAAGGCTAATCCTAAACCTGCAACTGCATTTGGATCATTATGTTAGGCAATAAAATGTAAACTGATTCCAAATACAATATCTAAGCAAACATAGCCAATCACAGTGTAAAATGTAGATGATAGCAAATCTGTCAAGGCATTGGATCCTAAATGATCAGGAGCTTTGTTAGGATTTTCTTTGTTCAATATTGAACTCCCGTGGACTTATGACATATATTAATAAAAATTTGATATAAATTACAAGTCATAAATAAAATAAAAATAACAATTTAATGTAATTCAAAAAAAAAAGAATTTTTAGAATTATCCTAAAATAATTGCATATGAAAAACTCTCAATATTTTAGTAATAATTATTTAGACTACTACTCTCTATTACATATAATTATTTATAACACTTATAATAAATCTTATTTTTGAATGATAAACTAATGTAATTTTTTTTATTTTATTTTTTACTTTACATTTTAATTAATGCTTTTAGAAAAATTTGGATTCACATATGTAATTTTATAATAAAGTAAAAATATATATTCATAATTTTTATAATTAAATTTTTGGAAAGAAATAATGAATGATTAACAAAATATATCATAAATTCAATAGAAATTAGAATTGTTTATTAGTTGTAGAGGATTAGCAAATATGGATATCTTTTCAAAAAGTGATCCTTTTGTTGTGTTACAAATATAATAAAACAAAAATTGGTTTGATATTGGTAAAACTGAAATTGTTTATGATAATTTGAATCCAAACTTTACCAAAACTTTTATTATTGATTACTTTTTTGAATGTTAATAGCCTCTCAAATTTATAGTAAATGATGATGATGGAAATGGAAAATTTGATGTAAAATTTTATTATAATTAAAGTTTATTGGTAGTGTAGAAACTACATTAGGTAGTATAGCAGGTTCACGAGATTAAGTTTTAATTGTTGATATAAAAAAAGGTACTAAAAAGACAGGAAGTTTAATTGTTAAAGCAGAATAAGTGAGATCATTGAATTAGAAATTAAGAATGCAAATATGTAATATCCATATTAAAATTTTTAGATGGATCTCAATTGCCAAATACAAGATTTCTTCCATGGCAGAGTACATGTCCTTTTTTTAGATTATATAGAGAAAGTTAAGATTCAAATTAAAATTTATTAATTTATGAAAGTGAGAAGATCAAAAATTGTTAAAATCCAAAATGGAGAAGATTAGATATCACTTTATAAAAACTTTGTAATGGAAATTTAGAAAAACTACTTAAAGTTGAAGTCTTGGATTATAAATTTCATGGTAATCATCAATAAATAGGTCATACTTAATTTAGAGTTAATGAAGTTATTGATATGAAATAATATTAAAAATAATTATTAGATAGGAATAATAATGAAGTAGGTTTAATTACATTTAATGATGTATTATTATTCAATTCTAAATTTAGTTTAAAATATTTGATCCACCAACTTTTATGGATTATCTATAGAGTGGAACTTAAATTAATTTAATAGCTGCCATTGATTTCACAGGATCAAATGGTTCACCTAATACTTCTAATTCTTTACATTATATAGATACTTAATCTGGGAAATTAAATTAATATCAATAAGCTTTACTTGCTGTAGGAGATATTCTGCTTAATTATTCATATGACAAAAGAGTTCCTATGTATGGCTTTGGTTGTAAACCGAATCTTAAGAATTTTAAGTCTACATAAACTTTACATTGTTTTCCCTTAAATGGCAATCCTTAAGATCCAGAAGTTGAAGGCATAGATGGTATTATGCAGACATATAGTTATGCATTAAAGAATGTTTAATTTAATGGGCCAACTTATTTTAATCCAATACTTCAGGAAGTTATAAAAATAGCTTCATTGAGTAAGGATATGGCAAAAGATACTTACTATGTATTATTTATTTTGACAGATGGTGTAATTCATGATATGAAAGTAACTATTATTATTATTATTGTTATTTAGTAAACAATCGATTCTATAGTAGCTTCATCTCATTTGCCATTATCTATTATCATAGTTGGAGTTGGAGATGCAAATTTCAATGATATGAATATATTAGATGACGATGAAGGAAATTTAAAAGATTCTAGAGGAAATTAATCATATAGAGATTTAGTGCAATTTGTTCCATTTAATTAATTTAAGGATAATCCAGAACTATTAGCTAAAAATGTTTTACAGGAATTGCCTGATCAGATTGTTGAATATATGCAATTAGTTGATAGATAACCTAGTAATATTATATTAAATTAAAATAGAATTATAACAAAAATAAAAAAATTCTCAAGATATGTAAACTCCAACACCTGAAAATTTCAATAAATTTTAAATATCAGATGAATAAAGGCAATAACTAGATCAATCAGGAAGATTTTCTATTTCTAAACATGAATACTATAAATAATCATAGTAAAATTAAGAGAAATAACAAGCTAAATGATAATTAAACATTTTTATAATCATTTTATTCAATATTATGTAATATTCTAAGAACTTTAATCTATTTTAATATGTAACAATATATTTTACTTTTTATTTCTATTAAATTAACATAATTATATATAAGGGATAACATTGTTTGATTTCTTAATCACTTATTTAAAAAAAAAATAATATAAAATTGTAAATAATCAGTTTATAGGCTCTCTTAGATTTCAATTATGAGGTATCTTAATTATTATAAATATCTTTGATAATAAATAAAATGGAACAGTTTACAGTGATATTGATAAATCAATGAAGTGTCACACATATTGATTCTAAAAGAGATAAATTATCATTTTAAGATGAGATAACATTTTTTTATCAATAAATAATGATATTAATAGGCATTTGTATGAAATTAAAATGTAGTAAACCCTTTATCTGATTGGATGAAAATTAAATATCATAATTAAATCTCAAAATTAATTTATTATAATTGACTATTTAAGTATAGATTAAATTAAAAATAATTTATACAAAAAATCATTCCATTAATGCGAAATTTATTAAATTAACATATTTATATAAATCAGTTGTTATTTTGTTATAAATTATGTCAAAATGCTAATTTCACTCATTGTAAATTATTATAGTTAATTTTGTGATTTAATAATTTAGATATTATATAAGAAATAGATATTATAAAATTATTATAGAATATTTAAAAGATTAATAAAAATAGGAATCCATTATTATTCATGAGAAATTCTTCTTGATTTATTTTTATTCAAATTTTATCATTATGGTGTTGTTTAGATATAATACTTAGGTAATATATTGAATTATAATTAAAATTGATAAAATAGTCATTTTGTTTGAATCAGTTTTAATAATTATTTTTTTTTTTTTAATTCTTAACAAGTGTAAGAGTTTCATATTTATTAAATTCTAAGAAATTATATAAATTAGATATTATTCATATTCTTTATTGAAGAGATAAAAGCATCATATAAAATACTTATTTTTATATTTTTACAAAACTTTAGTACATAATTTAGTTGCTCTTCTATTAGGTAAACGTCTTGAGATTGGACTGTCAATATTATCATAAGTATTTCTCATTAATTTCAAAGGAGATACACATTATTCACCTAACCTTTTTGGAGAAACACTCTATGGAAAATTAGGTGAATTGGCATTATTATTGTCTTAATGATTTTATTATTAGTTTGAGCTGCTTGTTTCCATATTAGTACTTTTTTTCTTTAAAGTGCTTAAGCTAGGTTTAGGTTGTATTGTATAAATTTCTTCTGGTGTAGATGGAGGTGATATCTGAACTGGCTTCTAAAAAACTATATAATTTTCTAGTTTGTAAAGCTTTTGAAGTAATAAATAATTAATACATTTTACTTTGGCCCTTTCATCAATTCTGAACAGAATAAATAAAAAAATAATTAACTAATTCTCAGAAATTCTTTTAATTTTAGAATCAAATTAATAAGATTTAGAATATTCAAAGACCTTCTATTTAAACTATCCATAGTAAAGTTTTAAAATTATATAAGAATTAAAGATGATGTTATTAATATTTACTTTGTAATTAATAGAAATCTTAGAAGTATATGATTTAGAGTGTAAAATAATTATAAATTTTAATCAAATGTTATAAAAGTTGTGGATATTATAATTGATAGATACTATATAAGAATGTAATATAAATAAATATATTTAATTACATATATATTTATATATTAATTATGAGTTAAGACACAAAAATAATTAAACGAACTTAATTTACACCTTAAGAGTCAGATATAAAAAATATCATTCCAACTTAAGGGAAATCAAAAGAAGAGATGCGAATTTTCCTTTTTGAGTTTTTTGGAATGGCTTTATTTGCATATGGGTAAAAAGGCATTTCTTAATATAAGAATTATATGTTCATAAGGATCTGATGAATTTTTGGCATTATTTTTCTTTGCATCTGTGTGTTTGGCTGGACCATTTTCAGGAGCACATGTAAACCCTGCTGTTACTATGGCAATGTTACTTTCAAGAAGAATCAATTTTGGATAAGCAGTGTTATATTGGTTAGCATAATTTACTGGGGCATTATGTGGGGCTTGTTGTTGTTATTTGATATTGAATGAAGTTGATAGTCCTTAAGTAAAGAGTACAGAATATAGTTGGATACTTTCAGATTTTAGTGGTGAGGCATTTGGAACATTCACGTTTATTCTTTTTATTCTAATATAAACAGATTCAGAAACCACATTAACACCAGGAGGATAACCAATGACAACTTATGTTTTAGTAGCGTTAGCATTGTATTTTTCAAGAGGATTTACATTTCATTCTGGAGGTACAAATAAAAGTTTTAATCTACTAAAGGTTGTTTGAATCCTGGAATGGCAGTATCCTTATAATTGTTTTAATCATTTTAAACTGGAGATAGATAGAGAATGGAATTTTTGTGGGTATTTGTAGGTGGTCCATTGGGTGGAGGATTTGGTGCAAGTGTGTTTTTTGAACTCTTTTATAAGAAATAAATTAAGAGACTGTGAAATTATAAATAATTTTAATCAAATAATGGGTAGTTTAAATTTGAATTGAAATTCATTTGAATCAAAAAAAAATGCAATATANTATCCATAGTAAAGTTTTAAAATTATATAAGAATTAAAGATGATGTTATTAATATTTACTTTGTAATTAATAGAAATCTTAGAAGTATATGATTTAGAGTGTAAAATAATTATAAATTTTAATCAAATGTTATAAAAGTTGTGGATATTATAATTGATAGATACTATATAAGAATGTAATATAAATAAATATATTTAATTACATATATATTTATATATTAATTATGAGTTAAGACACAAAAATAATTAAACGAACTTAATTTACACCTTAAGAGTCAGATATAAAAAATATCATTCCAACTTAAGGGAAATCAAAAGAAGAGATGCGAATTTTCCTTTTTGAGTTTTTTGGAATGGCTTTATTTGCATATGGGTAAAAAGGCATTTCTTAATATAAGAATTATATGTTCATAAGGATCTGATGAATTTTTGGCATTATTTTTCTTTGCATCTGTGTGTTTGGCTGGACCATTTTCAGGAGCACATGTAAACCCTGCTGTTACTATGGCAATGTTACTTTCAAGAAGAATCAATTTTGGATAAGCAGTGTTATATTGGTTAGCATAATTTACTGGGGCATTATGTGGGGCTTGTTGTTGTTATTTGATATTGAATGAAGTTGATAGTCCTTAAGTAAAGAGTACAGAATATAGTTGGATACTTTCAGATTTTAGTGGTGAGGCATTTGGAACATTCACGTTTATTCTTTTTATTCTAATATAAACAGATTCAGAAACCACATTAACACCAGGAGGATAACCAATGACAACTTATGTTTTAGTAGCGTTAGCATTGTATTTTTCAAGAGGATTTACATTTCATTCTGGAGGTACAAATAAAAGTTTTAATCTACTAAAGGTTGTTTGAATCCTGGAATGGCAGTATCCTTATAATTGTTTTAATCATTTTAAACTGGAGATAGATAGAGAATGGAATTTTTGTGGGTATTTGTAGGTGGTCCATTGGGTGGAGGATTTGGTGCAAGTGTGTTTTTTGAACTCTTTTATAAGAAATAAATTAAGAGACTGTGAAATTATAAATAATTTTAATCAAATAATGGGTAGTTTAAATTTGAATTGAAATTCATTTGAATCAAAAAAAAATGCAATATATTATTTAATTTTAACATAAATAATACACTATAATATGTAATTTTAACATAAATAACACACAATTTTATAACTGATCATAAAAATTATTTTAGATACTAAAATTGATCTTGACTTCTAATAAATTCTTCATAAATAATATAATTAACATTAGTTCTTCTTCTTAATAGTTTTTATATTCCAGTAAATTAGAATTAACCTCCACAATCTATCATTTCATTAACAGAAATGAATTAGAAGGCAATCTTATTATCAATCAATAAATCAGATTAGAATAAGGGAAATAAAACATTCTTTTATACTTAATGACCTTGTTTAACAAATAAGTCAGCTACTTATTATATAACTTATTAAGGTAAATACTTTTCAATTCCAATTTCACTATTTCTTTAAGTAGCTTATTATCTCATTTATGTAAGTAATAATTATAATTCCCCTTATTGATGATCACATTATATTCTAGATAATAATAATAAATATTTTTATTCTATATATTATGGATCTAAAGCAAGAATTAATTCATTATATATCTATTATCCAATCTCACATTTTGGAAGTGAAGTAATAAGCATCATCAAAAAACATCTACTAGTTTGATCTAATTCTTAAATTTTTGTTGGATCAACTTTTTCTAAATCAGAAACTTATAATTTATTAAAATAGAACATAGCTTATAAATAGAAAAGAACTCCTTAAATAGATGGATTGGATTATTAATTAAATTTTGAAATAACTTAATCTAAATTGTGATCTAATGTATTTAATTGTATTAATAATGGGAATAAGTATTATGTATCTTAGACTTATTAAAGTGATTATAAGAATGCATCTTTATGTATATGACCAATAGTTATTAAACTGTGAAATATTATAATCAAACTTTTCTCTGTAAACATTTTATCATATGATTATAATAGATTGATTAATTTTTCATATGGAACATGATTAGCTGATTTGTAACTATAAGGATACCTATTAAATACAGTTTGTAACAATATCACTTCATTTACTCTTCTAATAGGATACATCATTTTGATATCTATTTGACTTAAAGATGATATAGTCATAGCTATATCAAATTCATCTTATTCCTTTTTCCTATAAGTAATAATTTCAACAAATCTCTTTTTAGTTTATTAAACTAAATCATGACTTCTATGTATATCTAATTTGGATAAAAGCAAAGAAAATTAAGCTAAATGTTTACATTCACAAGATTCTATTGCTGATTAAAGATTTTTTGAATTACTTTTTAATAATGATGAAATTTATTTATTATCATCTAATTTTAAAAGAGTAGAAGACAATATTACTAGAGTATCTTGATCAATATCTAAGATTGAATTGGGTTAACATAATAGAGTTTGAGTTAAATTATACACAACAATACTTAAATTTTAATCATTCATTAAAGGTCTTGATAAGAATGATATAAATGATTCAGCTTCATAAACACTTAAATTATTATTAATTCTATTTTTTATGATATCTTAAACTAAAAGGTTTTAGAGTTATAGATTTTTTGATAATGGCAATGAATGAAAATTCCTTACAATCATTGAAAATTAAGAATTAGATAATTATTTAATTCTTGGAATAAGTTGAATTGCTAAATTATCATATAAATGATATGATAATTTATCATAGACAGTTTGTATTGATTTAGGTTATAAGAGACTTAATGCTAAAATAGTTTATGATAAAGTTTGATCATCGTATTCACTTCTAGCAATATAATTCAATAAGGCTCTGTATCTATCATCAGCTAAAAGTGCTAAATTATCTTTTTTAACAACTACTAGTTTTTGTAAGATTGATGATGCAATTTTAGGAGTAAATTGATCAGGAATTTAATCCATAGTTGAAACCAATCTCATTAAAATTTCAGGAGTACTTATATCATATTTAATATATCTAACACATTCTTCTTCTGTAAGATCAGCAAATTAAATTTATCCTTTTGTTCTCATTTAAAGTGAATTATTATAAAATTTATCCATCAAATAATTTTAGTAATCATGTATAACATTTACACTTGATTAATGTTAAGAGAATACAATTAAAGAATTATCTCTTTATTATTACATTCCTATATAGAATTATTTAACAGAATCCCAATCAATTAGACTAGTACTTGAATCAACTTTTGATTTTAATTCTTCTACAAATTCATCAATATGAGTATTCTCAAGTTTTGGTAAATGAGATTCAATTATTTATTTTAAATTTGGATATTATACTAATAATTAACTTTTTATTAATAATCCATATGGATTGTTTATATTTTCTCTCATTTCTGTAATTCTTTAATTATGCAATTAATTTAATGTTGTTTTATATTATTAATGTTGCGAATTCAATTACAAATATTCAATTTCACCTTATTCTTACAAATATTAATGAGGTAAATGATTATGTACTCTATTCTCTTCTTATCTGATAAGTCTTAGACGTTCATTTTTTTGAAATAATAATTTTTCAAATTTTTTCACTTCTTCTGTCATATATGCATTTTCTACCCATTTCAATTTTTTATCTTCTACTTCTTATCTTTATATTCTACTTACTTCCTTTTCTATTACTTTATCAATTGACTTTTTAAATTACTATTTAATATATTTATTGAGATTATGTGGTTTAGTTAAATGTTCTATTTTTTATTATGAATCTTATATATTGATATACTTTTTAGACATATCCTTTATCTTCATTTTCTAGAGTTGATATTTAAACACTTTTGAATAATCTTTATCAACATCTTTAAGTATTTTATTTATTCTTCTACCTGTTGCAGTAAAACCATATTTAATTATCATTAAAATTAATAATAGTAATATATATAAAAATTACATATTTAATTATTTTTTAATTTAAAATCTATCTATATTTTTAGTGTTATAAAATAGATATATATATATATTTAAATTCAATAAAATTTGTATTTTAATGGTTAATTTTTTGTTGTACCAGGAAAATATTATTAATACTTTTAATTACTTCCATTTTTAGAAGTATGAAATGATTATGATAGAATACGTTTGTTTTATGGTGTAATATCATTATTAATATTACCATAGAGAGTTGTGAGAGTAATATCTTTATCCTTTGATTTCTTTTAACTATAACTACTACTAGATTTCTTTTTTTCCATTTCAGGTTCAGATATATGATGATGTCGAATTGTTTCATTATTTTTGAAGAATACCTTTTATGTCATCTATTCTGATTCTAAATATTTTATGTGTTATGTTCTTATTTCTTTAGGTAATCCTTCCAATATCCATTAATGCATCAAAGCATCTATAGGTTTCATTCTTTATTAAGGATCCCAATTAAAACATTTATCTAGAAAATCAATAAATAATTTATCCTGACATTTCAATATTTATTATAAATCTTTTGATTTTGGAACTCTAATCTTTCCTCTCTTATTTTTATAAGGCAAAGGTTGATAAGGAGAACTAGATGAGAAAAAATGTTTCTTTCTAGTTGCTTTCTATAAAATAATTTAAATGTAATTATACTTCAATTAATGATTAATCAGGGATACCTTTTACCTCCATTATATAAGCAATTTATTCTTATTCATTTTCACCAGGAAAAATAGGATAACCAATATATAATTCAGCCATAATACATCCAAAACTCCACATATCTATACCCATTTCATATGGAATCCCAAAAATTACTTCAGGAGCTCTATAATATCTTGATTAGATGTAACTATATATTCGTTCATTTTCAAAGCAACTACTCCCAAAATCAATTATCTTAATGCCACTTTTATTTGGTTATTTTAATAATATATTTTCTGGTTTAAGATCACAATGAATAATCTTATGTTTGTACAAAAAGTTAAGGGCATTAAGTATTTAAATGGCAAATCTACGTATAAGTTCTAATGATAAGCCTTGGTAGTTATTGTTTTTGATCAGCTCGTATAGATTAAGTGACAATAATTCACATATAATACACTATGAATATAAAATTGTGAGTTCTTACTACATGATTTCTGAATATAACAAAGTCTTTAATTTTAACAATATTTGTAATATTCTCTTCATCTTTGTCTCTTATGAAGGATAAGATATTTAATTCAACCAAAGCCTAATTCTAGAATTTCTTTTGATTTCTAATGACTTTTAAACATAGAACTTATTGTCTCTTATGATCAAAAACTTTGAATGCTTATCCAAAACTACCAGATCCTACATGTTCCAACAATTCATATCTATAACCAATATGATCATGTAATGTATATAAATATTCTCCTTAGGCATTGTCAAATCCATCATTGTAATTATTTTATGTTTATGATATTTTCTTTGCATTTATTCCTATACAATAAATCTAATCATACATAACAAATTATACTCTCTTAAATGTCAGAATCTCAGTCTTTTCAAATTCTGTCAATGCATAACCATATTTTGTCAAACAAACTTAAGGTGTAATGGGTAATTAACATTTATTCCATTCAAATTCACTTCTAGTTATACTAGTTTTTTTTGTTGTTAATTCTGAAATTGTTGTTTTTTCTTTAGACAATGTACCTTATCGTATATTTACTCTCTCTGTTGAATCACTTGTCTTTGTATCCAATTTATTTTAACTCTCTCTTTTATTATTATGAACAAAATAATTCAAGTTGTTTGTATGCTTATTACTTAATTGTGTCTATTTCAATAATACTTCCTTTAATGTTTCTATTGATGATCCAGTTTTTATAGAAGCAGTAGCTTTGCATTTCTGTTATTGTTGTTCCTTACTTCCCACTCTCTTTGCTGAAAATAATCTCTTCCTTGGCGATCCTGATGGAGATGAGTGTTTATTTGTCATAGGATAACGCATTTTTATCTCAAATGAAATGTTATTTTATTAAGTAATCTTCCCTCTCATAAGTTGTTAAAAATTAAAATAATCATTTCTTTTTCTTTTACATTCCACTCTTTCCACACTATTTTGTTTTTGTCTCACAAAAAACTATATGTTTCTTAGCAACCTCTGAATTAAACTTTCTGTTGCAAAACTTGCATTACACCAAATCCTAAACACTCTCCATAGCACTATTCAATTAAACCTACTCTTCTTATGTCAATTACTAACCCTTAGCCTATCTTATTATTGCTCTGAATGCTTCACTTTATGCTTACCATTTAGGTTTTTCATTTTTTACTAACTATTATTACTTCTATCCTAATTTATTTGCCTATATATGCACTTGCTTCTTCATTTGGCAACCTCTATCTTATCCACCATTCTCAACTTCTATCATTCTTTACATCTACGAATTGAACACTTTTCTCTTCTACTGAAACACCTTCTTGCAAATCTATATTATTTTGTATCTTTACTCATACCTTTGAATGTTTTTCTAAAGCATTTTCATTAAATGATCTTCCACATCCCTCTGGACATTATAAAAGTTTATCCTCAATACTCTATTTTCTTTAAAAAATCTATTACTATCTATTCTTGATTGGTTATTCTTATTTTTAATTTAAATTCATCTATGATTTTGTTTTATGAGTCATTTTTAATAATTAATCTTATTAAGTAGAATTTATTTATTAATCTTATTAGATTATTTACTTCAATTATAATTAAGATTTTGTTGTTGTTTTTGGTCTAGTTAATTATTATTAATTATTCTATGATTTTTGTTAAACAGATTATTTTTAAAGGTTAATTTATTATTTTTATTAAATAAGAACATCTTATTGTTTTATATTTTATTATGATTTTAAAACATTTTATTAATTTGTATTGAGTTAATCTTGTTCATTATTTTTGAATTGAATTGTTTATTTTTATTGTGTCGATTGTTTATCAGATTATAACTATTATTATTATTCTGAAGTCTTAATATTTCTTGATAATGGAGATTTCCCCTTATTAATAGACTTCTCATCTAAATTTTATATAGATGATTTATTTTCAAGAGGGTTCTTTTGAAAATTCTATCTTAAAGGTGATTTTGTTTAAGTTTTCTTGATTTAATCCTCTTAAGTACGAATTGGAATATTGGATAAATTTTGGAGGGGTTTAGATGTTCTAGACACATCATAAATCTTTAATCTGGAAGTTACAGAAATTTATACATTGAATAGTTTATTGAATGAATTTTATGGATTCTAAGAATAGAGTTAGTGTAATTACTTATTTAAATTACTTAGACATATTTTATGTTGGTTTGGATGGTTTGATTAAATTTAAAACTATATTTATTTTGTTAATAAAAATAAACTTGGCTCAATAACTGTGAATTAATTAGATTCTATCAGCTGCTATATTCCACCAAAAATAGATTCTCCACTTTTGATCTTTCAATTTGCTATCCTTTTCCAATCCATAAACTACTGTACGTTTGCCATCACAAATTTCAAAGTAATTGTTATCAATATCCAATTTAACAGCTAATAATTTTGGAGGCATCTAAATATTTATTTAATTAGAATTACTTTAAAAACATTATTGAAATCAGTTCCTATTCTTACATTCAATCCTTCCCCATTTTGACTAAATAAATCTTTTCTATAACCATGTCCATATGGAGATTTATCTTTAGAATCTTCTGGTACAACTCCTACATAAAAATTACCATTTGCTCCAGCTCTCTTTTAATCAAATTCTTTAAATAATACTATGCAACCATGTTAACCTTCACTAAAACTTATATCAGAATAAATAATCTAAGATTATAATCCAGCTCCAGCACATTCTTTAAAATCATCTGCCAATTATTTAATTAGTTTAGATTCATCTGCTTTAGAAGGTGTTAATTTCCATTGAGGTTTCCCAAATTTATACTAATATTTAATAAAAATTGATTACAGGCCATTATTAAATACTATTCTAAATTTATTCCCAATAACTTTCAAATACCTATTTATGTAATGTAATTTAATTAATTCCAACTTTTCCAGACATGACACCTTAAAAGACTTTTCTCATATTAATAATTTATTCAGATCTTTTTTGATCATTTAAATAATCATTGATTTTTGCACTCAAGAGATTTGGATCACTCTTAACATTTTCTTTAATAATAGTTTTGATTTTTGTAAGATCATAAATAGTATCATAATGTTTCTTTAAATTTTCAATGGTTGGTGTTAAATCTATTTTCTCATCTATTTAATATAAGAATTATAAATACCTTCTTTCTTTAGATCTTTTTTCTCATCTTTTTTATCATCCTTTTTTGTGTCTTTCTTATCATCTTTCTTTGTTTCTTTCTTATCATCTTTCTTTGTTTCCTTCTTATCATCCTTTTTGGCATCCTTCTTTTCTGGCTCTTCTTATTTAAGTTTTTCATCTTTCATGAATTAAGTTGCATTTAGTGCTTCCACCAAAAGTTGTTTAACATTCTCCACTTATTCATTCAATTTTTATTTCATTTGAAGAAAGAAATCTTCTATATCCTTTCTATATTATTCAATACTCTAAAGAAAGTTACATTCAACAATTACCTTATATCCAACTAAGAAGTCTTTGACCTTGATACCTTCGTCATCAGCTGGCCAATTATATACAGAATAAGCATTTCCTTCCATAACTTCATCCAAATCACATAGTTTAAGTTTGCTTACTAATTATGATTTTGTAAAATCTCCACCAATAGCATCACTTTAACACTGAAAACAGAATAATCTTTTTTCAGCTTCCTTCTAAAGAGTAATTGATACAAACTTTTTTTTATTATGATCTGCAATAGTACACCTTAGATCTTACATAAATATAATTAATATTATTAAAGGAAAAAATGAAACATTTTTAATCTCCAAAGTCTCATTTAATTGTCTTCCATCAATAATTACATAAAATCGTAGTCACCATTCAAATACCATTAGTATCCAATTATGAAAACATTTTTCCCATTTTCATCCCTACCACAGAATATTTCTTAAAACTCCAATTTATTTATAGTTCCATTTCCATCTTTTATCTAATAGTTTAAAGGTTTTTTTAATGTTTCTATTAAGCTATCAAATTTAAAATTACTAATATGCTACAATAATATACTCTTAGCATTATTTATCTATCTTTTACTTGTATATTATATCATTTATAATTCTATATCTGAGTATTTTTTAATCTTATTCATTATTTAATTGCATTTTATTTCCTCTTTGATATAAATCTATATAACCTAATTTCATTTAATTGTAATTTAAGTTAAACTAATTCTTCTTTACTAAATTTTTCATTAATATTATTATTAATAATCTAAATTGTTTTACTTTAAAATCTGTTATTTAGTTCCTAATACTTTTTTTAGATTTTATTGTTGAAAACTCATAAGTCTTATGAAAAAGTAATCAGACCCTGAAAACCCATAATATTTTATAATATTCATAGTAATTCATTAATCATAATATCATCTTATTTTTAATAGATAATATAAATGTATACAAAGATAGACTAACATAAATATAGAATTTTACCATCTATTCTATAAAATGTTGTTGTAAGAATCCCTTATAATTGTATTTTTAATATTATCCAAACACTTTTAGAGTCTATATATATAATCAGTTATCATACTATAACATTTCTTAATTAATAAATATAATTTATAAATCTTAGTCGGTAAACTTCGATTATAAAAATGAATAATTAGAATGAAACTAAAATAAAACAAATAGGTGATTACGTTTTTGATTTTAATAAAGAAATAGGATCTGGATATTCTTCAAAAGTATATTTGGGAGAAAATTTAAAAACTCAATAAATAGTGGCAATAAAAGTTATTAGTTCTCAAACATATACGTCTCCAATCTAAAAATCTTTGTTAAAAAATGAAATCTCTATTCTGCTTAGAATAGATCATCCACATTTAATGAAAGTTTTTGAAGTTAGTTAAAGTGCTAATAATACATATATAGTAACTGAATTTTGTAATGGAGGAACCTTGGAACGATAGATGTAAACAAATGAATTGGCTATCCCTAAAGTATTCTCAATTCTAAAATAAATCTCGTTAGGAATACAAGCTTTACATAATAAAAGTAGTAACGAAGAATTATACTTTAGAAATCATTCATAGAGACCTGAAACCTGCAAATATACTAATCCATTAGAATGTGTACAAATTAGCTGACTTTGGATTTGCTCTGATTGAGGATCAAATTGAAAGCATTATAAAAAGATTCAATGTTGGCACTCCATTATACATGGCTCCTGAAATACTATTGAAGAATCAATACTCTGAAAAGAGTGACATATGGGCTTTAGGAATCATGACTTATGAATTGATTTTTAAAAGTATTCCTCCTTATAAAACTGATATTAAAGTTTTCCATAATGATATACTTAAGAAATGTCAAAATTTAGATCATTAATATCAAAGTATAGTCAAATAATTGCTATTTGGTATGTTATAAATAGAACCAAATAATAGGGAGAATATTAATTAGATTCTAACATATATATAATAAGAAAAAGAATAAATTGCTTCTCCAAGAATTTAATAACAATTTATGAAAGTATCTCATAATTGTATTCAATCAAATCTTAGTTCTCCATTATCTTCACCAAAATAATAATATCCTCTTGAAAATAACAAGTAAAAGTACTAAAAAAAGATTTAATCTCATACAAAAGCATAAACCTTTGATTCATTAAAAATTTTGAGTTTAAATAAATTTTAAGATGTTAAAACCAAGATTAATTCTGTATCTGATTTCAATACAATAGAAGATCAACCTAAGATACTTTCTCATACTAAAAATAAGAATAATCATGAAATATTATTTTAATAATCAACTGAATGTTCTTTTTAAACAACTAATAATAATAGCATACAAAAAAGTATAAGATTAAAAATGTAATAATCTTAATTACCTGCAATAGTTTTACCAACATTTTATTTTTGTGTATTTTTAGAAAATCTAATTAAAACTATGGATTGTTCAACTGAACAGAAACAATAATGTAATTTTTTATTAAGGAAATTGTTGGCAATCAAAGCAAAAGCATTTTAATCATTTGCCCCATAAACAATAAAAGAATAATTATCTTAATGGATTAATTAATTTAGTGTTTACTATGAAAAGATAGAACATACTCTCAATTTTACCTTAGATAACACATTTTAAATCTTTTTTAATTCTTAATTGGAAGATTAGGGTAAATTGTTGAGTATGTATTTGGTTAGTTTATTAAGTTAAATAATTTTAAAAGAATAAAATACACAATTAGAAACTTTGATTGATATATTATAAGAAAATGTGAAACATCAAAATGACCCTTTTTTATTTGCTAGAAAATGGGCACATAATCAATTACCATGATTTTTCTATTTCTAATAAATTTATTATACTCTAATTATAGATATATATATTATTATCAATTTAATTAATTTAATAATTATGGGAACTTGTTTATCTTAAAAAAATACATGCAATTCTGTCAAATAAATAAATCAAACAGAATTTATTTCTTAGTTTAATACAATTAGAGAATTGATGCACTTTTTTGATTAGATAAGTTTAGAAAAATTAAATTTTCCAGACTTATCAGCATTTTTATCTAAACACATTAACAAAAATAGAATTGTAAATGAAGGAAAAACTTGGGTTGCAATAAATGAAATTAAAACTATATTAAGCAATAAAACAGTTATATTGATTAGGAACTTTAATCCAGAAACTGATGCAGCCATATAATTAATTTATTTACTCAAACAATTAATAGAAATTTCAATGGGAGCTTAAGAATTATAAACTAGTTTTAATGAAAATGCTGTTGAACTTTTTCATTATTACCAAACTCAATTGGTACAAGTAATATTATGAGAACTACTTTAGATATCAATTGAAGTTTTACTAGCTATTAATACATTTATAAGAAAATAAGAACAATGGTGGAAAGATGATTATTTCAATTGGAGAAGCATTTATATTTAATCAATGTTTAAAATATAATAACCTATTGTAGAAAAAATTGATCTCATACAACCATTTTATGAATTTATTGCTTTGTTAAAATAATGTGCTAAATAAATTTGTAACTAATAAAAATCATCAGATCTAATTGAAATAGATATTAAGGCTCAATAAGAAGTCTTAGAATAATTCTACAATTAAATAAGAACAGGTTTTTTATAAAATTAATCAAGTCAACTTGAGAGTATTAATTGTGAATGGTAAATTGCTTCAAAATCATTAGGATAAAAACTATAACTATATAATCTCTATATTAATAAGAAAACTTATACTTCTTGATTCTATCAATTAATATAAATATACTATTTTTTAAATAAATTCTCATTCATTCATACATTTGAATAATATAATAATTAGTTATTTTTTATAAAAAATAATCAACACTCACAAGATTGTCTATCATTTTAAACACCTCCAGATACATCCTAAGGTTTTTCTTAATGAATTAATATTATTTCTTGCTCACCAGATTTATGATTATTAAAAAGTGTAGAAGATTTAAAAGGAATAACTTCTTACTTTTATGAAAATATTTATTTAGTTGATGAATACTATTAATTTGGAACCAATAATCCCAAACATAAAATATAGAGTAAAATAGTACTTATGCTAATTTAATCGAATATCTAAGTCATTTTATCTTTGAATTCAGGATCCTTATGATTTGTTGTTATATGATATGTTATTTCATATTTATCTTACAAATTCTAAACGGATTCATTAAAATCAACTTTTTACAAGTCTGTTTTATTCTAAATAAAATCAAATAACTCAAATACTCCTATTAAAATCATTATTATTTTAGTTCCTACTTAAAATATTAGTTCTTCAATCCATTTGTCAATATGTAAAAGAGTTTCCTCTCTTGAACAATCATAAATTAATAAGACTGCTTTTGCTCTCTTATAATGACTATATTTAATATAATAAAGGATAAACCTTGAAACAATTGATCTATATTTTTCTTATCCAGCAGTGTCCCAAATTGAAAATTTTATATTATTTCTAGAAAATGAATGATGCTAAACTCCAATTGTGGTTTCAGGTTATTAATTGATATCTAAGAAGCTTGATCTCATTCAGTAAAGTTACTTGTGCAGAATTGTTGTTTTGCCTACTCCACAGTCGCCAAGTAAGATAACTATCTAAGTAATCGAACTTACTTTTATTTTAAGACATAGTTAGAAATATATTATCAAAAATAATTAAATGCAATTATACTTTATACTCTAATTATTTCAATCTATCAAATAACTTATTAAATTTACAATATGATTACTCAAATACATAACAAATAATAATAAAATACAATTAATCTAATAGATTTATTCTGTAATCTAATAACAGTTTAAGAAAAAATAATCTAAAACTGTTAAAATTAGATACTTTTTATTTAGAATAAAAGATACAAATTGATTTTTAAAACATTATAATAGACATATAAAAGAAGAAAATAAACTATATTAAATATAATGAATATATAGAATTCTAGTTTTTTATTTACAATATAATGAAATATATAATGCTATGATAATCATACAATTAAAAGTATTTGTCATTTTTATAGTTATAATTGGATCAAATAATAAAATAAAGCATTTTTTGGGATTAAAATAGATTTATAAATCTAAAATTATAGTAATAAAATTTAAAAGTTAACTTTTGAAAATAAGGAAATCAAATAAAGATTAGAATTAGACATAATACAATTTAGATTAAATAAATGTATTGAACATGATTTTAGGAATGAAAAGTATTTTAATTTATTATTAATAATGATAAAAGAAAATGATGAGTTAATTAAAATTATGACCAATTTTCTTCAAAGCAAAATCTTCATTTAAAATATGAAGGGGGATATGCAAAAGAATCAAAAAAAAAGATCTATATTGAATGTATAAATCAAATACTTTTAATTATTTGATGAAGATCAAGAGGTATATTAAGAATCAAATCATAGTTAGTTAGAATTTCCAATAATTCTTATAGTTGTGCTAATTAGGCTTTTAAATGTGTTTTAAGAGAGAAGGTTTAAAATCAATCATTAAAGTAATATTGGAAAGTCTTGTCAAATATAAATTATAATCTAAATACTTACTCATCCTATTATTAGAATTTATAGAAAATTCAGCATTTTCCATCTTAATTTTAAGAAATTATTAAAAGAGATATTGTAAGAACTACTTAAGATGAAAATTATAGGGTAAAATTGAGCAATGTCTTAAATGCATATAGTATACGTAATGCATAAATTGGATATTGTTAAGGGTTTAATTATATAGCGTATTATTTCCTTCAGCATTTCAATGAAGAGGTATCAATTTGATCTCTCTCACTAGGAAACTTTCTGGTTTTTATGTTTTTTATTTGAGACACTCTTACCACCAAATTATTATAATCATTTGTATGGAGTTTAATGTGATGATTACATAATTAAAGATCTATTACAATTCTTAAAACCTTAATTGTTTAATCATATGAAAAAATTACAGATTGAAACAAGCTTAATTACAATTTAATGGTTGGTTTGCTGTTTTACATTTCACAATAGATTAAGTGATACAATTATAGATTTATTATTACTTGATGGATCTAAAGCATAGATAAAATGTGTTCTAACTTATTTAAGTTTCTTAGAGCCTATTTTATTACAATGTGAAGATATAGGCACATTTATTATGTCAATAGAGAACTTTGTTAAGAGTTATTAAGATAGAGAATAATATGTTAAGGAATACAATAGAATTTATATAAATAATAAAATATTACAATATGTCAGATAAGATTATTCAAAAAAAGTAGTTAAAATGATTTAATAAAGAAGTAATCAAAGTGCTTAATAATTGGATATATATTTATTGGATCTTAAATTAAAAAAATGTAATTTAGAATCACATGTATGTCAATATATTCTGGGTGCTTGGAATAGAAATAAAAAACATCTTGATTTTATAATTATCCAAGAACAAAATATAAAAGTCATTTAAAATTATGAATAAATCTAGAGCAGAAAATATATTTTAGATAATAATGATTAAATGATATTAAGATAAAATCATATATGTCAATCAGATGATATTATTTTGATTAGAGAAATCTAATATTCTGATCTATAAAATGTTGAATTAGTAAACATGAAATAAACTCAGAAAACTAATTAAGTGAGTAAGAGAGCTCGTAGTCCAATAAAGGAAATTCTTCTTTTTCCATTAAAAGCTTTTAATTAAAAAGAGTAAGAATAGAAATTAAGAATGAACCCTTAAAAATATAAAATTGAAACCCAATATATTTAAAGAATAGTAAAAAGTGTCCAATCATAACAATCACCTAATTCTTAATAACATAATAGAGCTAAATCTCCATAATATAGAAGATCATATTAAACAAAGGATATGAGTCACTCTTAGAATATAGGTTATTTGCATAGAACTGAGAATGATGAATTGCCTACTATTCGAGAATCAATTACAATTTAATTTTTGACAGAGTTATCGAAAAATAATGGATTAATTAATCTAGAATTTGAATATTAATGATATTTTTGAGTAAAAATAATGATGTATTATAAAATCATACTTATTGATTTAAGCTATACTAAAATTTTATTGTAATTTATACCTATTCAATATTTGAATAATCTATAAGATACTTTGATTATTGTATGTTTGAATATCTATAAGGAGAATTTTGTTAACTGTTTGATACTGAAAATGTGGTTGGAGCTAATAAAATAAGAGAGAATTCTTACAATAATAGTTGTTTTACATGTCGGTTATGGCTAATTATGGAGTATTTTTGTAAAAACATTATTTCTAATCATAAAAATAATCTTGAAATATGATAACAATAAAATTTACATGGCTATTATTTTTAGGTATAAAATTAATATTGATTATAGGGTAAAATTTAAGGGTATGGAGATTATGCTCCATTTTCTTAATATTATAATGTTTTCTATAAATTTGGTTCGTCTTAACAAATTTTAATTATTTCTTTAAAATTGTTTACTGTTTTTTAAGATAATATTATACATATATTTGGAAGATTGGTTAGAACATTTGTGAGCATGATGGTCACATAATCATACTTTTTATTAAATTCTAATTAAGTTTAATGAATTTTCTAATTATTATGAATTTTAATACTTGCATAGTAATAAAATTTTATCTATTCAAAGAGGTTGATTAATCTATTGATTTTGCCAAGTTCTATTTTATTTCTTTATGACCCTCTTAAAGATCTTAGATCAATATTTTAATATTTTCATGTTCTTGTTTATAATAATCAAGTTCTTGATTTTATTCTCTTGTTTCTATTTTTTAATCTGATTCCTCTTAATTTCTACGTCTGATATATTATATCATGTTTCTAGAAATAAGGATTAAATTTTTTCATACTTTTAGCCTTTCCTGAACCATTTATGTCTAAATTCACTAAATCCATATTGATTTCTTGTCTTTTTAAAATTGTACATGTTTAGTTATCTATATTTATAATGTTGATTACCTTAAAAAGCTAGGATAATTTTTATGCTTAAAATAATTTGCTAGGACTTAAGATGACAATTCATTTGGATTATAGACAATAAAAGCTGTCCCTTCATTATTCCAGGATATGAGATTTGTTAATGAATCATTCTTAATGATGAATTATACTCAAAATACTTCCAATATTTCGTAAGTTTTTATTAAAAATGAAGGCACACTCACTTTTAAATGGGGATAGATGTTAGGATCTAGATTTGACATATTATTTATTATTTTAAGGAATATTCAAGATTTATTTTCGCTTAAATATCACAAAAATAGAACATAAGATTGCTTTATATAACAAAATTTAAACTTTATATTATATTGGCACAGATAAATGAAATTAGTGAATATCTCATGATATAAATTGGAAAATGTTTTGTTTTTTTTCAAAATTATAAAGAAGTAAAATTGCCATCTAATACACATTTGGTGATTTGAGTTTAAATATTGAAATTAATTAAAAATTGATAAAAATGAAATTTTGGCAATTGGAATAAATTTAATGAAATTACTTATTTAGAATTTGAAGAAATGATTGATAATAATACTTAAATGTCTTAAGTTTATCAAAATATTAGTTAATTTTTATTTTAGAATTAGTTATTAATATATATATATATATATTTTAAATTGATATAAAATGTATAATAATAATAATAATCATATTAACATTGCAAATACAGATATAATAATTACAATGTCATTAATTTCTCTTTATGCACTGCATATACCATCAGTGTTTGTATCAAAACTAGCACCAACTATATTATATAATTGAATAAATACGTGCAACTGTAAATTTTGAATCATTATTTTATTAGATAATGCAGCTCACACAATACTTAAATGGTTTGTCTAATTTACTCAAATTTCTATTTGTGTAATCTAAGAGTTGATTACTCCAACTAATAACCTTTTCTTTTGAATAAATTAAAGTGGCTGGAGGATTCTCACCTTCTTTTAATTGAAATACAGCATTAATTCCATCATCAATTGCCTTAGCTACTTCTTCTCCAATATATTCTCCTTTCTAAATTTATAGATAAGTATTTTTACATCTGCACCACCATCATCTGCCATTTTAATTACTTATTGATATTATAATATTAAATGTATAAATATATTAGTATTTGTATTATGAAAGTATAATCTAAATATTGTCTAAATTTCATTAATATTTATAATTTTTGAGGAATGGATAATTAAGAGAGACCAATAAAGCTTGGAATTGTTGGAAATTAAGGAGCAGGCAAAACATCCTTAATATTGAGAGTTGCAGAGAATAAATTTTATGCAAATCTAAATTGTGGAGTAGCTGTAGATTTTAGAACTATAAAAAATTTTAAAATAAATGGAAAATCTGTTAATCTTAATATTTTCGATATAGCTGGCTTAGCTAGAAATTCTGATTTAGCAATTTCATTTATAAAAGATGCTTCTGCAATAGTTCTAGCATTTAGTTTACCAGAATAAGCATATTATTAAAATTAAGAAAATGAATATCAAGAGAAACTTGAAACATAAATTTAACATTGGATTAGTAAAATATTTGATAATTCTGATATAAACACTCCTGTATTTATTGTAGGATGTAAACTTGATAAAATTGAAGATCCAGAATAATTAATACTAGCCATTAATGAAAGTTTATAAGATATCCTCAAACAATGTTAAAAAATAAACATAATAGAAAATAAATCAAAAAAATTGATTTTCTTTCCTACTTCTTCAGCTACAGGTGCAGGAATTGATGAATTATTTTAAAATTGGGTTTTAGAAGCTTCTAAAATACAAAAATATAATGGATCCGCTTTATCAGTGAATTCTCTAACAAAGGTTGTAAAAAAAAATGAATAATGTTGTTGAATATATATATATATATTTTAAATTATAATCAAATTCACATAATGAAATAAACTCATATTTTACTTATAGGTGATTAAAATACTGGAAAAACATCATTAATCAATGCACTTTGTAATGAATCTATTATAACTTATCCTACTATCTATTAAGAATTTAGAAAAGTTTAAATAGATAACATATAAATACAAATATATGATTGTCCAGGTAATCCGTCATACGAATATAATATTCAGTAAAATGCTCCTGTTGCTGCAATTGCCATCAACTTAGAACAATAAAATCCATTTTTGTATTTAGAATATCATCATCATATCGTTAAAGATAAATCTCTTATATTCTTTATAGGGTGCAAGAGTGATAAAACTCTTCATACTTATAGTGCTATAAAACAATAAATTTAGAAAATACTTAAAATCTAAAATTTTGCATTATTTTTTACAAGTGCCTTAAATTAGAAAGAAATTGCTAAATTTAAAGAAGACTTAGTATTCCTACTTTATTAAAGTAATTAACTATTTGATGATGAATTTAAATATCAAAATCATTATACATCTTATATAGAAGAAGAAGATTCATCATTCTTGGATAAGTGTTCTCAATTATTAAATTGCTGTTGTTTATGTTTAAAGAAAAAATGATGAAATAAACAACTTTGTAAATATTCTATCCATTCTTGATTATTATTGAAAAATCAAATTTTCCTTTAATCAATTATCTATTTATATATTATCTATAAACTATTTTTTAATAATTTCTAACCATTTCCACACTATGTTAATTATAACTTAAGTTTTAATTCGTTTTAAAACAAGCGTATATTATATTTTTATTAAATTATTATCATCTCATTTAAATAAATAAGGTATCAAAATTCTAATGTTATTTATGGAATTGATAAATTCTTCTTAATTTACCTTCATTTTTTTTTATTTATAATATATATATATAATTTGATATCTTATTTACATTTCATTCATTTTGTGCATTTATTCAAAATTATAGATATATTATAATCAATCATCATCTTTGTCTTCCTTTTCTGCAAATATCTCAAAAGCCTTTTTGATTGATTCCATATTAATAGCAACTGGTGGTTATAAGTTATGCTCTCTAAAATAAAATCCTAGGGGTAATCCCATAAAGAAACCAACTGCTAAAAAAAACATATAATCTAATAAATAATATTAATTTAATTAGTTCAATGAAACTTTCTAAAAATATATATAATGTTTTTTTATTAAATAATTTGATTATTTTTTTATAATATAGTCTTTAATCAAGAGATATTACATAATCAAAGAATATTTTCAAAATATATTAATACTGTAGAGTTACAAAATAATGATATTTGATAAGAATTTTTAGAATTCTTACGTAGATAGGGATCTTTTATTTTCAACAAAAGTCATTTCATATACAAAGAATTTTCATTGTTTTTTTTTGAATATTTGAGGTGTTTTCAACATTTAAAGACTTATAAAAGCTCTTGAGATTTAGAATTTAAAGTTTTTATTAATTATTCTGAACATTTTTTAATCATATTATTATCAATATTTTAATAATTTAAATTAAGAAATTATTTATAAAATAGAATTCCTTTTGAAGGAAGATATGTTTCAATTTAATATTATAAACTAGAACTTTATTTATAAATATGAAATTAAAATAACTTTTTTTAAATAAATTAGATAGGTGTAATACTTTGCAAATACTATCAATACTAAATGATTCTATATAAATAAATTCTTGGATATTTATAATTAAAACATTGACATCAGATTCCTGAAATGATAGATGGAATCAATAATACTACAATATTATATTCTAAAATATATCTATCATAAAATATAATCTAAAAATCATAGGAAACAAATATTGATATAATAATTAGGAAATTAAGAATTTAATATATTATAGGGCTTTTGGAATCAATTGATTTCGAAATTAAAATTTATATGTAAGCTTAATATACATTATCATTCAGTTTATTAATAAAAATTGCATAATTTATATTAATATATTTAGATTTGGTATTGATCATATTTTTTACAAATTATATTATTTAATATTAATTGTTTAAAAGAAAATAAATTGTAAAATATTTTTTGATTTTTTCCTACAGCAGAACATAATATACATGTATTTGATATTTAATTATAAGTATCTTGAATGCCAAAACTTAGTTTCATTACTTAATGTTAGAAACTGAATGATATTTTTAGATTGACAATATAAAAAATAATTTGATTTGATTAATATCTTTAATAATATAATTTATTTAATTTATGAATTTATTGCTTTAAAATAATAAAAAATAACTAATCGTGGTAGACTTTAAAAAGGTGTTTCATAAGTTAAATTATAAGATTTTGATTCTATGTTAACAAAAGAACAAATCAATCATAATTTGGATTCATATCAAAATTTATAATTAAGTCTAAAATTTTTATACTGATTGATTTGATCATTATATAATATTTAATTTATATTGTTAAAAATTAGCAAATATTCTTTTCTGTTTTTTAGCTTAACTATTCATTAAAAAGTTAATGTTTTAATAATCATATATAATTAAATTCATAAGATGTTTATTATTTATGCCAATAAACTGATTAAAATAATTAAAGAAGATAAATAAATAAATTAATTAAATGGGAATCTGTCATGGAGGCACAAAATACAATAATGGATAATTGAAACAAATTATGGCCAAAGCTAAAAAATCAGAAGATATAGCAATTATTTTACAAGAGACAACTGATATCTATACAACATTCAATCCCTATAAAAATCCAATTCTTAATCGTCGTTTACGAGAATAATCAACACCAACATAATCAAATGTACAACAATGATTGAATTCTTTAGTTTTTTTGTTCATTATTGTTTTACTATAATTGACTAATAACGATAATCATTTAATATTTCAAAATTAAGTCTAAAATAATTTTTCCTTAAATGAAATATCTTTTTTTATAGCTTCTTAAGATTTTTAATATGAATTAAGATCTTGTTCACTCAAAATTATTTCTAAAAAATGACAACATTTAACATTACACCATGAAATAATTAAATAATTAATAATAAAGATTCATTATTAAAATTTACAAGATAAACATAAAATTATTTTAATGCTTATGGATTAAATAATAAATAAAAATAATGTCAGTGAGCTTATCTTAAATAAAAACATAAAATGTTATTCGTCAATAGAAAATAAAAAAATATATATTATTAAGTTTTAAATAAACATAAAACTGATCAAATAAAGAAGAAGAAATTTCATCTTGTTCTATTAATAGATGATTAATTTAATCAAAACTAATAGTAATAATTAATAACTTTTAATTTTATTGTCTGAATATATAACTATATTATAAAAGTTGTTAAAAATATAATAATTTCTGTTTTAATTTTAATAATAATTCATTTTTCATCTTCCTCTTCTATTTTATCTGTATTAGCAAATTTACTATTTTTTTTTTCATTAGGACTTCCACTTATATCAACATGATCAAATTCAGTAGTATTAAATTTTTACATTACTTTACCATGTTAAGGTTCTTTGAATCCTTTGAATGCACTATCTTATGTTACAAAAGATCCTTTTTCAATTTATTTTGTATTTTATAATGAAGGTGAATCACTTTAAAATTCTTAAGTCTAAAAATTCTTTCCTCCAGAAGAAAAAAATTATTTTTTTTGAGATGAAGTTTATTATTGTTTAAGTTCTTAAGTGTGACTTTTTTCAAAAAATGGTTCTAATAAACATGCACTAGCTGATATTCTTTTGATAGGATCTTTTTCAAGCATTCTTTGAATTAAATTAATGATACTAGGATCTATTTTCTTCATTTATAATGGAGTTAAATCAATTTTACATTATTTATTTAATTTTAATACTAAATTAAATCCTACTCCTGGAAATAGATCTTTACCAGTTAATCTATATATATATTTAATAAAGTACAATTTAAAGAATATAACTCCAGCACTGAAGACATCACATACTTTATCATATTTTTCTGATTTATCAATTAAATTTGCAATCTCTGGTGCAACATAACCAGGAGTACCACATTTTGGAAATAAATATCTTGGATTATATTATTTAAAGATTACTTGTCAATATTGCAATAGGTTGCCAATCCAAAATCTACTATTTTTAAAGAATTCAAATCAGATTTTTTTTGTAACATAATGTTCTCTGGTTTAAGATCACGATGCATTATATTTTTCTTATGCATATATTCTATACCAGTCAGAATTTACTTAAATTAAAATTTTAAATAAATATTATACCCACATCACATTACGCACTATTTCTTCAGGAAATCCATTTTTATGGCTATTTAATTCATCATGCAAACTTTTTCCTTCCAACAAATCCATTACCATATAGAATGTATTGTCACCTTCATAAACTGCATGTAATTTAATAAAAGAAGGATGATCTAAATCATTATTGATAGAAATCTCCTAAAACATTGATTCCTTAAATTAATAAATGCTAATTACAATCCCATTTTCTGTTTCATTAACATATGACTTATCAACACATTTTGCAGCATAATAAAGTTCAGAATTTTTATGTCTGACCAATAAAACTCTAGAAGAAGCTCCTTTTCCTAATGTTTAGAGGGGTGTGTAAAAATCTTAAATTCTTTGGAAGATTATTTTATTTCTTAGATGTTCTTTTAATTTAGTAAGAGTGATATCATCTCCATAAAAACAAGTAACTTTAGCAATTTAAGAGTCTTTTATTTATTTAATCTTGAAATATATGCCAAAAATTACTTATTAGAACTTAAATGACACAATTTTGTAATGCTTCTTTCCATTAACACTTTCTTCTTCAACCTCCCATTTGATGTGAGTTTACAATTAAATAGGTAAGACATATTTCGAAACCTTAGCGTTCTCCTTAAATAAATTAAATTAACGTTAATACTTTATAGAGTTCGAGTTTATTGTTATTTATTATTCCTTTATAATGTTTTGTACCCTTTTGTCCCTTTTTGTAACAATCAAATTCAAAAATTTATGGAGCTTCTAATTACATATAATTTGTAATTAATTTTATAAAATTTAATTAAAATACTATATCAGATCATGAATTAATTAAACTCTTCTTAATCATTACTCTTAATTCTACTATTTTCTTATCTATCACATATATAATAAATTATTATATATAACCTTATAATTAAATATATAACCTAAATAATTAAATAAAAATCATTACATTATTTAGTATTATTTAATTGTGTATTCCTAATAAGAATTTTAATTCATAAATATCTTAAAATGGCAGAACAACAATAAGCAGACTATTTGAATCTAAAAGTAAAATCCTAAGATGGTGAAGAAGTCTTTTTTAAAATTAAAAAGTAAACTTAATTTAAGAAATTAATGGATGCATATTGTTCTAGACAAAATGTATACAAATAAAAATTTAAATATTTAGTTACAAATCTAAAATGTCAGATTTTTGTTTGATGGTGAAAGAATATTAGAGACTTAAACTCCAGCAGATGTAAAAATATCAAAATGCAATTCTTTTAGATTGGAATGGAAACAGGAGATGAAATTGATGTTGTTATAGAACAAGTAGGTGGATAATTATATTGAGTTAAATAATAAAGTTATATTTAAGTTATTAAATTCAATCAATTTTCTTTTATCCATTTTAGATATATTTGCAAAGATTAACAATTATTAAAAAGATCTAATGGAATAAGTGATTGTATTTCTCTAGCTATTTTAGATTCATTATAAAATCTTGTCTGTAATGGTATCCAAATCACAAAATATACAATAACAGAAATCACACAAAATATCAAAAAAAGTAAAGTAAATTACAGTTCCAAATCAGAATAATGCAGACTTAAATAACTTTGTAATTCATTTGATAATTACATATGACATACTCTAATAAATACCTTTTGCATTTTTCTATTTGCATTACCAATTCTTGTATTATAAATATTACATGTATAATTTTTTCTATGATTCATACTGATATTGAAGGTTAAATTATTATATATAGCATTTTTATCATAATAAGAGTATTATTACAACATATTTTTGGCATTTTCAAAAAAATTTGTTATAGCAACTGAAAGTCCTTCTTGTAATATATTTTTATTAAAAGATAAACATGCTGATGAATTTACAGATGAATCATATGCTAATATAATATCACATGGGTTTTGAATGTAAATTTCATTGAATATCTTTTTATATTGATCTGATAGAATCAATTCATTTTCTTAATTCAACACATGAAGTTAAGCATCCAAAATTTTGATTATTTCTAATTCTTATTATAATCTTTTTTTTGAATTAAACTCATTAAATAAGATTGCATTTTCATCATAAAGCATCTCTTTAATACTATTATCAATCAATCTATATTATATTGGCAAATAGGATGTTAAATTAACTAAAGGAACTAAAGAATTCGTTTAATCAGTGATTATCTAATTATTAGATAGAAATAGATTTTACTGTTGCTGAAAAGTATATGTAACAAAAATAAGAATAAAGTAGAGCCAAAAGTGACATTGACATAACTTGTACTCTTCTATAGTTATTTATTTTAAATATTGCTTTCTTCTTTTTATTTTTATTTGATTATCCTATATATTACTCTTAGTCATCTTAGGCTTCAGGTTCTTCTTCAATAGATTCAATCTTTAATTAAAAAAATAATTACTTCATCATGATCACTTAACTATAGTAATTATATAAAGGTTTAAAATTAATTTAACATCTTTTTAATTTAATCATCTCTAATCAATAAATATAAAGCAATAATCTCTTTAATATCTTTTGAATGATAATATATGTATAATTAAAAAAATAGTAATATTAATGTAAGGCAACAGATTTATAAAGTAAAAAAGGACTTTTCTTCAAGATAAAGATTATCAATTAAACTAAGTATGTTTGAGTAATAATAAGCTTGTGAAACTAATTAAGATTTAGGGATTGAGTTTAATGTATTGTGCAGATAATAATGAAAATCTTCATTATCATCAACAAAATCTGATAAATTTGAATTATTTAAAGTGATAGCCTTAGCAATCATTTATTAAATAGCTTAGGTGTAAGTATAATTATGGTATTAATTATCTTTCGAGACCATTTGTACATTGGCTGATTAAAATTAATCTAAAACTGATTGATAATTTTCGTTAATCTAAATATTTGCTGTTGTTAAAAGCTTATCATTTACTAATAAAATATCTAATTCCTTACTTAATTCTACATAATTTAACTAAGCAAACTTACCATCAGTAACTTTCATTGTATATTGTTCAAGATTTAAATAAGAACCTCTTAAATCCTATAGATTTGATTAAATTTTTAGAATTGATGCAAATCTTTAATTAGAAGCTGCTAAAAGAGTAATAGCTGATTAAAATTCACTTTGTGTTTGATTAATTATCAAATACATTACAATGGCAATAACAAACAATAAAATCATAAGACTATTTAAAATAAAAATGAGTTTCTTTAGAATTGGAGAGTATGGGACATTTAATAGGCGAATCATTAATTCTTCTTAATTAGATACTTTGATTTGTTGTGACTATTCTTTTTATTCTTAAACTTCTAACTTTTAAGTACGCTCTCTTATTTATTCTTCTTCTTCCTCATCTTAATCTAAATCAATTATTTCCTTAATTTCTCCTTTAAATAATCTCAAAGTTTTGATATCATGTCCTAATCCTTACGATATGTTAAGATGAGTCATTGAAATCTATTTATTACAAAGAAAACTTTATTAAGCGAACACTTCAACTTTTGGTTCATCTTAAATTTCACTATCATTTTTAATAGATTCATATTTAGAAGTTGGTTAACTTAAGTATTCAACTATTATAATAAATATAGTATACAAATATATGAGTTTTACTCAATTGAATATTTGAATTAATGCTTAAAGATATTTCTTTTGATAAGATACTTATCTTTAGGTATTTAGATGTCATTGAGTTAGACTTTCAAATAATATCCAAATATCTATTATCGTAAATCTTATTAAGTAAATTAATAATTTCTAGCAGATATTTCATATAATTATCCATAATATACACAAGAGACACATTAATCAATTTATTTTTCTTCAAAATCAGTACTTTTATTTAAAGAAGTTATATGATTTTCAAAAATAATTATATTCATCTTATTAATATAATCATCCATATTCTCCATAAGATAAGGGAATAGTTTTTATATTGTTAATTATTTAATTTATAACTAACGAATGTCTAAATTAAGAATAGAGATGCAAGTTGCTGAAATACTTTCTATTTTGCCATCAAGATTAAAAATTAAATATGCACAATTATTATAACATTAGTCTTATCTCAATCTGCAAAATTAAAAAATACCTTTATCAGACATATATATTGAATCAGTGCTGAAAGTCTAAAGAACATAATTAGTTTTAGATACTAAAAATTAAGATCTTTCTTATGTTTCATAAACTTGATCTGATCTTAATTAAGTAAAATAATCTTCAACAAAAATGCTATGCAATTTACAATATCTAATTTATAATGTAATTAATTACTTATTTTATAATATTTATGATAATGGTTTACCAATTACATCAGTTTTAGAATATCCTAATAAAGAATGAAAAGCTTAATTAACATTCTTTATTATAGTTGGTTGATTAGCTTTACCAAATAATTCTAAAACTATGACTGGATATGAATACGAGCTTAGTTCATCTTAATTTTTTAAATATTAACGTTCTGATTATTGTTAAGCTAATTTCTTTTTATTTGCAATTTGAACACCTTTATAGGATTGTAATTAATGAACATATTTATTAAATTTTTCTATTAGTTTAAAAATTTATGCATTTGAAGGATTATTTATTTAAAGTTTAAACAATTATTTGTTTAATAAATGAATTGATTTAAGAATTAAATTTCCATATTTCTTAATCATTGTTAAATTTGGATTTTCATCCAGTAATGTATTCCAAAATGATATTTTATGATATGTACATTCTTCAGCTAGCTATTTGATTTATTGATATTAATATTTCATGCTTCTATCTAGAGTTTACATGTAATTAACTTAGTTTGAAATTATAGAAGATTTTTAATATTGTTAATCAATAGTTTTCCTCATCTTAAATATTAAATATTATTATCCAAAAGAAGGACAGCATGCTTCTGCCTTATCCAATTCAATTAAAGACTTTTGCCCTTATTCCAAAGTTTCTAATAGATAAGAAGAATAATAAAGCCTTAAATCAACACTTTAAGGATAAATTTAAAGGGCAATCTAATAAATTTAATCAATAATTTCTTTTAGAATCATTCTTTTATCTGTATATTTAAGATTATCCTTAAATTTTTTAGACAATTCTATTGATGTTTTAATTGCACATTAAGGATTTAAACAAGTTTATTTATGAACTTCCAAGAAACCTAATAAAAGAATTTCCTTATTTTTATCCTTTTCAAAATCTTCACATAATTCAATCAAAAATTCTGAAAGTTAGATTATTTCCCAGCTTGTTAACTATTATATCAAATTTGCCTATAACAAATTAATGTTTTATTTCTAATCTTACATTAAAATTACCAAGAGCATTGGCATAGTTACAATCCAACCCTTTATGGTGTCTTTAAATACTATATGTTCGAATGTAAAAGCAATTAATAGCATAAAATTTGTATAAAAAACTAAACCACTTATTGCAGACCAAAGCTTTTAAATTATCCTATTATAAAAAGGTCTTTTTAAACGAATTTTGTAAAAGAAGAAGAAACTTGTCAAAACTTAAATTAAAATCACAACAATTGTGTATTTTGGTAGTTCTATTAAACAATACATTAACATTGAAGATGATGCATATACAAACAGAAATGCGTATGTTGATCCTTCTCTTTATGAAAATGTATTCTTTTTATTATTTCTAATTTCAATAAATAATTATGATCCAATAAATACAATGAGGAATATGAATGCTATTGAAAATATTACAACAATAGCATGAATTATATAACTGCTAGTCCAACATTCCTAATCTGTTGTATATAACATTTTTAATTCACCATTGTTACCTCTTTTACAAACTAAAAACTAAATTCATATATATAAATTATACTCCCAAATGTAATCTCAATATCTCAACAAATCCAGCTGTCATGATCAATTTCAAACTTATATTTAGTATCAATCTCAAAATATAGCTATTCAAGAGTTTTTTTAAAATGGTTGCCAAAAATACTACAATTACAATTAATAGCACAACACTTATTGAACAATATAATCCAATTAAATAAGTGGAAGTTTTTTGTTGATTAAGCATCCTTATAATGGTAAAATACTGCAAAAACTATTGAATTTACCCTGACAGTATCAAATCATGCCATGCAAATTAAAGCTATATTTAAAAAGGTAAATATATAAGTTGTATAAACTATATAAGAGATAATAAAATTGTAGTTTATAAAGGTTGGTTATTTTGGCCAACAATTTAATAAGCGACACTAGACTTACAAGAAATTTTTACTTAAATATTGATAGTTTGAATTAATCCCAAAGAGTTGATGAAAATTCTTGTTTATGACTCATATAAATTTGTATTTTGCTTATTAATTTAAATTACAAAGAAATTATTTTTAGAATTACAAAAACTTAACAATTTATATTTAGATAATAATTTTAATAAAAAGAATGTTCAATCGATCTTCTTCTGATGTAAATATTTCATAAATAATCAGATTAATCAATGAAATAAAGTAAAGTATTTACAAGTAAATAGATAAAAATATATTTAGAGTAATTTATCTAATGATGAAATTGGGAGAAGAATCACTATATATAGCCATCTTTTTTTCAATAATTTAGTTGCTTTAGTTATTATATTTGGCTTTTGGACCTAAAATTTTGTATGTTTGGAATAATGAAGAAGCAGCAACAAATCTCAAAAATATTTTATCGTAAAAATGTTGATAATAATAAGCTATTTCGTTATAAGTGCACACTTAATAGATCAAAAATTAGAGCTTTATTTAGTATTTTTTTACTTATTCTTTGGATTATTAGTCCTATCTATAGTGTTATTTATTATATTTGCATTCGCTTTTAAAGTAGCTATTCTACCTTTATTACTACTAAAATCATTGTTGAAGCTATTTTTAACAATAGGATTTCTACCAATTATGCTATTATTTTTTGGAGTATATTATTGATTTTCTACATTTTATAGCTTCTATCTTGTTAAGTAAATAGTAAAGGAATTGATGTTTGGTTTTATAATTCAAATATTGAATGCTGGGGAGAAGAACACTATATACATGGTATTTTTGCAATAATTGCTATATTCTTTTTTCAAATTGTGACTAGTTCTACATGCTTAATTTATTTTGAGAGTAAGTGTGTTTATGGAAATGCTTATGCATAACGATCTGGAAGACCATATTCTTATTATCATATCAATGTATTCATCATTATAATGTCATATTAATTACTTGAAACACCAAGATTTAGCTCTTTATTATTAACAATCTTCACTATATCTAGTTTTTTTCTGTTTTATCAAATTCATACAGAAAAACCATTTTATAATAGAGTAATTTAAAAATTATGGTCTATAATTACAGCTTTGAATTTTTGGACTTCTATAATGCTTATATTTGCATATCTTTTAGAAGGTTAATACTTTAGAGATGTCATTTGGGGATGGGTAGGTGGAATACCATTAATTACATTGATTATAATAAATGAGTAAATTTTTGAAGTTGATTTGTTGAGTTCAAATATCAATAGAGCAATATCAGGATAGTAGATAATTATATTATGTGAGTATTTATTATAATTATTGGATAAGAATGATTAACATTCATCATTAATGTTAGATGGATTTATAGAAATACACAAATAAACATGTTATAGAAATGATTGTGTATTAAAATCAAAAAAGAGTTTGAATGATAAAAATAGACATGTTTCTCTTCATGATATGGAAAGATATACAGTATTTATAGAATTGATTAGTTAAATTTATTATGATGGTATTAAACAGTTTCCATAAGATGTATTTTTAAGATTAAATTATTCATATTTTTTAATAGACAGACTAAAATTAAAATAATAAGCATTAAGTGAATTGTAATAGGCAGAATAAAGTGGTCCAAGTTTTGATCATGAATTTATCATTTATAGATATAAAAGAATAATGGAAGATGATTTGTAAGAACAACAATAAGAGAATTTAAATCAAGTTGATTTAGTAACAGAAATTGCCTTTTAAACTTAGAGCAAATAATTGATTTAATAAATAGAGAAAACTTCACTTATATATATAGATTTCTGGGCTTAATTATAAGAGGAGGTTCCAGATATTGGTAGAATTAATTATTTGGGATTTAAAATATTAGATTCAGTAAATTTAGTTTAAGAATAATGGAATAGATTAAAGAGATTAAATTAAAAGGCTTCAAAATTGAATCGTTTGATGGGTAAATATTATTCACAAGTATTAAATGATGAAGAAATGGGATCAAAGTTGATTTAATAAAGTCGAATAAATTAGAATGATAAATTTAAGGCTATTGATTTGGAAGAAATTTAAAATGAATGTTTAGCTACAATAACAATATTGACTGATGTAGATAAATTAGGAATAATTAGCAATCTTAATAAAGCAGCATGTAGTTTATTGGGATATGCTAAAACTGATTTAGTAAATAGAAAATTAAATTTGATATAACCAGATCTGTAATTATAAATAAATAATTCTTAGTTTTTCAAAGTATCATGATCATTTTCTTGAGAATTTTTTAGATAAGTTTCAAGACAATTACTCTAATTATTAGGTTAAAGAAAAATCAATATATGTTAAAAATAAATAAGGATATATAATGCCTTGTTAATTAAATATAAGAATGATATAGACTATTAATTCAGGTGTTTTTATGTGTGGAACAATCAAACAAGATATCTATCATAAACCTTTGAGTATATTTTTATGTTAAACTAATGGCATAATAGAAAATATAAATTCTACATGTATAAGGATGTTTGGATTGGAATTGAAATCAATTACAATTAAACCTATCAATATTATAGATATATTTCCAGATATATTTGAACGCAAAGAAGAATTATTATAAAAGGCAGGAGGAATTGTAAGTTATACATTTAGAACTCGATCTTCTAAGAATGATACTTCTCATAATTCCTTATAAGATTTAGAAATAGAAAATTCATAATAATTTGAAAACTAAACTAAATAATAAGTATTTTATTAATGCTTTCTATAAGAAATTAAATTTCAATGTATAGAAGATGAAATCATTTAAAATAAATTATAAGGATATATAATAAAATTGGAGAAAATTAAATCTTAATCAAAAGTTTAATTACTAACTAAAAATAAGACAATTTAAAATTAGTTTTAATTTAAATTCAATTACTAATCATTAATTTATGTGCTTGATTTTACAAATGGATTAGACTCTTAGGATGTTACAGTAAAAGTAGATTAAAGTATTATTTGGGAGGATTAAACAAAAATATCATAATAAATCTTGAATGATCCATAGGTACAAGGTAGTGATAGTCAAATAAATTATTCTGAAGGAATCAAGATTGTTAGATTGATTGGAGATCGAATTGTAGAAATAGAAGAATCTAAATCAGATGAATATGAAGATGAAAATATGTAGAGTTTATTTGAATAAAATGAAAATAATGAGGAAGATTAAAAGAATGAGAAAGATACAGTAAATTTATATAGATCAAAAGCTTAATTAGAATAGTTGTTGTCTTAATCAAAAATACCTAGAACTGCAACCAATTTTAGAATATTCATAAATATAATAACATTAGTATTAGTGTTGATAGCCTTTTTAGAATATTTCATAAATTCTAATTTCAATTAAAATTTAATGGATTCTTTACCTTTGGTCTCATAGAATAACCAAAGATCAAGTACTTTAATGGGTGTTTAATCAGTTGTTCAAGATCTAAAAGCTGTGCATTATGACTATTTTCCAATGTTGAAAGACCCTTAATCAGGTTATTTATATGTTGAAAAGTAATTTAGAGGATGGTTAGATAAAGAATTACAATAATTGATAAAACTATAGAAGGATTTGACTTTGGTTTCTGCTGAGATTAGTGAGGATTATAAATGGTTTGAAGATTAATATTAAATGTAAAATGTTGAAATGTCATCTTTGGAAGGTGGAACTTAAAATTATACATTTAATGAAGCAGTCTAATCAGCAATTGCAAAAGCTTTATAAATAAATAGTAGCATTTTGGATGATATTAATGATCAGAATAGTGATGTATATTATATTGAGTATAATGTTTTCAATTCTTTAACTTCAGGTTTAACTATTCCAGCTGAATATTTTAAATACAATATAAAATCAAGAGGGGAAATTTTAGAAACATCAGTAACTGCATTTTTAACAGCAGCATCTGTCATATTATTTTTTTTGTATTTTTTTAAATAAATATTAGGATTTGTTTAATTATTCTATTTATAATTAAGATCTAAGTAGTCAATTAAGCTGCTTTGCAATTATTTTTAGATTTGGATTAGAAAAAGATAAAGTCAATCTATGTTAAATGTGAGAATTTCATTACAAGTCTTCAAGTAGGAGATGAAGATGATGATGAGGTTAATTTAATGATTAAATTTCATAGTTCTTTTCTGATAATGATGAAAAAGAAGAGGAAAATGATAATAAAGAAAAAGAAGAAGGAGATCATTTACTAAATGGAAGAAAAAGGAGAAAGAAGTTTAGAAACTCTAATCAAAATTACAAACATTAAATATTAGCTTTACTTTTAGTTATTGTAGTCATGGGTGCTTATTTTACTTTTTTATTTGTTTCTGTTTAGGTAATATCTATTTTATTAATTTTCAGTCTGAAACATCTAATATAATAGATCTAATACCAGTCTTTAATTAAACCTCTTTTGCAGAATGCTATTACAGGTATTCTGATAATGCTTTAAGAAAATCATTAGAAGTTGAATAATACATGTTTGTTGGTAACCCTTCAAGTGAAATTTTGAATTTTTTGATTGCTGACTTATATAATTTGGATGCAGCCATTCATTAAATTCATTCTTCCAATTCAGATATTCTAAGTTCAGAATATTTAGATGTAAAGATTAATTAAAATTATATAGGTGTTCAACAATATATTTATATTAACTCCTTGTGATTACATAGTTTAAATTGATGAAGAAATTAATTATGAAACTTGTTTAAATTTTAATGATGGAGTACTACAACAAGGTTTATCAATTGGAATGGCAAAATACTTTGAAAGTTATAGATAAGTCTTGAACTCTTATAATTCATTTAATGAATCAAATGAATATAATCTGACTTATAATATTTCTGAAAATAAGAGACTAAATTATATGATTAATTTAATTAATACTGGTTAGGCTCATAATATGAGATTGATGTAGGAAAGATATATTAAGGCTGCTTACGAGTATATTAATTAAGCATTAACTAAATCAGTGAAAAAATATGTTAATAATAATAAAAGCTTGAAAGTTGCACTATTTATCAGTTTCAATATATTTCTCTTTTTTATTTACTTTTTTATATGGATTCCACTTGTGTTCCGTATTTTGAGTGATATGCTCAAAAATCGATTAATGTTAACAATAATACCATTATAAGTTATTCATAGAACTGCATCAATAAGACAATACATAAGAAAAATTATTAATCATTGAAAATTATTATTATTATAAAATTAGTATATTATTAAAAATTAAAAAATATGAAGACTATGAGTATTGAATTAGTGACCTTTGGACCTGGAATTCAACACTCTACCTCCTGAGCTAAGTCTTCAATGATAAAAAATTATATGATTAATTAAAAATCTACTGAAATGATCAAAAGAAAATTTGGATAGTTTCTGACTTTTTTATTTAATATATTCCTACCTATATTTTCTTAATAATAATGAGATTCAGATTTTCTTATAAATTGATATCATATATTTTTAACAAGAGTTATTATTCATTTAAAATGTCTGGTTTTAGTATTCAATAATTCAATCCATTATTGATATCTGATATCAATTTATAAGAAAATGGATTCTAAACTTATATCAGAAAATATATTTTATTAATTTGAATTCAATTTATTAGCTTGTTACATAAATTAATACAAATTAAATTTAAGTAAATAATTATGAGTTTACGCATTATTTATATATTATTTCAAAATATCGTCATTAAATTATATATGATGATATTTTTAGAATAAATAATGACGATATTACGTATTATTTTATGAAATATCATAATACTCAATACTTGTAATCAGCCACGAATAATGACTCATTTGAAGCTCCTCCTTGTCCTCCTTAGTATTTACCTAATATAATAGTAAAAAAGAGATTCTTACCTAATTAGGCTTCACTATTGGCCTTAGCTCTAGTTAAGAAAGCTTATTAAGCAGCTTCCCAATTATCTTATTTACCAGCCCAAGTCTTAACAGCTGTGTTTTGAAGTGCTCTACCATAAGAGAATGATAAAGACCATGGTTTTCTTACAGTTGTTAATTAATTCATAGCATTTAAGTTCAAAGATGCCTCTTCTTCTGATTATCCACCTGAAAGGAACTATTTTTATAAATTCTAGATTCTTACTGTAACACCAACAAGTGCAGGAGGAACTGTTCTACTTAAAGCTAAAGCTGTTCTATATCCAATTTCTTAAGGAGTAACTTTGTTTCTATCAGGATTAGTTGATCCTGGAGTGACCATATTGGGTTTAAGTAGACATCCTTCTAAGAAAACATTATTTTCATTCAAAGCTTTAAAAACAGCAGCCAAAACCTTTTCGGTGACTTTTTGACAGACATCAATAGAATGATCACCATCAGCAAGGATTTCTGGTTCAACAATTGGAACAAGTCCATTTTCTTAGCATATGGCAGCATATCTTGCTAATCCCCATGCATTTTCTTTGATAGCTTATTATGATGGTAATCCATTTCCAATTTTCAAAACAGCTCTCCATTTAGCAAATCTACAACCAAGTTTATAGTGTTCAGCTGCCATATTGGCTAATGAATCTAATCCAAGAGTAGCTGATTCATCTTAAGTTCCTGGAATTACTCCCAAACCCTTATCTACTTTGATACCTGCAACAATTCCCTTCTCTTTCAATAATTCAACAAAGTTCTTGCCTTCCTTTGTAGCATGTTTTACCTAAAAATGTATCTAATTTAAAATACTGTCTCTGAGAAAAGAATGACTCCACTAATATAATTTTCGATTCCAGGAGATGTAAATAACAATTCTCTATAGGCTCTTCTATTTTCTTCATTGTTTTCAACATTGATAGTAACAAACTTCTTTCCAATAGTTCCTTAAGACTAACAATGATATAATAATTTACTTCATCTGCTGCCAAAATTCCCTTACCTGGAGTACAGATTTTTTATGCTGTTTCTGCTAATTCCTTTCTGTAGTCTGCTTTTTATTACATGAAGATCTTTAAAATGAATTAATTTATTAAAATTTTATGTTCATTAATACGTTATCAATAGTCAAAATTTAGGCTTCTAGAATCTATTTAATTAAAATGATTTATATTTTTGTACTCCAGTATTGAACATCTCTTCAAGAATCTCTCCCATCACAATACAAAATTTAAATCCATCTATTATTTATTAGATATATATTACGTCCAGAACATGCACTTAAAATTATTGTATTTTTAGATCTTGGATCAAAATCTATAGTAAAATTATGATCTTTTGTGCTTGTATAAACACATGTTTCTACTCTAGATACAACAGCATCTTTTAATTCTGGCATATATTTAACCAAAAATTATCTAATTTAATTAACTGTTCCATTTTCATTCTTTGTTTAATCATATAAATCAGGATGTTCTAATGATGGACCAAAATGATGTAATCCAATCTTTACTTCTCCATTCACCTTTGGAAATCCATAAACTTCTTATGAGTTATTTTCACTCATGAAAACTGGTAACTTATCAAAGTTCTTATTATCTGTTTTGAAGAAAACAACTTATTATTTATATATGCCGACATCCAAAGAGTATGTATTTTACAATCTCTTTATACCCATTCCAAGGGATAATATCAACTTTTTAGACTTAAACACTCCTAAATCTGTATAAACATGAATCTCATCACCCTTGTATATATGATTTATATAACGACAATTATTAATAATCTATCCTCCTTTTTATATACCCTATTTTATAAAGATAGATATTGCTAATTCTGGTCTTACAAATCCTGCTGATTTATCAAAGTAAAACTATTATTCTTAAGATGTCTTTATTGGAAATCTAGATTCAACTTCTTGATGTTTTAATTATTGAAGGTTAGGATTATTGAATTAAGTATAATCTCTAAATTGACTATCAGTAGGGTGTCCAAATAAAATTCCCCCTGAATTCACATAAACTTATTCACTCGTGGAGTCTTATAATTGCTTCCATAATTCAAGAGATCTTCTAGCAATATCGACATATTCTCCAGAATATCCCATCTCCCTCACAATTCTTGTCTCACCATTATGTGACCCTTTTGTATGAGGGGAAACATATTGTTCAATACCAAGAACCTTCATTTTGCCAGAAAAATGTGAGAAACAATTACTACCATGAGAACCTAATCCTACAATAATTAGGTCAAATAATGTATCCATTTTATATTATATTTAAATTAGAATATGAAATCATATAAATCAATGTAATTTAAATCATCGAGATCTTGTTTTTTATAGAGATCATTTTTTGAATTGATTTTCCTTGTTCTCAGCATTCTAAAATTCAATTAACAAGTTTTTCTTTACAAAATTATATTACTTTATATTAACCGTAATTTAGTGAATCTCTTAACCAAATCTATAAAATAATTAATCAAATTAATATCTGAGAAAAATAATTATTAAGATAATCTCAAGTTCATTGGTTTATAATTAGATTAATGAGTTCTTCTTAGTATTAACAAGTCTTAAGAAAAAAATACTTTACTTAATTAATTCTAAAATAATTTCAATAAGCATATTATATTGATAATAATCTGATGATTAATATCATTGTATCAAAGTTTAATCATAATATTTTACCTTAATAATTCAAATATTTTAAATCTAAATTTTTATATGGCTGATTAATATCCTAATTGATAAAATCCATCAACGTTGTTCTATCCTATAATTATGGAATTACTACAAAGATATTCATAATAAAGTAAAAAATTTAGAAAAAAATAATTAAAATTATAATGAATTTATAGATTTGATATAAATTCGATAAACAAAATTTGGCAAAAATCTCATAGTCTTTAAGTCATTTCGACAGATCGAAGTTGAGGAGTCATAGTCAAATTTGGAGTACCCATGTCTCCATACAAACGACTTACTTTATTTTCATATATAAGGGAATCATTTTTCTTTTATTTTGCAACTTTAATCAAAGTAACTTCATCTAGTTCTGATCTACAGGCTGGGCAAATTCTATTTTTCTCCAACCAATTATCAATACATTAAATATGAAAGATATGTGTGCAATAAGTTAATCTTACATAATCTGAGTCTCTAATTTTATCAAGACAAATCAAACATTCATCTGTGGATGTCAACCCAGGATATTAAATTATTAAAGATTTATAGACTTATTTAGGTAGATATCTTTAAATTTCTGTCTTAGGATATATGGGCATAGTAGGAAGTATCTAGTGTTCTTCTTTTCTTCTTCTGAAAAAGAAGTAATAGCAAATAATGCAACAACATAGACTTATAGATACTCCAACTGTTGTTATTACAATTATCAATATACTTCTAGTATCTTAATTGATAGATTATTGAGAATTTTCACATTCGGTTTCAAAATAAAAAATATAATATGAAAATTGTTTAGGATTCAACTTTTAATTCTTTATATTTTACAAACAAGATTGGACATCAATAATTTTTATTTCTTTTTTTTCAATTACATTTTACTATAATAAATACCAATTTTCAGCATAACAAGTTTGTCTATATTTACCCACTTAATTGAATTAGATATTAAGAGAACAAGACTATTAGTTGCATTCTTTAATATTAAAATAGTAAAATGCATTCTTATGGTATTAAGATTCTACAGTTATATCAAGAGCTATGATACTGCAATCAGCTCCAAAATATCCTTCTAAACATTCACACATTCCATTTTAACATATTCCATTATTTTAACATTACCTAAATTAGTAAGATGTATTAAATACGAGGCACATTCTAATATATTCATTGTACTTATTGTTATAGAGAAATTTGAAATTTATTTTGAATAGGTTCCTATAACTTATGGATATTCATTTAATTATTTCATAGATAATAACTATTCTTAATACTTTTCTAATTTCAAACCATATACAAGCTATACAATTTAAGTATTCTTTTTTAAATCAAAAGAATTAATATCCTAAATACAATTTTCTTTCAATAAGGTGATTTCTGAATCACAAATCAAAAGTTATGTAGAATCGAAAATTTTTTATTCTAATTTTACTATAATTTTGGAGTTTGGTTCTGAGGTAGCTTGTAATGTTTATAAAATATGAATGCCAATATCTAAATTCAAAAAAGTTTAGGTTTATCCAAGACATTCAAGGAAGAGATGCAATAAAATAAACATAAATCAATTTTAATGAATAATTCAGTTGAAATCATAAGCAAGTTTAAAGGAATTAATTTTATTTATTTGTTAATAATATATATAGTTTCTATTTAGAATTCATTTATTTAATATTACAAAGAATGTTTTAATGCAACAATCTATATTTACATTTCTTGAAATAATATGTATAACTTTATAAATATATTTTACATAAAAATCAATTATATTTATTTATTCCAAGATATCATAGCCTAATATCAATATTTGATACATTATAAATAATAAATTATTCATTTCTCAATCAATTATATATACCTTAACTATTATTTTATAATTATCATAATATTCACGAAAATATATATTTTTTAGAAAAATGTTTGAATCGTTATTTTCAAATTCTTTAAATTTAAAAGTGTTCAAATATATATATTCAATGTATCTTTAATCTTTATATATTTTTACACTCCTCATAGACTATCCAATATACTTTAATGATTTAATTTTGAAGTATATATATGAATGAATTTTAAATATCTGATCTATTTTATTTTATTCTATAAATGTGATAACCAAAATTTGTAATTTTAGATTAATTTATTTAAAGAAAATGGGATGTCAAATTAACAAACCTCATATTTATTTTGAAGATAATCTTTCTTAAATGTTATAGAGACCTTAAGCAAAAGCAGAGTTTATTGAAGTAAAAGTAAGCGATCCAGGTGCACCTATTAACTCATTTTTGGTTGAATGCGATGACTGTTTTCTGGATGATGATATACGAAACAGCTAAGATTAATACAAAACCAAAAATGATTCTTCAAATCTTGAAGATAACAAAAATACTTAAAGTTCAAATTATTTTCATATCAAACCACTTAAAGGTATACTAAAAACTTAAACCAAACAGTCTAGATCTTCTTCTAGATATTTTAATGAAGAAGCTAAATTTGTGAAGTTTCAACATAACCATAATAATTTCTCATAACAAAAGATGAAGGCTGTTAGAAAAAATAAACAACCTAGAAAAAGTAGAATCACTACTCTATTCTGAAATATCTATAAATATGTGTTTTTATAATTATCAAATATATAGAAAAATTCAAAATTTATGATATAATATTTGACGTAACTTTTTTTAGCTCAATTCTTTCCAAATATTAGAACTGTCATAAAATTTCTGAATGAGTTTATATCTATAAACAATATCAATAAGCATGTCAAAATAGCACGCAATTAATAATTTATTATTTATTTAATTTTAACGAAAATTTATACCGTCATTTTAATTTCTCATCATCATTAAAATTGTTATTATTAAAATATTAAATTAAATAAGTATTTTTAATTAAAGAAGAATAAAATGAGAATTAATAAGAATTTATTATGATAAGAAGAGATTTAAATTTAGTATCAAAATCACTTTTATTCAATCGATTTTTATATAAAGAGAATGTAAATCAATTTAAAGATTATAATAATTAAATAATTTAAAAGTTATAAGTATCATTACAATAATGAATAGTTTCTTTTACGATTCTATATGGTTTTATATGTTCCCATTTTAATTTGAACTTTCTTCTTTACTTCTTCATCTATAGTTATTTAGACTGGCATTCTTTATCTTCCTGATGATGTTTGAACTCTATTAATCACATCTCTTAAAGGTAAGATTTCTGGTTCAAATGGTTGTTAATAGTCACAATTACCTAAAGGATTCATAAATAATTATACCTGATTTAAAATCAGTCATACGCTTATATCTTGCTAATCTATGATTGAATTTTTCAGCTGCAATCTTTAAAAAATCATTTAAATCTATTAATCTTTTATAATCTTCAATTTTAATAATTTAGGCAGTTTAAGATTTACAAAGAATCTAGAACTGTTAAATCAAACCATTAGTACATTCATAATCATTTATTATTTCTCCTTTACTAACTTGTCCAATATCAATATAACTCTTATTCCATTTTTTTCTTATTAGAAATTCGCTTCTTAAAAATAAAAATGATACCCATCATAAATAATGAATAGTGATTTGGAATATTCCTATTCATTCAAACAACATTAACCTAATTTATAATCTTCAATGAAAAAGTTAAGTTTAATATTTTTAGCTTCTTTAAAACAAGGTAAGTTGTGTATAAAGTCAAGTATTTTTTTTTGATAATTGATTTTGGCCTTATTTAGCATTTCAAACTATTATTCATCAACAATTCTAAATGCACAATCACTTAAACATTTGATGGTATTTTAAATTATACCTATTGGAATATAGGAAATATTTTAGGATGTTAATCCATTTTGGAGAACCATAAAGAATTTGTTTTCATCTCCATATTTAAATATGATTTAGTCCTTAGTATACAACTAAACTTTAGAAATAAAATCATATGATTGAACTATTTGAGGATCTATAAAAATATTTTTGAGTCTAATTTCATATTCGTTAAGCATTTTCTAATTATTATTGTTAAAACTTATTATTAATAAATAATCATTTTATTGTATATTCATAATAGAGAATTGATAAGTTATAATAATACATATAAGATATATTTGTGTTTTTTCAATTTCTTTATATCAATTAGATTTTTTAATTTCTATGTTATTTTATATATATATATATAAATGAAAGCTTATGAATTTGAGGTTGATAATAAAAGAAATATATAAAGAGAAGAATTATTTATATTGACAATTGTTGAAAGAGTGTTAGCAGGACACTTATAATCAATATCATTTGTAGATTAAGCTTAATTTTGTGAACTATTAACGAAAAGGTAAGCAGAAAAAAGAATGATTCAACCATTGCATATGTAGATTTTAGGAACAGTAAAAAGAAATCTAATTAAAAACTAAACACCTCTACTTGAAAAAAAAGTGCCTTATGAGATAAGGACTATAACTTCATCATCAATAGAAATGAGGAAGAACCACATTCATACATTTAGTAATAAAAATCTCAATAATAAAGAATAATAAACAACAGAAATAGATGGATAATAATAATAATAACAATAATCTAATAGAAATAGTAACTTAAAATTAGATAAAACATTTAATAGTGGTTTTGCTAAATATCACACTAATAGAAGTTAATAAATAAATGATTCATCTGCTCGTTGCATAAATCCATTTTAATTGAATAGTCCTAATAGTACATAAGCAGATAATATAAATAAAGAATTTACATCTCTAAAGTAGTCAACAATCAATGAAATTCCACTTATTCCTAAAAATGAGAAAGCTATAATCAATATTGTTAGTTAGGATGGAGAAATAGAATAATAAGAAGATTTTATAATTAATAATAATAAAAATAATATAGATGAATTGAAGAGAGTAGATAATAAAATTGATGAAAATATATAATAATTAGAATTATAAGTAAATAAAAATCATTAGCAAATAATAAGAATTGATAAATAGGATTCCAATATACAATAATCAAAATAATTATAAAATCACTCCAGAAAATAATCACAAAACTTACCAATGGGGAGTGATTCTAGCAAAATGGATTTAAAAGAGAAATTATAAAAATATTATAGTAATGATGAAGAATTTAGTACTTAAAGAAGATAAATGACTTAAAGTGATAGATTAAAAAATATAAGTTATGGTACTGATCCAAATACAAAAGATATTAAAGTAGACAATTAAATATAAATAATTTAAAGTGCTAAGTATTTAGATAATGATAAGAAATCTCATAAGATATAATAAAAATAATAAATGGTCAAATTTTCATTTATTCCTGGAGGAACATAAGAAATTGTATCATAAACAGAAAATTCTTTTAAAGATTAGATTAGTCATAAGAAAAGTTCTGAAGAAATTCATCCAACTGGAAATTTCCTTTCTCCTCCATAATCTTTTAGATCAATAATTTCTGCAAAATCTACAAAAACTAAACTTAAAACATTATAATCAAATGATTAAAAAATATATGATCAATAAAATTAATAAGAATAATAATAATATGAAAATTCAGTTTCAAAAGAAGAATCATAAATTTCATTATTAGAATAATCATTACATAATCATCATCATGAATAAAATCATCTTTTACATTCAAATACATTAAGACCAGCAACTACACATATTGAATCCAATAAATAACAAGATTATCCATTATTTTAAACTCATGATAATTTGGATTTAATGAAAAAATCTACTTAGAAACTATTGTAATAATAAACTAGTATCACTTCTATCATGCATGATGAAGAAAACTTTTAAAATAATTAAACATTTACTTAATAAATTAATATATAAGTTAATTAATGTGAACCAACTCAACCAACAAATAATATAATAATAGAAGAATCCATTGAAGGTTCTCCCAATTATAAAATTCAGAATTATCAACATACTGCTGCATCTTTCTCACTCTTAAAATTAGAAGATTAAAATTTATTACCAACTTAAACTAATATTCAATAAAAATAACCATTATCACCTAAAAATGGATACATCCCTTCAAATTCATATATTCAAACTTAAAATTTGATACCAGGTACTTAATCATAATCAAAAATGCTTATACCTATTAATAATACATAGAATAGTATTAAAAATAATAGATCAACTAATAAATCTAGATCTTAAATTAAAGATTAAATATAACAATAATAAATATTATAATAATAATAAAGATCTGAAGATAGTTAACCTGAAAGTAAATTGACTATAGAATCTTCTTAAGGAGATAAATCAAATAGATCTAGAATTGTAAAAAATTCAAAGTAATTAAAATTACCAGCAGCTGCAGTTGCCTTAAATTTTGCTAGAAGAAAATCATCTAATTAGATTTCACCAATGGATGTAAAAATTATTATTAAATTATTTTTAAGCCTAAAAAAATGGAATAATAAGAAAAAGAAAAATAAAGATAGATTGAATATTAAAAGTAAATTGAAAAAATGAAATATGAAAGAGAATTAATGGAATAATTCAAAATTCCAGATGATATGCCCTTATTATAAAAAAGAGCAATTATTGAATAATTAATGAAAGAATTAGAGGCTAATACTGATTAAGATGCTAAATATTAAATAATGTTATGTAATATAAAAATTATATTTATTTTAGATAAACAAAGATAAGAATAAATTTAAAATGCATCTAAATTTGAATTAATTTTTAATAATAATCTTTCAAATTGTTATGAAGAATTATCACATATTTCAGAATTGAAATTAAAATTATTAGGTAAAGATACAGATCCATCAAAAATTTAATTCTTAAAATTTGAAGATTAACTTTAAACTAATTTTCATGGATAATCAAAATCTTTTACATAAGATCTTGGTTCACCAATGAAAAAAAACTTAAAGTTTTTTAGTAAATTAGACCCAGTTGAAATAGAAAATTAAATGAATAGAATGAAAGAATTTAAATAAGAAACAGAAATTTTAAAATTATTTTCTTCATTCAATAATTAATATGAAAAAGAAGTATATATATTTTATATATTAAGGTGAATTAATGTGATTTAGATTATCCTACTGAAAAAGATAGATACAGTTCTATGGATTTTCAAAGAGGATTCTTACCAAAAGCTATTCATAGACGTAAAAAGACTAAAAAGAAAAGCACAAAAATAGTTATTAATACTTATAGAATGGACCCAACCAAAATAGATTAAGTTTTAGCCTAAACAGAAAAAATAAAACAAGTTGGATAATTTTTATTATGATTATATGATTTCTCTAAATATTGGATTTTTATTTTCTAAAACCAAAATAAGAATTACATAATTAAAAATCAATTTTTTTTTTAAAACATTTAGAAAAACGTTCAAAATTATTCAAAATGAATAAATCTTAATAACTTCTATTAGTATTAATTAAATTTCATTAGAAAATTGATAAGAAATTAGATTGAATCAATTTTAATGGGTTTTCTTTAAGAAACAATCATTAACTGATTTTTGCATTTTATTCTATAATAATAAAAAAGTTTATATTATTATAATAATATAAATCCTATAACTAAATGTTTTTAATTGAACTTAATATTCTATCATCTTAAAAGTTTTTTTCTAATTAATTTTTATAATAAACTATTATCTAGGAATCTTTTCAAAATTTTAGAATCCTTGAAACAAGTTTATTTTATAAATCAAAAGTATATATATTCAATAAATAAGATGAAAATGAAAGTAATGTAAATAAGGTCTCAAAAAATCAAAAATAAAATTTTAACTTTTTGTAAAACAATATTAATTTTTAGATTTTAAATTAGATACAAAAATTTTTTGATCATATTGATAGAAACAAATTACTTTTATGAAAGCTTACAAAATAAGAAATGATATTTCCATTTAGGGTTTGTAAAATTAAAATTTGATTTTTTATCATATAATATTTAATGAGAAATTCAACATTAAATAAACTATCAGAGTAGCGATAATAAGGGAAGAATTCTTCAAACCTTTCTGATTTGACAGTTTAAGAATCAAGCAATTATCGTTTAAGATTTACTCCATTAAGCTCACCATCAGCTAGACATAAAGGAACAATTTTGATGAAAAGTCATGAAACAATAATACTGAATATGTTGTCATCCACTCATAGATAAATAGATTAACCATTTAAGGCTTGTCAAGAATGCAATTAGGATTTTGGTATGGTTCACCAATATTGTCAGTGTAAAGGAATCACATATCACGAAAAGTGCATATAGGATACAGCTAGAAGGAATGCCAAGAAATAGAAGGAATAAGCATTTATTTGCAAAAATGAATGTTCCTATCCATTCTAAATTAATGGATACTATATGTATGAAATGGTGTAGAATTAGGAGAGACATTAATACTCTTGGAAAGTGGCTCATTCTTACAATAGTGATTGTCTTTCTTGTGTTACTTATTTTGGCAATAAGTATTTTCGTTTTTCTAGAGGCATTCAATAGTATTGATATCATCTTAATTGTAATTGCAATGATTGCACTTTTAATTCTGATTACTGTTTTGCTGAATAAACTCAAGCTCAATTATTATATATTATACTGGCATCTTAAACCTTCTTTAATAGATTAAAGACAAGTGACAAATCATAAAATAATTGAATTATAAGATCTCTTGCCTTTTGTTTTATCTGATAGAGACTCAATTATATATTCACCATAACCAAAAGAAGAAGATTAAATTATTGAATAATGATTTAATGAAATTCTACTAGCAACATGATCAAATATTTATTTATTTATTTTTTGTCATTATTTCATCAATTTAAGGGTTTTTTTAATAAACACTTATTTGAAATTTAAAATTATCTTTGAGACAATACAAATTGTAATTGTAAAACTATATATTGGTAGCATTAAATATATATATTTACTTTTATATAATAATAGTAAATACAATGATTTTAATTTATCTATCATAATTCAGTTTAAAAATTATAATATTTAATTTTATTCTTAGTTATTTTACTGCTCATTCAAAGTCAATCATATAAATAACATTGTATGAGTTTATTGATAAATACTATTATTTATTTATTAAAATACATTAATGGATGTAACAAATCAAACTAAAATATTGAACATTAATAATGAAAATGAAAGATAGATCTCATCAAGGAATGGGTAATAATTATCAATAATAATTAAGACATATGAATATGTCTCCACCTTATTTAGAGGCTGTTCGATCAAAACCACTTATTAAAATTGAAAAAAAAGAAAGATCACCAGTTGTATAAGAAATAAATGATCTTGATTTTGGATATATGGAAGAGCTTGAAAAAAGAAAAATGTTCATGATGATACGTTTAGGTCATATAAAAGACCCATCTAAATTAACTCCTGTTCACAATTATAATAAAATACCTGTTCTACCATTCAAAAAACAAAGAAAAACCATAACACCATCTCCTAAATAAACTCAAAATAAAATGGATTTGATAACCAATATTCCTTTACCTATGTTCAGTATGAAAATACTTGAAGATCCATATTAAATTTAAGGTCAACATAAATCAATTACATAGAAACTTGCTCAAAAACAAAAGAGATTGAATATTATTAATAAAAGAATACTAGATAAATTTCGTGATTATTGAAATATATTTCATAAAATCCTGATACCAATTGCTACCATTAAATTATTTGAAAAAATTTCATATAATATATTTAATATATTCATATGAATATTTAAAAAAAAAAGAACCAAAAGTATAGAAAAGTTGAATTATATTTAGAAACATAATCTATTATTATTCATTTTTGATAATCATTATTAGCATTGTTAAAATATAAAATTTAGCATTTTCTTAATTATGAAATAGAAAAAATGGATTTGATTAATTATAATTCTTGATATTATCCAATTTCAAAAATTAACAACATAATGATTTCATATATCAAATCATAAACTCAAATTAACCTAAAATTTGAGTTTATGTTTTATTACTAAATTATAATGTTAAGAGTTTCTACTTATTTTTGATATGATTAATTTAATAAAAATATATATAATATCAGGCATCTAAGGAAGATTTTACACTCATGATATGTCATGGGGGTCACTGCGAAGTGAAAAGTCATCATTAATTAATTCTTTTATTCTTTCTTTTTAATTTAACATAATATATAATTAAATAAATATGGGATTGTCTAGAAGTGAATTTAAATCAGATTTTTTGGAGATTTTCATAAGATTTAATTCTTATAAATGAGTACTCTTTTTAATTCTCTTATGTAATATTATCACCTATCTACTATGGGTATATATAATTTTGGAAATATCTAAAATATAATTACTACTACATATTTAAGATTATTTTTGTATTAGTAAGACTAATAAATTTAACATCATATCCAATAAGGATAGAAGATTAAGAATAGATGTTTTTAAACAAAGTTATCCAAAAATAAAATTTATTATTTTTTTAATAATTTTCTTAAAAATTTCGGTACTCATTAAATTTAGCAAGTATTTACATTTAATTAAAAATAATATTATTAATATCTATGAGAAAATATGTACTTTTGAAATATAGAAAATAACAATATAATTTATTTGATGTGCACTTATTATTTCAATGAACATTCAAATTAGATCTTGGTGGTTATTATGGCTATGCTTATTATTATTAAGGAGCCTATTGATATTAAGGATATGATGGATATTATGGATATGATGGAATAACTCTAGATGAGACAATTGGGGCAGCATATTATGGTGCATATGTCACTGGGACAGTTTAGACTGGTTAAACAACACTGAGAGGTTATTATACAACTTATTAAACAACTGGTTAAGGAACAACTTATTAAACAACTGGTTGAGGAACGACTTATTAAACAACTGGTTATTAGACAACTTATTAAACAACTGGTTATTAGACAACTTATTATACTACTGGTTAAACTTATTGCTAAAAGTGTAATGTATAATATTATACATGAACAACTTATCTTTCAACTGGATAATATTCAACTCTTTCTTAATATCTGTCAACTGGTACATACTCTAGATATTTAGTTATAGTTAATACCTGTATATTTTTCTTAGAAGACTTATGGAATATATTCGGTTTAATATTCAACTGCATAATAATCTGTGACTTTCTTTTCTCTTGGAACATATTAAACAACTTCTTATTCTTCATATTCCATAACAGCTTTTTAATAAGGAATATATTCAATTCTTGATTCTCCTTTAATTGTTGCCTTAAAATTTAGATTTGATAATACTTACATGAACTGATTATTAAACAACTGGTTGAGCAATTACTGATTATTACAAAACAGGGGCTTGAACAACTGGTTAAGCAATAACTGGTTGAGTAACAACTGGTTGAGCAACAACTGGTTGAGCAACAACTGGTTGAGCAACAACTGGAGCAACAGGTCTAGCAACACTGTATGTTAGTGGTGCAATAGGAGCAGGAGCATATTACTATGGAAGATAAGTTGGTAAAGGAGCATATTAGGGAGCATATTATGGAGCATATTATGGAGCGGATGGGTATTATTATGGTTATGGTGCTTAATCTAATAATATAGATGTTAATAATACTTTATGGGACAGGTGGTCTTTGTGACATTGATGATAAAAGATTTTTGTTAATTTTATTTATATATCCTTAACATAAATTTTATTGCTTAAATATCATTCATAAATAATTAAATAATTGTATTTACAAACTATCTAATATAAAATAATATTCGAAAACTTTAAATTAAAGTAAAAAGAATTCTAAATAATGTTTAAGCATTACGAAAGGAGAAGTTTTGATGAATTCGCATATCTGATAATAACAAAACAATTGATAAAGTATTTAAATTGAATATGTATAACTTAGTTAATAATTTCTATTTAGAATGTAAATATATAAGTTATATAATTAAAACTAATTAAATAAATCTTATAAACAATATTTTATATCTAAATTTTTGATTAATTTTAATAATATTATTTTTGAAATCATAAACTAAGTAAAAAGTAAAATTTCAATTGAAAAATAATTAATTATAATTTAATGATATTATTTACGATTCTCAAAAATACATAAATCTTGTATTTTCAAGATTATTTAAGTTCTTAATATATAATTTATATATATATAAATTAATTTATGATAGAATTCAATAAATTTTATTTGAATATATTTAATTTTTTTTCTTAAAGTTTTTATATTAAAACTTGTTTTCTAATTATAACTTTAAATAATCGTTATAAAAATCAATAATCAAAATGTTGGTATATTTTTTATTCAAAATATTTTGTAATAATAATAAAGAATTTTAAGTTTAGGTTCACTTTGAAATTTAATGTGATACTATAATATTAATATTAGTAAGAATATGAATAGATTAATATATAATATACTCTTAAATAAATAATAAGTGGATAATGTAGATTCAAAAATAAATAAATATATGTTTTAGAAGCTTGAATTGTCTCAATGTTAAGATAGGTTGTAGGTTATGGTGACTTTTTTGAATTGCTAAGCAATTCTTATAATTCACTATCCTCACCTATTGATCATTATAAACCATTATTAATATGAAACAATCAGATAATTTTTCTTTCTAAATATTTATCAAAATTCTAGAGTATATGAAGATTTTCATTTATGATCTGCCTAACGAATCCCATCAAGATGTCATACCTAATAAATACTTATTTGCGATGTGGATTTGGTAAGTATGATCTCCTAGCTTGATTAGTTTTTCGAAGTGTAATCCTAAATGGTTTATATCCATCAGAGATCTCTGATTCATCTTAAAAAAGAGACTTTTTCTTTCTAAATGAATTTTCCAGTTTAGAAGGCTCTTCAAAATTTGAGTTCATGTTATTCATCACTTTCTCTTTAGTAACTCGAGTAAATACTTACATTTAATCGGTCTCAATGAATCCCACATCTGGTTCTAAGTAACGTTCATTTCCAATTCCTCCGAATACTGCAATTTTAGAACTGAGCATGACTGAAGAATGGGCACATCGTGGAATTCTTTATCCCTCTGCAATAACTTCTTGCCAAAGACTTAGATGAGGATAAAATATATAATATTGATCTGATTCCAAGGTTCCATTTAAAATAAAGTCTCGAAGTCCTCCAATAACTGCTATGCCCTAAACCTTTCTTAGATACTCAATAGTATGATTATGCATTGGAGGAGGAGCTTTACCTGTACATTCAACAATATCCCAAGAAAGTGGAATATTGTTGAATGAACAGTAAGTCAACTTTCTTATTGTGTTGACAGAATTACCATCAGAATCCTTACCTCCAAAAGAATATATTAGATCTTAAGGCATTATATCATTTTATATCATCTCCTAGAATTTACCTTAAGATGATATATTAACTATAGCATGACAACATATTGGAGGTGATTTGACTTTATAGATTTTCCAATATTATTTTTCGATATTCAATATACAAGTGTCAGATAACACTTCTTCATTTGAATTAATGCCACCTTAGATCAACATCCATTTAGATCCTATCAAACAAGCTCTATGTTATCTTCTTGGTTCTACATAATCCCCTTGAGGATGTAATTTTTCCCAAGATAAATTACTCACTGTAAACTCCAAAACCTAATTTGAACATTCTCTAATCTTCAATTTAGGATTGAATTATCCACACCCTCCAAAATAAACAAATTTGTTCTTGTATTAGATAACAGAGAGACCTGCTCTTCCTTGTTTAGGTTGTTCTCCATTTCCTTATACTACTTACCAAATTTAGAATTCTAAAATAAATATTTAGATACTTATATCATATTTGAGCATTTGATTTCTAACTCCATCTCCTCCTATACCTCCATATAAATATAGTTAATCATTCAACAATGTAAATGCAGCCTATTCTGTAAACGAAGGTTTAAAAGTCTTTATGTCTCGTATGACACGTTAAGATTCAAAATAGAAACTCAATTATGCAGGACTATCAATACTATTCTCTAATGGTGTATCTAATTAAGGCATTTGAAAGACTATTTAAATTGACTATTTCTATACCTTTTTATTATGGTTTTAATTCCACTGCTTTCTTATGGTTTTAATCTCTTCTTTTTAACTTTTAATAATTTCTATTTCGACTTTTTTGAGTCAGAGAAAGAGCTTCAGACATTGCTATTTCAAATCTTTCTCGACTTTAATTTATTATTGTTTCCCTTTGTTTTTTATTGTAAGATAGTGATGCTTATAATCGTTCCTTTGGGGATGGAATCCTTGCCACTTAATTAGTTATTGCAGCTCTTATTTAATTATTTATCTAATATACTTTTATTGCATTTCAGAGAAAGTCTTGAAAAAAGTACTTTAACTTAAAGAAACATTCTTTTCAAAATGTATTAGTTCAATATTTACTGTACCCATTGATGATGATCGCCTTATTTATTATATTTGAGGCTAAATTTTCAATTTTTACATAAAGTGAAATAATTTTTATTGATAATTAATGTTCTGTAATTCACCAATGGTTCAAAAATCTTATTAAAGCAGCTCTTTATCCTATTAATAATAAATGGATGATATGAGTTGCATAATTGATAATGGATAAACAGGATCAATTTATTTGGGAAATATTGAATCTGCTTGTATGGATAAGATTGATACATAATATTAGCTAGTCTGGAGAATTTAAGAAGACATAAAATCAATGGTGTTTTATCAATCTGCATGAATAAGATACCATTTGATGTATAAACATAACTTAAAAATTATCAACATATATACTTAGAGGATTGTGAATCTGAAAATATCACTAGACATTTTGATAATAGCAATCAATTCATTGAAAGAGCTAGATAGAATGGAAATGTATTAATACATTGCATGGCTGGTATTTCTAGATCAGCTACACTTGTTGCAGCATATTTAATGAAAAAAAGTAATATGAATGCTTAAGATGCCTTAAAACTATTAGAATAAAAAAGATGGTAAGTATATCCTAATAATGGATTCTTAAGATAATTACAATAATATGAACGTGTATTATAATAATAAAAAAGTAAAAGTGAAATAAGAGACTCATCACCTTTAAAAGAATCTTTATTAAAAAGGTAAAAATCTATGTTAATTAAATAGTAAATAATTTTAGACTCCAATTAAAGAAATTTCATTCATTAATAAATATGAAGAATAACAATAATATTCTGGAATTAAAACACGACCTTTGGATGATATTAATTATGAGAATTACAAACGTAAATCTTTAGGTATCTAACTCTATTGTAGTCCAGAATCATCATAAAAAATCTAGTTTTCACTTACTAATCATAAACTTAATTCTGCAATTAAGACTTCTCCAGATTTTATTAGAAAGTAGAACTATTTATAAGATACAAGTAATATTTTTAAATTATATTATATATAGTTCATGGAAACAAAAAAGATGGATTAGCTTCTTTAGCATTAGAATTAAATTCTTTAGATTGGTAAAATAGAAAATAAGGATTTGAATAGAAGTTTCCAAAATAACAAACTTAAAATAAAAACAAGATATTTATATCTTAGAATAAACCATTGTAATTTAATTAACATTAAAATAAACTTGATGAATTATTAAATGCTTTTAACAGAAAGCCAATACTTTGAGTATTATGATTTAAGTATTTATCATTGTTCATAATGTTCTGATTAATGTTTTATAATTCTATTTAAAAGTACAATTTTGCTAAATTTATCAGCTTCACATAATCTTAATTAAGCATCCTTCTATTATTGAATAATCCTTTCCAATCTTCTACTCTATATCATTTAAACTGTTTTATTTTAATCCCTCAAATCATCCCCTCTTGTTATTTCATGTTGTGAATGAACCGAAAAGATCTTTTAGAATTAAGGCTTCATTTTCACTTCATTATCTTCATGTATTTATTGTAATGCTTAAGTTGCTGTTGGTCTGAATTCTGGTACTTTATTCAACAATTTAAAAATTAGAGTCTACAATCTTTTTGAGTATTTACAATTAATTGGCTTTGGAGATTTATTTACTATATTATATCCTAAAGAAATTAGATTGCTTCCTTTAAAAGGAGGATCTCCTTGGCAAATGAAATAAAGAACACAACCCAATGCCCATATGTCAATCTTACTATCATAGGGTCGATTTCGAATTAGTTCAGGTGCCAAATATAGAGGAGTTCCAACTTTTGTTGTTTAAAGTTATTGTGTAGATATCAAACTTTTAGACACTCCCAAATCACTAATCTTTAATACGTTACCTTTCATTAAAATATTATTAGGTTTGATATCTCTATGCATTATTTTTTATGAATGTAAGTACTCTAAACCTTCTAACAATTATATGGTCCACTACCATATCTAGTTCTCAGATGGAGATGGATTTCTACATATATAATTATAGAGATCATTCTCACAATATTCCATAAAGATATTCAACTTATCTTTTCTTAATTAAGAATTATAGTAAGACACTATATATGGATGATTTAATGTATGCATTATTTGAGCTTCTCTATAAGCTTCATTCTATTATTTTAGTGAAAGATTCTTTAAAGAGATTTCCTTTAGCACTTATATTTGAGATGATATTTTCACTTTATAAATTACTCCGTAACTACCTTTTCCTATTTAATCAATGATTTCGTAATCCATTTTATTTATTTAAATTAAACTCTTTATAAAACTTAATTTATGTACAAAGGAAAGTGTGGCAATTTATTCATATATGATTTCAAAGCTAATTAGTTGTATATGGATCATACTCCTGAAGGATTTTCATCAATATATACAAATATATTACAACTTCTATACATTATTATTTTAAAATTAAGTTTGATGAAATTTCTGAAAATTATGTAAGTTTATATATATCAAATGAAGAAATTCATAATGAATAATTCTATGATTTTAAAATTGCAATACTTTAATCAAAACTAAGTTAAAGTTTGAAATGAATATTGATTAATTATAAATAATATAGTTTGATTACCATAACTAAATAATTGTAGAGTATTAGAGAGAGGGAATGATATACAAAACTATTATTCAAAAAATAGATGTGACAGATGTCTCTTAATGTTAACACTAAAATAAAAATTTATTTTAGATTAAATGTCTCATATTAATAGCGTTTTTGCTTATGATTTTAGAACTTATTGAAAATTAATATCTAATATTTTCTGATTAATTTATTTTTATGATCAAGTATAATTGTGAATTAACAGAAATTGCAATTTTAAATTCCATATATTATATGCTATGGAATTTAAAGTAATCAAATCATTTTTGCAAGATTAAATAATAATCTATCAAATAGTTATTTCTTCAATTATTTAACTATTGTAATCAAATCCTGAATCTTTACTGAAGTACATATTTTGGGTATTTGATATAAAGTAAGAACATTTGTGAAGTGTATAGAGAGGGTTAGATTGTTATTCAAGTAAAAATTATAAAATTGACTTGTTAAATTTGAAAAAAATTCATAGAATGTAAGGAAAATCTCATTCAATGAATTAAAATTAATGTGTATATTAATAATTAAAAAATGGATCGTTTAATCATCTTACTAGCTATTCTTTTGATGGTAGGAAACAATTATGCCTTTGATATTCCTCAAGCTCTTGAGGTTCCAATAGAAGAAGAGTTTCAATTGACATAAACCTAATTCAATTTACTATACAGCGTTTTTGCAATTCCGAATATAGGTTTAAGTATTGGAGGAGGTATAATGATAGACAATATGGGTGGTCGTTGGGGAGTAAAAACATATTTTATAATTTAGGTATTTACATTTAGTTTATTATTGGGACTTTCATAATTGTTTATATTTTTTGGAGGATGCTATCATAATTATTGTATGATGCTTTGTGGTAGAGCTATATTTGGTATTGCAAGCGATATTTTACACATTGCTGTGTTTAAAATGGTAGCGTAGCGAATGCCTAAAGATATGGGTACTGCAATGGGATTAATACTTACAGTCCCAGAATTAGCAGCAGCCCTTAATTCATTTTTATCACCTTATTTATTTGAAAAGACTAATTCATTAAAAATACCCTTGTTATTTGGATTATTCTTATGTTTTTTAGTATAATTTAAAATAATTTGAATAGTCCTTTCTTTCAGGATTGATGATGATTTATGTAGATATGAAATATGAGAAAGTAGAGAGTGTAAAATAAACCGAATAAATTTCAGTTTTTAATTGTAATAATAGTAATCTAATAATTTAGTTAAGCTTACTAAACCTTTTGTAATAATGAGCATAATAACAACATTAATGTTAGCTTCATATGTTCCATTTCTTGATAATGCTAATAAATTTTATCATGAACGCTTTGGATTTAGTATAATGGATGCTGGATAAATAGTTACTGTGGGTTATGTAGTTGCAGGTAGAGTATAATTTATAATATGATTATTATTAGCAATTACATCACCAATAGTAGGTAGAATTTCAGATAAATTTACACATTATAGACCTTTTTTTATTGTAGTGTCAACAATAATGTTTTTTATTTCCCATTTGCAATTTTATTATATGCCATTGACGACATCTCCTAATTATTATTCAGTTTTTGCGTAAAATGTTAATAAAATTCTAGTTTAATTACATTGGGATTATCATATTCATGTTTTTCAAGTGTTTTAATGCCTGCCTTACAATCTACAGTTCCTGAAGATATGCTTGGTACTTTATGAATACAAATGAAATTAGCAACTGCTTTGGGTTTATTGGGGATAATAGAGAATTTCTGTATGGCTGTTGTTCCAATGATATCTGGTTTTGTATATGCAATAGGTGGTGGTATAGATCCAATGAAAAATGTGGACATAATTTATTTGTTCTTGGCAGGTATTGGAGTTGTACTTTCTATTCATTTATTGATGGAGAATATCTTATAACCAGCTAAGGCACATGCAAAATTACCCAATGCTCTGGATATTTGAAAAAAAAATAAAATTAAAAAATGATTATTTTAATTTATTGGTACTTTTTTTTTCTAAATTTCAATATTTCTTTTTCTTTTTTATAGACATTTATTTTTACAAATTTATAGATTAATATATAATCACTATTTTTTTTAATATTTCTTAGCTTTTTCCTCTTCTTTTTTTCTTTCTTCTTCATCTCTCTTTTTCTATTTTTCTCTTCTAACACGTTCTTTGTAAGTATATTCTTCATTATTTTTTCTTTGCCAATCTTCAGAATGCCAAACAGGTTTAGTATAAAATGATTTTGGTTTATATGGCTTAGCAGGTTTGACTTTAACTATTTTACCAAATAACTCTCCTTCATCATAATTATCAATAGCAGCTTCAGCATCTTCAATATCTTCATATTCTATAAATGCAAATCCTCTATTCTTTTCTTCATTATTGATAATTTATACAAGTTTCACTATCTATAGGTAAATCTACAGATTTAATTTCACCAAATGTTATAAATAAGTGTTTGATTTATTCTACAGTAATATCTTCAGGGATTCCCCCAAGATAAACAGTATTGGCTAATTCTTCTGACATTTAATATTAATAATATATGTTATTTAATACACATTCAAAAAAAAGACAAATACATTAAGTGTTATAACAAACATCATAAACAACTTCTTACTCTAGCTATTGATTTTAAGAAGATATCTTCATCATTTATGTAATCAAGTTAATTTAAAGTTGTTACTAAATTGAAATGTTTTTCTAATGCTATTAAGTTATCATCATTTAATTCAGATGCTAAATTAAATGATATTAAAATACTTATTTTATGTAATAATTCCTTTATTATTTCAATGCAACATTCTCTTGTTTTAATTGATTTATCTTTATGACATTATTCAAGCACTTCAATTATTTAGAGAATTAAAACTTAATTCATTATTTTAATTTGTTTTTATTTACTTATATCAAAAATACATTGTATATTATAATATGTTAGATTTTGCAATAGATTTTTTAGTTATATATATACTTATTTATATTAAAAATGGAAAACAATAATGATGTTCCATCTATCCTAAAATCTAATTTACAAACCAATCGTAGATCCCTAAAAATTTCAGTAGTACATCCAACTGATGAATCACTTACTAATGTATAAGATGAGGAGAGGTTTTTATATGAGAAGCGCTAATGGGAAATCAGCATTCAATCAGTTTCCATAGAAAACATTTAAAAAGAATAAATGGAAAAGTATAAAGGGGAATGGAACTGGGGTGCCTTTATAGAGTTTTTCTTATATCATTAGGTAATCTTTTAATTTTGGAATTTAGATTTTCTTCACATTATTAGGACCATTTATGGTGATATTGTTTAGTATATGGCCAGGTTTAACATTAATGAAAAATATGAAATTTTATGGAAATTCTATGGCCTTTTATATGTAAACTCTTTTATGGTTTGGATCAGTATTAGGAGGTCTTGGTTATTTTTTATGGGATGAAAGTTTAATAACACTAACTGAAATATTATTCCTTTGGTATGCATTAACAATTCGAAGTGTTGTAATAGCAGCTAAATATGCTACTTTTAGTAGGAGCGTAATACATTTGTATAAGAGTACTCTACTACCAGAGGAAGTATTTTAATTTGATTTGATGATGGGAGAATGGAGAGAATAATCTCCTAAAATTCTATTTTTGGAACCTTATCGTTCTCTGTAACGTTACTAATTTGAAATTTCTTTATTTAAAATGGATTTTATAGTATAGCCACATTAAGAAACAAAAGTAGCTATTGCGAAAGTTGATATCAATTTTTTTAGAGATACAGGTATATCTTTAGATGATGATGAATATTCTGGTTTTAAATTATTTGGCTACTTAGTACATCATTATTAAATGAAAAACTCACCTAACACTCATATGTATTTATGTGTTTTCGAAGCATTTATTCTTTCGACAACTCCAATGTGGTTGAGAATAAGTGATTTACTTGATTCAGTAGAAGCATTAGATATGTTTAGAATGGGTATAGATATATTTATATATAATTTAAGTGTTGAACATTGTCTCATCTTTTATTGGATTTTGGGGTAGCAACATTTTCTTTCATTAAGCCTTTTATGATTTTAATAGGAAATTCTTTTTACTTGAATAATTATTACTTATAATAAAAGTTAGACCAGATCAAGTTGAATAACTTAAATTATTACCAACACTTAACTTTAATAATATTACTACATGGCAAGCATGGTCAATGATGAGAGCAATTTCATTTGATTATGGTCAAACTTACAATCTCAGAACATAAGGCTTTTATTCTCTCTGTTTCTTAGGATTTATTGTTTTGATATTCCTATCATTATTGATAATTTTAGATTTTGTCCATCTCGACCTATTTCAACTCATCCTATTAGGTGAATTAGCAATCATGATTTTAGGTTTTACTGCCTACTATCTCTACTTAGGTGCTAAATTAAATACATATTTGGATTAATGTGAAGTAGCTCTCTAAGATGTTAAATCTATATATTAAGATCTTTTACGAATGAAGGATGTCTACTTTGAATAAAACAAAGAACCTTAAAATTATATACATAAGAAATTCAAATAACTTTTACAAAATGAAAGTCAAGTTGAGGAAGTCATTAAATCTATCATACAAGAATTAGATGATAATATTAGAATAATACAATATGATTCTAGAAATAACCCATTTAAACTTTATGGGATTAAAATTACTTTTAATTTACTCAAAAGTGCTGCAGTTGGACTCAGTACTATTTATAGTTATTCACTTTAGTAAAGATTTATGAATATTAAATGATTTTCCAATATAGAATTTTTATAAATCATAAATTTTAATAAATTCTTTTACATTATCATTAGATTAAATATAATAAGTTAAATAAATCTTTATATATTCATAAAGAAGTTCCTAAAATAGGACCAACTATAACCAATATTAAAACTAGTCCAATCATAATAATACAACACATTTTCTATGATCAAAATATTTATATATATACTTTTCTAGCAGCTTAATGATCTTTTTTAGCTTTAATTAATTGTGCCTCTCCTTTTTTAACGTAATCCTTTGCTTTTACCATGTTTTATTCAATATTATCAATCAATTCTCCTTAATTCTTAACCAATACTGCCATATCTACAAAAAGTTAATACACTTATTGAACACTCTTAAAAAAAGTAAATATTTAATTTTACTCTCTCTAATTTAACTATATCTTGATATTTTTCTTGAATATCTTGAACAGCGTTCTATAATTGTATCGACGCTTATCCATAGATTTTCTTTTGTAATAGTTCTTGCATTTTCTACATCAAATAAATCATACATTTGGATCTTCACATAATTCATCAATTTAATTCTCATTTAGATTTGAATCCAAACAGCCTGCTTGTCTTTTAATCTTATTTCTCATACTGTTTTGGAAATCTAATTGAGCTTTTTGACTCTCTTACAATACTCCCTAAACTTTCAGATTAACTGCAGCCCAAATATCCATTTTCATTCTTGTTTCAGGTTCATCTGGTTCTTTTTCTTTAGCCTCTTCAACATCCTAAGCTATCTATTCCATTAATTTTTTCAATTTCTCTTATTATTAATTATTTTATTGCATTATTCTATCCAATTTCATACTTACATCTATAAGATAATTTAATTTATATATATAACAACCTTTTTCTGCATCTGATCTAGTTGCACTAGTATATCCCTTTTTTAGTTCTTCAATTTTGGTAATATTAGATCTAATAATCTCTAAAATTCTTTGAACTCCATCAACATTCACTTTAAATAAAGGCATTAATTCATCATTATCATTAATCACTATATGTTAGTCATCACTTTGTGCATCATTCTCCATTTGTTTTTGAATAGTTATTTATGAACTTAAAAATTTACAATATTATATACCCAGCCCCTTTAATCTCAAATAAGCAATCTTCCATTTAATAATAAAAATAATTATATTTTTCATTAATATTCAAAATTAAATATATAGATAATTCTTAACAATACTGAGTTTTTATATTTTAAAATTACTATTTATTATTAAATGAAGAACTATTAATCTCTAAATAAAGACATTCTAACAATATATTAAAATTTATATAAATTTAGTTAATTTGAAAAATGAACGAGATTTTACTTAATTCTTAATCATCCAATTTTTTAAGTGAAGAAGTTATCAACAAAGCAGCAAAAGATCCTGAAACAAGAAATAATATCATTAAATTTGAATAGTAATCAAAATTTGTATAAATTAGTAAATTGCTATCAGTATATGCACATAAATTTTCTATCATTTTATTACCAAAAACTGAATAAATTACAGGTAAATGTTTAGATAATAAAAATAGAATGGCATGGAATGATTAGTATTTCATATGGATTATATGCTAAAGGAAAATTTAAATTTGTATTAAATTTCCCTAAAACATTTCCAGAATCTATTCCTAAAATAAGATTTCTTTGTCCACTCTTTCATCCTTTAATTGATGAATATAATAATGTAGATGTTGATACACTTATACCAAAATGGAAATATGGGTAAGATTGCATGGTATATAATTTATTAAATAAACTATATGAAATGTTTATTGATGTAAGTTATTATGATTGTGTCACTTCTTTTAATCCTAGAGCTGCTCAATTATTTTCAAATGATATAAATTCATATGCAGAAGAGGTTAAAAAACAAGTTGCCTTATCAGAATAATAGCTCTATGATAATAGAGATGATTTTGTTCTTAAAGTAAATTATATTATAAATTCAATAGTTAAAAGAACCAACTTATAATACACAAACAATTCTATAAAAATTACAAGACATTAATTCTTCAAAAAATTTAACATTTGAATAAAAGAAAAAGGATCTACTAAATTTCATACTTTAATAAAGTAAGGAAAACAAAATATAATAATGAAAAATACAACTTTGTTTTCTTATTATACATAATTATTATTCTTCCTATTACAATTCATTTATTATAATTCAATTAAATACTTCATTTAAGCTTCCTATTATATTTCTAATTTAATTGTAATATCATTACACTGATAATATATATAATACTAATATTCATTAAGTGTTAAAAATATTTTAAATAATAATGGGATTAAAAATCTATATAAAAACTTAATTTATCATTATCCATAACAACAAGGTTTCAAATTCTTTTTTTTATTTGATCAATATTATATATAATTGTTTGTCGATCTTAATTCTCTCAATCAGCAACTTTCAATATAAAATTTATTATTTATATATGTAATTTCAATTGACTGCTGCATTTAAGGAATTGCTATAAGGAGATAATAAAATTCCGAAAAGCAACTTGATACGTTAAGCTAAAATGTTGGCTCATAAACCATCTCTGGAACCTAAAATAAATTAAACTCATCGTAGTGTAGAAGAACCTGTATAAAATAAATAGAGAAGTGGAGTTGCTTTTCCAATACTGATTTAAAAAAAGCAGCAATTTATGCTAGATTGTGAAAAGACTAAGGATATTCTCAAGAACTTTAATATTAAACTTATTCGATAAAGAGTATGTTAAAATGAAAAAATCCATAGAAAACTATCTTAGCATAATATCCAAAATACTCAATAATTAAATCTAACTTTTGGGCAAAATTTTCGCATAAGAACAAGACCACTTCTCTCTAGATAAGATAACAGTGCAGATCTCAGAGACTCTCATTCAGCTAGTAGAGTAATGTCTCACTCATAACAAAGATTAGTAAATAAACTATTTTAATGAATTATTATGAATGTTATCATATCTATCTTTATCAAAAACTATATACTTTATGTTTTTAATATTAATTAAGCATCATAGATTAATCAATATCATATATAAATTCAATTACTAAATTAAATATACTATGTTTTAACTAATGGTTAAGTTAGTATTATTCAAAATATAATATGATTAGATAAGTGATTTCATTTGATTATCTATTTTTTTACTTAAAATTAAGCCTAAATTACTATAAATATTATTGAATAAAAAATATTTAACTTAATTATAAATAGGATAATAGAAATATGTAGATTTTTAAGATATACTTAAATTATAATAAATATATATTGATAATTTATATGATTTTTTATTTAGAAAAAAAATATATATATATTTAAATTATAATCTAATCAAATGAATATCAATCAAGTTAAATTTCCTTTCCAATTAGAACTAATCTTTTATTTTTATATTTCTATTTGGCAATAGCTAAGTATTCTTCATATTTTTAGTCAATTTTATCAAAATCAAATTATTGATCTGGTATTTATCCAATTTGTATTTAAGGATTATCAATTTATATATCTTAAAGAGTACATAAAGGAGCAATTGGATATTAAGTTCCTTTTTTTAAATTGTAATTTTACCATCTTATTTATAAATGTTTTCAAATGGAAGAAACCAAAAATATGAGTAATTAAAAAACCAAGCTATATTAGATAGTTTTCCTCTATCAAACAAATTAATGTTCTTTGGAGGTTTGTCATTTTGAAAACAACAAGTTCCATTTGAACCACTTTTCATTTATTCTAATGTTGTCTAATTATTTAGAATTAATGATGTATGATAAAAAAATAAGAAACATAACATAGCACATGTTGGATATAACACTAAACTTGTTAAACACCAATAAATATAAAAGAAGGTTGATTGATGAGAAAAGAAACCTTGGTTACTTCGAAACAAAAATCTAAAATAAACCCAAGATGCATAGCTATATTACATTGCACCTATCTATATATATATATTTATAAATACAGTCATATACATTGTAAATAGATAAAAAGATCTATGATTTCTTAAACCAACACAATTATGTATCCAAGGACAATGATGATCCATTTTTAATATGCATTTGCCACAAAGTGAACAATGATGTGTTCGTATTGGTTTCCATTTGTTACATTCAAGACAAGAATTAGTATTTTTATATATAGGATCAATTCTTCTATTATCTTATAATGGAGTAGCCTTTTCTATTGTATAATTTTTAATTGTAATTGATTAGTAATATGACCACATAGCCATTCCATAAAAAAAGAAAACTAAAAATCCATTTATTAATTCAGTTGTAGGATCCATTTTCAAATCGAAATACTAATCTTTACAATATTAATACAAACTATTCTAAAATTACACAATTTGTTGGCATTAATATAGTAAAAAATATGATAAAAGGTCCAGCTTAATGTTTAAATTATGCTCTCTTTTTCCTTCTATGATTATGATCACTAGAATGAATCATTTATTCAATAAATATATATTAATTAATTTAAAATAAAACAAAAAGTACATGTCTTAGAATTCTAGTAAGAATATTACTAAGGATTCCATAAATGATTAAGATGATTGTGAAGATATAAATGAATGTTTCATTCGTAATCTTGACATTCTTCTTATCTTGATATTAAGTTATATTGGAATATTAGTTTTGATTTTCATATATAGTTTGTACAAAGGTTGGAAAGTAAAAAGAATGAAAAAAAATATAGTATTACAAAGCTTTTAATATAATAATAAAAGAAAGAAATATGATACTAATTGAATTTATATATCTTTAAATTATTCTCTATCAACTTAAGTCATTCATCTAAGTTTTATTTATTTTTAATAAATAATATAAGTTTTGTTAAATATTTTTGATGAAGTTATAATTACATTTTATGATTAAAGTAAAAATTTTAATTTTATTTTCATATCATACTTATAAATATACTATTATATATCTTATAATAAAAGTATATTTATTGATTATTTTAAATATAATTAGAGCTATTTTTAATAATATATGAATAACAATTTAAATATTCCAAAAACAACAAGACAAAGATTCATAATCTAATATATTATTATTTGATTTCTAATACTTATAAATAAGTGGATACTTTTATGAAAATAAAGAAAATTAAAAGTATTTCATTTTTAGGTATTTAAAAAACAGAAATTAACAAAAAATTGAAATTTTGATTGAAAAAGCTAGAATTAAAAAAGTTTAGCTAATGAAAAAATTTGATTACAAATAATCCATAATAGATTATTTTATTACTATTTTTATAATAGTATGAATGAGTGAACTAATTAATAATAAAAATAAAGAGTTTTATTCTACTCTTTTACCTATCTAATAGAACACTTAGAGTTAACTAATTTTTGATTTAATATAAAATGAAATTATGAAAATTATAATATGATTTTTGTTTCATTCTTTTGAATAAATTGAATCAAAAATATATATAATTGATTTTAATTAATGTTATATATATAGTAATTATAATTAGAGTAAAGATATATCATTTATTATTTACCTATCTCTTTACAATAATTTCAAAATTCTTCACACTCTGAGTTTAAGCAAAAGGATTCATCGATTAAACTTTATCTTATTACTGGGAATATATTATCTAAAATTATTTAATTTAATACTTGAAGCAGCTGTCGACGAAAGTGTATACATTGATTAATTTAAGTTTAATTCATTGTGATCATCAATCTCTAAATCTATGAAATTGACCACCATTGATTTTAAATCAGGTAATAAAACATAATCTGATTATGAGGAAATTTCAACTTGAGGTGCTTCTTCATTAAGTTAAATTATTTATCCAATATTCTTTTCAAAGTACATCTTCATGTTTGTAACTATCGTAAAATCTTTCTTTAGATTATTGTTTAAATTGTTCATTTATGCAAAATCTTAAATCTTTGTTATAATTATTAAAATCAAAAGCTCCCACATGAGGTTTACAACCTGAAATAACTGAAATTTAGTTAGAAATAAAAACTATAAATAAGATAATAAAAGCAAAAGTATATAAAGTTATTTGAAAAAATGAGACTCAAATTTATTATATTAATGATGAAAAGATGAAGACAATTATTTTTGTGTAAGGCTATTTTTAGATTTTGAATAATAAAAGAATTATACATTATAATTATATTAAAACAAAGATTAATCAATAATATTAATGATAATAATGTTAATTATTTCTATTAAATATAGATGTTTATCTATTATGAATTTGAATGAAGAATATATTATATATATATTATCTATTAATCATAGTTAAAGTATGAAATTAAGAAAATTTATATCCTACTATTTTTAGAATTAAACATTAACATATGTTAAGGTTTCTATTTTTTATTCAAAAAAAAAATGGTTAAATTTCCTTTATTTTATCTTTATTACCAATTATTCCTCTTTTTTCCATTAATTATATTTTATTAAAAATATATCAAAAAATTAATTGTTATTACAAAATTATTTTTTATCAAACTTATGGTAAATATAATTAACATTGAAATCTTCTTATAAATTGAAAGTAATAAACTGAAATTTTGTAATAATTCAGTTTATGGATATCATAAGCTAATAGAAAATACCAATATAAGTTTATAAAATAAATAATCCAATCAATTATTTAATTTTGATGGTTGAATTTATTATTATCTTAGTTATTTTTATCTAGATAATTGAACAAAATTTTCATAATCTATATAATATTAATTCTGTAAATAAAAAAGTTTTTAAAAATAAATTTCAACTATACACCTAATTTAAAAGTTCTTACTAATATATTTAATTTATAATCGAAATTTCGGCTACTTTACAAACCATCATTTAATTAATTATGTATTTATATTTATTTATCACTTGAAGGTAACAAATTAAAGTAAATTATATTCAATGATAAAGTAATCTAACTTAAATGCTATAATCAAATAATCTTACTTTATATTTAATTATTAGATTATATTATACATTAACTTAGATTATAAAGACCATAATAATCTTTTTGGTTTATATTACAAAAAAGAAAAGCTTATGGAATTAAATACTTTTCATTTTGTGTTACTTTTGAGATCTATTGATTAAATAGAACTTTAATAATAGCTCTACTCTATTTTAAATGACAATTTAAATTGCTAATTGTAAATTCATACACTATAATAAATATATAAAAAATAAAATAATATTCAATATTTTTTTCGTTAAATAAATATTTTTTTAAAATGGCTACTCAAAAATAAGAAAATAGATTATTCAATCTTACCCCTAATAAGTCTTAGTAGATTCAGCAATCAACATTTTTTTAGAAAGGTTTTGTTAGTTCTAATAATTGTCCATAAAAAATAGCTCCTAATTATTAATTTACTTATGAAAGCATGCCTAAGGTGAATTGTCATTATCATGTTGATTAATATATAACTATGTTTTGTAGATGTCAAACTTGTTAAATGCCCTTATGTCCATAAGTATAGAATAATTTAATAAATTAGTGCGTTAAGATTCATTCATAAGAACATCAAGCATATAATACATATGGAGATTTTGATACTCTTGAGAATTGTTTGACAGAAGTATATTAATCTGTAGCTGGCAATTGTAATAGATTTGTAGATGAAATGGGATAATTGAATAAGGTAACAGCATTAAATGAAGGGGTTAATTATTATATGGATAAGGTGAAATAAGCAAGATAATAATGTTATTAAGTAATTGATAATTTCTTCAATACTTTGGAAGCAGAATTAGCCTAAGAAATAGAGGGAAATAGAGGATTTATGACTAATCAATCTTAAAACTTTAGTAAATACTTATAATAAAGATGGAAGACATTAATGAGTTTATTGGAAAAGTTGAATACAGATAGATGTGTAAAGACACTTGTAAAATATTATACATCTAATCTTCATTAAGAAAATGAGGAATACTATCATGAATCTAATTAATTTATGAAATAGTTCAACAAATGTGTTCCTGAAATCATAATAGATTAAAGTGCATTGTATGAATTAAATATTGATTTGGCCAAATTTGTTTCTTTGAAAAAAGTACCAGTTATGAAATAAGCATCAAGAGCCTATCCTTAGTATCCTCCCAATGAACCAATGTAGCCAATGTATAATTAATTTATATAACCTCAACAACATTAAACTTTGATGCCTTTGACCAATACTGAACCACCTATTGAACCTCCAAAATAATATCCAGTTAAATAAGGATCATTTAGATAGGAACAAAGTCGTCCTGTTTAATAAGATAATACCCAAATTCATCCGTATTTATTAACTCCTCCAAAAACAAGTAATTTTTATTAATGATGAATATATTTATATTATATTAGATATGTTTAACAATAAATAATATAAAATATAATGTTTCACAATTGCTTGGCAGAATCAACTAATAATTATTTAAGTTGATTCACATAGGTACTATTTAATAAAGCTACATCAACAATGACTGCACTTACTAAATATGGATCTATGTTAGCAGCTGGTCTTCTGTCTTCCAAATAACTAAAAATATATAGGATTATCATTAATACCCAGCTCCTAATTCTTTTGTAATTACAGGTACTCTGATGGATCCTCCTCTTGAACCATCTCCCCATGAAAAAGTAGTATATGAACTTGTTTCATGATTACCTGTCAATCTCTATTCATTATTGGCTCCATATAACTTTAACACTTCTTAATGTGTGTTTTGTAATAATGGAATCAATTCATTAACTATATATTGATATCCTCCAGGTCCTCTAGTTTTAACATCTGAATAATTTGTATGAGCACCTGATCCATTCCAATCTCCCAAAATTGGTTTTGGATCATAGTTTATATCGATACCAAATTCCTCTCCTAATCTCTCTAATATGTATCTGGCTAACCATAGATGATCTCCAATTTCAATTCCTTCAGCAATACCAATTTAGAATTCCCATTGAGATGGTGCAACCTCAGCATTGATACCAGCTATCTTCAGACCAGCATTTAAACAAGCTCTTAGATGTGCTTCTGCTAAAGCTCTTCCAAAATTGTTTCTTTCTCCTATTGAACAATAATATCTTCCTTAAGGATAAGGAAATCCTCCTGTTGGCCAACCAAGAGGCCAAATATGAGTTGTACCAGTCCTCTTTAATAAAAAGTACTCCTATTCTATTCCAAACCAAGGTTTAAAGTCTTTAGCTTTTTCCATAATTTCATTGGCAATGAATCTAAAAATATATTTAAAAGAAAAAAAACCTGAAATTATATCTAGCTGGTGTTTTTTTATCAGGGAGATATGTTTCACACAATACTAAAACATGTGGACTACCTCTAAATGGATCCTTAACATAGACTACAGGTTTCAAATATATTTCAGACCATTTAGTATTAGCTTATTCTGTTGATGAGCCATCATAAGTCCACCATTCTAAATCAGATAGTTTAGTAATTGGGTCTTTATAAACCTAAAATAATAATTGAATTAAATACCTTAGTTTTTGATCTCATTCTTTCTCCAGTTCCATCAATCCATATGTATTCAGCTAGAATAGATTTTACGTCTGTATTCAATTTAAAGTAATTGAAATCACGAAGATGTTCTACTGTCTCTGTCATTAAGAATACACAATAAATTAAATTTCATTTAAATTTATAGAAATCTCCTATTTAACAGGTACAATAATAAGTCATCTCAACATAATCAATATTAAAATGAGATATTATTATGAAAAAGCGTAATTATTTTATAATCTTATGTTTAATTGAATATAAATTTTTAACAATTCATAATCATAATAAATTAAATTTTAATAGTCCTTCATAAGACATTTTCCTTAGAATTTCAATTTTTGGAGCGAGTATATTATTCTACTTTAAATCAATATCTATTACATAATTATTTTCAACCAATTATTCCAATGTATCAAATGAAATATATATTGGTAATATCAAAATGCATATAGCTAATGTTTCATTAAGAGTTTCTATTTAATGGTTTACTAATTTATTTTACAGAATGAAATGAATATTAGAATTGGAAATATAGTGTGTTTCAATATATTGATAAGCAAAAAATGTATTAACCATCTATTCATTTTTGATTTGTCATTTGTTATATAAGCTATAGCAGCCATTAAAATTGGAATCAAGTAAACAAATACTAGATATAGAGTATAAAGGAGAAATTCAAAAACTTCAAATATCATTTTTATATATATATTATTATTTTATTATTAAGTATGGAAATACAAAAAAAGAAAAGAGAATTGACTGCTGAATAAGTTTAGAAAATAAAAGATGGTTTCTAAATTTAAAGAGTAATTATGAAAGACTCAGAAACTTAATAAATTTATTGGGATTCTATTACAGAGAAAGTATATAAAATATAATAATTTAAAGATCACCCAAGATTTAATTGATATTACTTTAGATCCTAAAATCATTACTTCAAAAGCTGCTACTAGATCAATCTAATTTTCAACTAAAGAGAAATTATAAGACTTAATATTAATTTAAGATGTAACAATATCATAATTTAATATAGGCTTATTTACATGATAAGAAAATTGAACATTTTGTATTTAAATTTGGTTTTGTTATGCCTGATACTGTAAACACTTGGGATTCTACCATTGTTAATAGACCACCTGAATAAATGTTGCCTAAAGAAATCTAATCAGGCAATTTAATAGTTGATATCTAAATGTTTGAATAAGATCACCTTATCTTTAATGTAAAAGTGAGAATATTTTATTCATGATATGATAAATTAAAAAAATCATTCTACATAATCAAATTATATCAATCATCATTCTCAACTTTATTATTATCTTCTTCCTCTTCAATATTGAAATTCTTTTCCTTTAAAATCTTCAACCAATTAGAAAACGTTTAATTTTTAATTTCCTACTCACAAATAAAATTCACAATTGCTAAAATATATATATATATATACTTGGTCGAAATTAGTGAATCTTAATTTAATCTTCCTCTTCAATTTCCAATCTTTAAGGTATATCAAATTTTGTATTATATCCTTCAAAACTTATACGATTAAGAAACAATCCTTCAGCAGGTGCCAAAATTATTCTTAATTAATTTTTGAAAAATGTATTATCAATAAAAGTATCAGGTAATTCCTCCTAAAAAATTTAAATAACAATTCCCATCATCTTTCTTATCTAATGATAAATAAAACTTTATCCATGAATCAAAAATTTAAAGAACTCTTTCTCTTCATATTTGAATAATTCAACTGATATAGATAATATATATCTCATTGATTATGGATCAGTGTATTTCATACCTCTGCTATAATTATGGAAATTGTGTGTGCCTACAAATTTTTTAACTAAATTATTGACTTTCTCCAAAATCTCTTCTCCTTTTTTCTCAGAATAAAGTGAAACTGGAGCTATATATTCATAAAATCGATATCTAGCATTTTTTCTAACATCAAATCCCTAAGTTACTAATTTTATTGAATGAACTTTAATATCATTAGGCAAATTGGAATTTATTACATTTAATACTTTACCATAATCTACCTTTGCTTTATCCTTCTACTTTGATACAATTTCCTCCTCATTTTATTATACATCATCCTTAAAGAATTCTTTATTTATGCACAATTTCACTGCAATTGAATTACATAAAGCATGAACTCCTTTATCTGTTCTTGCTCCTCTACTCCATCCTGATTTTGATAAATCATTTCCATTCTATTCCATTATTAAGTTCTATTCATTAATTTGAACATTACAGACACTTTTAATGCTTCAAAAAGCTTTGATTCCACTGTATCAAAATCTACTCCTTTTTAGATTTATAATCCATGATAATTTGCTCCATTGTATCCAAATGTCAATAATACTTTTTACTTAAAATAGTTTCTAGACATAATTAATAAAATTAACTAAATTCTTTCATATAAATTTTTTTAATTATTAAAGGAAAATCCTAGGATAATATACTCAATAATCAAAATAATAATCAAATGTAATACCAAAAAATAATCTAAAGATTTATTGTTCTATTAATAAATTAGATAATATATTTTATTGTATTGTATTTTATAATTAATTATTTATAACTGATATTAAAATGAGAAATGCTTATGAGTATATTCATATTAAATATTTTTAGTTAATCATAATGTTAATAAGTTCTTAAAGTTTACAATAATTCATAATGGATGTTAAATTAAAACAATTATTTCCTTGAGTATGATATCCCAATTTTTAATAAGATCCCTAATACAAAAAAAATTCAAACTAAACCTAAAGAAAATATTTTTAATCATAAAACTAATTATAAAGACAAAAATATTGTAGAAATATATGATTCAAATACAACTCCTTTATATTGTATAGATTGGCTAAAATGTAAATATATGAATGAAGTATATATTATTATTTGATTTAGGATTTTGATCACTTAAAAAAGTAATACGAAAAGTTATTATTAATAAAGCCTGAATAATATATAGATTATCAAATTGAAAAAGATCTTAAAAGAACCTTACTGGCAGAAAATAAAATCAAAGAGATTAAAAATATTTTATTAGCTTATTCTATCTTTGATCCATCAATAGGATATATTTAAGGAATGAATTATATAGTTTCTGTTTTATATAGCCATGCAAAATAGGAGTGGATAGGATTTTGGTTATTTGTTTTATTGATTGAATAATTGGAAATAAGGGATATGTATTAAATGTCTCAAAATTCTTTAAATAAATATTCTTAAATATTAGATTTCTACATTTGTAGATGTTAATATAAATTGTATATAAACCTTAAGGATAAATAAGTACAAACTTAATTATACATTTAATAATGGATTTTAAGTTTATTATTGCAATAGATACCATTTGAATATTCATAGATGTATCTAAATGGATTATTCAATAAAGGTTTATCCTATTTTTATACAGTTGCAGTCACATTTATAAAAATGTTTGAATAAACTATCATTGAAGAAGAATAGATAGAAATATTGATGATCCTTACATAAAAACAAAATGTATTAAATTATAAAATGTAGAAATTGTTAAATTGGCCATTTATTCTATCTATTGATTGGGATATTGAGAAATAGGATATTAGAGTCATAATTGAGAGTTTTGATAGTGAATAAAACATATTTTAGATATCAAGATTGCAGACTCATTAATCATAATAAATCACTCATTTTATTTAATTTATAAAATAATGAAAAAAAAATTGTAATTATATATTAAAAATCATTCACTTTATTTTTGATCATTATTTTATAACAATAAATCTTATTATTAAATAATATTTTCTAATTTTTGAATATTCTTATCTTTATTATTTTAAGGTTATTTAAAATTTTAATATCTTTTATACCATCCTAATTTATCTTCTTTAGGAACATTAACTCTTTTATTTTTTAATTCTATAACAACTTCTAAATGTTCATCATAAGTTTTCGCAGATCCAAGTTTAGATCTCAAATCTATAAATAATAATGAAAATACATTACCAGTAAATATTTGTAACCCTGTATAAAGAAGTTTAAATAGATGTCCTTTGATTTCAGATAATCTGGCATTGTATTATTTAGCAAATTGCATATATTCCTCAGCCAAATCATTTAAATCTTTTATTTCACCAGAAAAAAGACCAGGATTTTCTAAAAGAGCTTCAGATGACATGACTGCATCAACCTTAGTCTCTTAGAGGCATCTTTCAACATCAGACCAAGTGTAGATACCTCCATTAGCAAAGACAGGAATTTGTAATTGTTATTTTATTTCTGCTATAATAGTCCAATCACATTGACCAACAAAATCTTTATTTTACTCTTTTGTTCTACCATGAACAGTCAGAATAGAACATCCTGCTTATTATATGTCTTTGGTTAGATCAAGAGTTTTTTTACGATCTTTGAATACTCTGATTTTGCAAGTAACTGGTACATTTATATTTTATTTTAATTCTTTCACAATAGTTCTATGATTTAAATGAGTGAAATTACAGAACTTATTCTCTCTTTTCTAAAAGATAAGCTCCATAAAGGCCTTTCCTTGCTATTCCTTAAGGACAACCAAGATTGATATCAATAGCATCACATTGATCTTAAATCATTAATGCTGCTTTAATTAAGATTTAAGGATCATGTCCACATAATTAGGCAAACAAAGGTCTGTCTTCTGGACAAGTAGTAAAGAATTCATCTTTGTATGATTTGGATTCAGTCATAATTCTACTATGTAACATAGGAGTGTATGCTAATGTGGCTCCATATTTTCTAGTTAACATTCTAAATGCAAGTTCACTTTAATCAACCATAGGGGCACCTATGATAAGTTAATGAAGATACATATAAATTTAGGTGATCCCAACTTTCTGTAGAATTGCCATGCTTATTAAATGTGATCATCCATTAATATTATAATTATTATGGCTACTGAATTATTATAAGAGAATTATGAATTCAATGCTCCACCTAGAGTTGTTTAGAAGATGAAATATAGAGAGGATAGAGAGGCTTGTAACATTATGTGGGATAAGAGAGTCATTAGAGGGAATACATATTCAAGTGTATTGAATAAATCTGAACCGACTATGTAAACTACTATAAAGAGGATTCAAAATACTAAAGTAGTGACTGAGAAAAAGGAGGATGAAACTATTCATGATGAAGAAACTCAAACTGATCCTAATGTTGAAGAGTTAACTGACAAACCACCTAGACATCTCAAAGAAACTCAAACAGAATTTATAATTGAGAAAGTTGTACCAAGATTGTACATGAAAGAGAAGACAGGAATTGATGAAGAAACTCAAGTGTGGGATGATGGAGAATTATTTAATTTTGAATATGAAGCTGAACCAATTCTTTAAGTATTAGTAAGAAAAACTTTGGATTTAAGTAGAATGGAAGTATTATAAGAAGAGGAGCTTAGAGAAATGAAGGAGAAGTAAGAGCATTATTAAAAATTAAAGCAAATGGAAATGGCTGAATAAGATAGATTAGAAAAGAAAGAATAACAGTTATATAATGAGAATATTAAATTAAAATAACAATTCCATAATTAAAAATAGAGGGATATAAAGACACATGAAAAATTAGTCAGTAGAGCATCAGCTAAGAAATATCTATAAAAATGTGTTAATTTAGCATTATAATAATTGGAACTTAGTGGATATTTTAGAGATCCTGTAGAAATATAATTAGTATCTGAATATTTACCTTGGATTTATTAAGATGTAACAAATGAATTATAGAATTCTAATAATATTCTTGTTGAATACAATTAAATGTTAGACAATATTGATGATAATATGTTTTAATTACATACAAATACCTTATCTTCAGAAAGAAATAGAAGATAATCAATATTAGATGAAAGAGAAAGATAGAGAATAGCAAAAGAAGAAGCCGATAGATAAAGAAGAGAGAAAAGAAAAATTAGATTGGAAAAGGAAAGAAGATAGAAATTAAAAGAGACAGTTCAAGAATAATTAATATCTAAAGGAGAAGAAAAAGAATGGTTTAATTTAATATCAGATATAGATGGATATTATCAAGGAACTAATACTATTGGTTATTTGGGAGGTATTATAGGTTAATTTGTTATAATTATCAATGCTTTACAATAAGTTGGAGAAACAATAGAAGATATATCTGAATTGATTACCAATTCAATAGCTGCATTACCAGAAGGAACCATAATTGAAGTTGGATTAAGAGAACAAATTGATTAAATGTTAGCTGATATAGAACGTATCATCTATTAATTAAAATCTTAGCTGAATTAACACTAGCCACTTTACCTGAATAGTTAACTTAAGGTATAGAAAATGCTATCAAATCAAATATTGTCTATAGTTTATAATAATATTGGACATAATTTGAATTTCTTCAAAATGTAAATCAAATTATTGATTTGGTTATTAAAAACCTTTTTGAAAATAGACCTAAAATCAAATGGTCAAAAATTAAAGGTTAAGTAGATTTTTAAAAGATTCCATGTATTGTCAAATTATAACCAGGAATGGAAAGTCTAAGATTTCATCCTAAATCAGGAAAAACAAGAGTTGAAAAATCAGTTGAAGATGAAGCTACTGAAGAAGAAATAATTAATCCATAAAATCTTGGTGAAGCAGTAGTTGATACTAAAGCTACTGCATTTATACCTTAAGTATTTATAATCTAAAATGTTTTTAGAATGAAGAGATTCAAATTGCTGTCATTCATAATGTAGCAGAATTCCATCTTAGAAATTTAATTGTATAATAAATTGGTGAACAAGACATTCCATGGCTTGTCAATTTCACAGATAAATGCTAAAAATTAGAAACATAAATTATTGAAACCCTAAATCCTCAAATACCTTAATTGGAAGTTTAGTAATATTGATTAAGAACATATTAATATTAATCATATATTTTTACATTGTTACAATAATACTGATTGTTGCTTTTTATTATAAAATACTAAATAAAAACATAATTATATGAGGATTATCTCTTAATAACCTTTCTTTTGGCTTTTATCAAGGAAATTTTGGTTTGTGTTTGAATAATTAAAGACTCAATTCATTAGATATTTTATTTATGAATATGCATAATTCAAATTATATATATATTTTTCATTTTATTGGTTCTTAAATAATATAATTTCTAATTTGTTATTATTTTAAGTTTAATGGCAATTATTCCGGTTAATGTGCTCAAAATCTACTCTTAAAATACCATACTCCATTTCAGTAAATGAAAAACACATAAAACTTATTTTTGAAATCAATTGAAGATATATAGACATCAATAATCAATATAGTATTCTTATATCAGATTATTAGGATATAGTTTATCAATCAACTCACTTATAAAACTATTTTGGCTCTAAAATTTATCCAACAGTAATAATAAGTAAAGAGCAATTAATATTTTACTTAGATAACTTTTTTAATTATTTAAAGAATTCAATAGTTGTGATATGAAAATAATAAATAGCAATTTGAATATCAGGCTCATAAACATGTTTTTGACATTAAAAATTTAAAAACAACTTAAGATATAATGAACATGCATTTCAATTACTGAAAGGATTCATGAAATATAAATAGATTAACTATCTGGATTAGAATAAAGAATTTTAGTTAATACTATTTTATGTTAAATTAAGTTTAACTCTAAATATATTGTATAATTTTTGAGACAATTCCAGTTTGTTTTTAGTACTAAAAATAAAAAAATAAGACTTAGAATTATTAATGCTATATCATGTATCTTTGAATCAATAGGTATATTATATAATACTAAATACAAGACTTTCCTTTAGAATTTAAATATTCCTATTGAATATAGAAAATGAATGAAACTGTTCATAAAATTAAAACAATTATTAAAATAGTTACAACATTAGAAAATCTAACAGATCTTAAAATTTATAATTATCATCCTCAAATCTAAATTTTATTTATTGTATAAAGAAGAATTATCTTAATAAAAATTAAATTGATTTTTCAATTTAATAAGTATCCAGAATATTCAAAAAATTAAAGTTGAAATATGTTTTAAAGAACTCTATTTCATAGTTTAACAAAGAAATTGGGAATTTGATATTTTAATAAGGAATATTAATGTTAAAATAAGTATTTTTTAAAATTAAGCTCCAAAGATTTGATTTTCTTATTAAGATTTAAGTAAATGAAAAAGTTATCATTATCAAAGAGATAATTTTTCAGAAATTATGAGTAGATAAGAGATAATCTCTTGTTTTTAAGCGAAGTAAAAATAATATATATATATATAATGAAAAACAATATAATGCATTTTCTGAATATTTAATTAATAATTTTAGAATAACCAAAGCTTTTTAATAAGAAGTAGTAAAAATTATGTATTAATTTAATACATAGATGTCTTATTTATAAAATAAATTTTTTTTTTTTTATATAAGGTAACACTCGATAAACATAAATAATATTGAATCTTTAATCATCATTAAATTGTGTTTGATATGCATGATAAGAAATATTATGGTTGAGGAAACTAGAAATAGGGATAGATCATTTAAAATTGAGGAAAGCAATTCACTGAACTTATTGGTGGTATACTGCACATATTAATTGGCATTAAATATTACTAGGTTGGACTGATACTCATTGATAGTGATTATTCTTATGATTGTACTGAAACAATTGAGTTGAATTTTTATTCAGTTTTTGTTAAATTCAATTATTCTTTTTTTGGAACAATATAATAAGGGTTCTTAATATTGAGATATTTATTTCGAAGGTATGAATAGAACCTATTCTTGATACTGTTTTCTGATCTACCTTCAAGGTTTTTTTAAATTACACTCCATTTTCCTCCTACACTGTTATAGATTTCTATAATTTTTTCATCTTCTTCTTTACTCCAAGGTTCGTTATTCAATCCAGGATGCAATTAATTAAGATAGTGTTCCCGAATTTATTTACCCGAACGATTAGGTAATAATTTGCTGATTTTGCTCCAATGATATCCATATTCTTTTACTAAATTCTTTAGTTTTTCATCTTCCTCTTAAGTCCATTATCTCCTCAATTTATATCCTTTAATTCTCTTCCATCTTTAAGCACACTATGAAGGGTTTCTTCCTCCTATTCTTCTTGCCACTTCGATCCAATCGAAACATTTACTCTATCTCAAGTCTTAAAGCATTTGATCTTCTTCTACACTCCAAGCTTTTCTTTGAGTTTATATCAATTCAGAATGAGACATTTTCCAGATAAAATTAATTTTGTTTTACTTAATCAAAGAGATATTTCTCTATAAACTTAAAGAAATTCAGTTATTTCAAAACTTTTATTTTAATTCTTCAAATAATCTGACTACGTTAACAATATTTCAGTACTGAATCTTGATTAACCAATATATAACTATTAGCTTCGAAGTATGAACAGCTAATATTTCCATTAGATATCATAATTTACATTGAAGTTAATTTTAATACAATTTTATATTAATTTTGTAGAATTCAATTTACTGAAAATTTCAAAAAAACATTACCTTAACAAATAAATATATTATATTTGGATGTTAAGAGTTATATCCCTCTATTTTAATCTAGAAATCAATAAGTTTTTATATAATCTTTAATAAAAGAAATTAAATATATTATAATATACCTAATTAAAAAAATGAATATTTGTTTTTAATATAGAATTCAATCAATAATTAAACAAAAGATTTTTTTTAATTTATTTCTCTTGAATTGATTTATTTATTAAGATCAATTATTTAGTATGTAAATATGGATTTCGAAAAAATGATTTTTAATTACATTTCTAAAATTTATTAGTTATAATACTGAGTTATTTTTATTATAATAAAAATAATTAATAATTCCTAATGTCCAATCAATATGTGATTGTACCTCAAAATTATAGAAGCGACAGCATGGTCAGTATCTCACCAGCTGACAAAAGATACTTTGAACAAGCTTAAGCCAAACAAAAATCACCTCCATAGTAAATGATATTTGGAGGGTACTCACCATCACCAAGTCTTCAAAAAAGTTTGAGTACACAGTTATCAGAACAAAGTATTGATGATGTATACATATATTTTGACTCATTTATTAGTTTGGCAGAATGCAAAAGGATTCAGATACTGAGTTAGTCGTCCAATATATACTATAATTGAGAGATTCAGATAAAAGAGAATAAGCATTATCAGAATTATCAAAAAAGAGAGAAAGCTTTCCTCATTTGGCACCCCTCTTATGGCATTCTGTTGGTACCATAGCTATATTGTAATATTTTTAAATATTTTAGTCTCTAAGAAATTGCAGTTGTCTATCAACATTTGCAACCAGCTTAACTAACACCAGCTCAGTCTTCTAGAATCTGTAGTGTATTGGGACTTCTTCAATGTTTAGCTCTGCATGTATAAACAAGATCCTGCTTTTTAAGAGGTAGTATTTAAATTTAAGTGTAGCTCATATTCCATTGTTTTTATATCCATTTCTAAACACTAGTAATAAGAGTAAAGCTTTTGAAAACTTAAGAGTTACAAGTTTAGGTGTTATAGGTGCTTTGGTGAAGGTAAAAATATTTTTAAATTTTTATAGGGAGATGATCCAGAGGCAATTAATTTTTTAATGCAAACTGAAATCATTCCACTTTGTCTTAGAATCATGAAAAAAGGACAAGAGCTTTCGAGAACAGTAGCTACCTTTATAGTTTAGAAAATCCTTCTCGACGACAATGGTCTTAATTATATCTGTTAGACTCCTGAAAGATTTTTTGCAGTCAGTCAAGTCTTACAAACTATGATAGATGATTTACATCAATCCTAAAAGGATGATTAAAGATTATTAAGACACATAATTAGATGTTATTTAAGACTTTCTGAAAACTAAAAGTATTTTTCAAATGTAAATTTTAGAGCTGGAGAAGTACTTAAAAAATATTTGCCATAAGTATTAAAAGATCCAACTCAATCTTTTATTAAAGATGAAGTTGTAAAAAAGTGGCATAATAATTTGCTTTAAAATCTTTCGATCAAATGATCATAAAAATATGTATCTAAATAAATTAAAATCTTTGCTAATTTTTGTTAACAATTTAAATATAATGTAATTCTATTAAAAAATAATCATTCTGTTTAAATAATGTTCAATTTTTGAATCTCTCTACTAAATATGAACTCCATTCAAACTATTAATCACCATACTCCTTTTTTTCTATCTTACATTTCAACATTTAAAGTGCCTCCAACTAAGCTTCAATTATTCTTTATTTTTCTATTTAATAAATTAATGCAAAATAATCATGATAGTTTATATTTGGATCTGTAAGTTTTTCTGTTTAAATTTTTAGTGTTTCTTTAAAATGCTCTGAATGATATGTCTTAATTAAATTATAAGCTTAATTGATAATTGCACTATCATAAATATCATCAAATAAATATGATATGCCTTGATCATATTACCAATTTAACATTTTAAAATACATCAACAAATCATCATTGATTCTTGTATATCTGATTTTGAATTTCATATACTTAGACAATTAGAAATACTAAATGAATATATTATGTATTGTTACTTCTGCAATATCACTTGCAAATGGTATGTGATAAATATATTATGATTTCACTTCCACATAATCGTATATATTGTATTCTAGAGTAAAACCATATCTTAATAATAAAGATCTATTAGATATTGTTCCATATGAAAAATATGCTTAAGCACCTTTCTCAAATTCATCTTTACTCGAACATTTTATAACAAAATTATCAAACTAATCCTCCTTCCAATCTGCCTTAGCTTCAAATGGTTTAACATTTTCAGGAATACTAACCTCCAACATCTCTTCAACTGTTTCAATTGCTTATGATTGTTCTGGAATTTCAAATTATTTTAGTTAATAATTTTTTACTTTGAGTTTTTAAAGAGCATATTATTTAGCATTTTCTAAATATAGTTCTGAATTCTAAGTTACATTTTATATGATTTCTGACACCTAATCATAAGATAAAGTATCATTTTCATATAATTTAATTTATTCCTGAATATATTCTAATGTCTTTGAAACAAATATGATGGTAAAATTGTCTCTTAAATTTAAGTTCTCCTAAAACCATCTTTTATTCTTCAAATATTGAATTTACAAATCAATTCTATTATTGCATTTCTCTTAATAAACTCTTAATTTTTGAATTGCTTCAGGATCCTAAAAGTCCACTTAATTTTAATACAAATTTAACTCTTACTCAATTAGTTTATAAGTTGGGGTCTTCTATTTATAATTTTTTATTTGCTCCTAAATTTCAATTGGATATTAATAATCTTCTTATTCATATGAATCACTATCTCCATCTGACTCATCTGATTCATTAGTATCTGATTCTTTATCATCTTTTGGTTTATTTATGTTATTTTCTAAATATAAACCTTTGTATCTCACATCTGTATTCTCATGATTAAACATTTCACAAAATGGAACAAACGCTACTTGTTCTAATGTGGATCCAAAACATCTACTTACCAAATGTATAAATATCCACTTGATATTTTCATAACTATATGTTTCCTTTTTGAAATGTTAAGGAAATTAGTCTAAAATATGCGTTAATGTTTTTTATATTAATAAGAAATCTTGTAATTCTTTCTTGGCTTTCAAAACGAGTTTTTCATCATTCAATAATTTTAATTCCTCATCTGACCAAAATATCAAGTAGTCTATATCTCTTGGTAAATTAGATATTAAATGATACCATTATGATTATCTAATTATATATTGAAAAATTAATACTTCCCTAATTATGATTGATATAAAATATATGTGAGTAGGATTCTATCTTGCCATCCTCCTGCACAATGCTGACTAAAAAATTAAGGATAAGCATCAAAAATTTCTTGAATTTCAGAAAAATATGCAATTTTTGTGGTTAACATTAATTCTCTTGGCACTGATACAAGAATTGAATCACTTTCAATTTTTTCAATAGCTAATCAAAATTGTTATTTGAAATTTACTTTGTAATCCTAAATAAGGTAAATTGTTTCTTGTTTTAAATTAAGCCATTCGCAAATTATTAATTCTCATACCTCTTTCTAATAAATAATCGACATATTCTTAGAATTCTTTCTATCCCTCCACTTATATTGCTGAAGAATCTTTCTTATATATTCCCTTTATCTGTATTAATATATGTATGTCATTTATACATTATGAAATAAAGTAGCAATCCTTTTACTTATAGATGTTGTTTATTGCATTAAAATAATTTGTGATAATGATAAAATAATAAATTATGAAAACTAGATATCTAATATTGAATTTTATATGATGAAAGATTAATTCATTGTTACTGTTAGCAATGCTATAAGAAATAAATAATAATTTAATATAAATATTAATAATTAATTAGTTAGAGAAGATGTAGAATAATAAGAAAGCTAAAAGAACCAAATTGACCAAAGAACAAATAGATGTGTTATAATAAGCATTTACATTGTTTGATACAGATAAATCAGGATCAATTGATGAATCAGAATTAAGAAATGCAATGAAAGTAAATTAACATTTTAAATATTAGGCTCTTGGATTTAATGCTTCTAAAGAAGAAGTTCAAAAGATGGTTGAATAAATAGATAGAGATGGATCTGGTACAATTGAATTTTAAGAATTTGTTGAAATGATGAAAAAGAAAATGTTGGAGGATAAGAATGTTGAAGTAGAAATAGAAAAAGCATTCAACTATTTTGATGATGATAATGAAGTAATTAAATTAAATAATATAGGGTGCTATTGATCTAGAAAAATTAAGAAGAGTTGCAGCTGATTTAGGAGAAGAATGTGATGAATAAACTTTAAAAGATATGATATATGCAGCTGATCTTGATTAAGATGGCAAAGTTAGTAAAGATGAATTTATGATGGTTATGAGGAAGATGAAATTAATATGATATATGCTGTAAACTGTTATCAAATACGATCTCCAGCAGCCATTTTTTAAGCAAGAGTTTCCTTAAGATCTCTCATATTCACATTTAGCAATCCAACCACTTCAGAAACTATGTTACGATCATCAGCTCTTGATGTTCTTCTTTAAGTATAATCATATGCTGCTTATTAACATTCATTTCTCCTATCTTCTTTAGTATATTCCTTAGATTCAAGTCTAATATTTAAATCATCCATCTTTTTCTAGTATTCTGCCAATCTATCTTTAAGTGATTAAATTTAAGCCTCTAAATCACCTATTTCCTTATCATAAATTTTAAAATCTGTATTCATAAATTTCTGATATTCTGTATACCATCTTACTCTCTCTTCTTCTGCCTTTCTCTCAACTTACCATATTTCATCTATCTATCTAATTAATGATTCACTCAAATCTATTATATTCCTTAAAACACCTATGTTGTTTCCATTTTTACTCATCTAAATCATAAAATCTATTATATTTTAAAAAGGTTTTCCAATTGATTTGAACTTACCAAAACTAACTAGCTGTTTAGTTACTTCTGCAAATACTTCTGGTTATACTTTTGTTTTGTCAGTCTATAATTCCATAAAGTTTGTTCTTAATTTCTAAGCATAAACCAATTTCACTTCTTCTAATGTTTTAATTATCTTTCCCACTTCTCCTCTCTTTTCTTCATATACTTTTACTTAATATTCTCTTATTACATCTACTTCATTCATTCCCTTTCTCAAGTTCTTTCTCAAAGCATTTTTATCATCTAAAATCTTTTTCTTTGATCTAATTAATATTTTTATTTAACATACTCTATACTAGTTTTTAGTTAATCTATAGCTCCTTAAATCTTAACCTTCAATCTCTTTATATCATCAATTTCATTATTAAGATTAGATAAATCTGTATCACATTTTTATTGAAACTCTCTATTTTCTAAATCTTCCTCTTTCTAATCTTTTTGATATTTATCTTCTAAATCTTACAGAGTATCTATTATTCTCTAGTAGATAACCTTTTTACCTATCCAAAGGAGTATTTGTTTATAATGCTAATTATGCTGTTGATAGTAGTGTATGGCCCAATTATGTTTATAATAAACTCTCTATTCTTGTGCTCAAATTTTTCTCACATCCAACTATTAACAAGCTAAGGAATATAATAAAAATAACTTTCATTAATAATAAAAATATAAAACGAATTTTCAATATGAACTATTCATTTATTAATATAAGACACTATTCATTGTTCGTATATAAGAGAAATACAGATACTGATGTAAATTATATATTGAATTTTTCAATCTATATTCTTCTAATTTCTCATATTATTTAATTATGTTTTCAAATGTTGCAATTTCAAGCCAATTAGATATTAAATTTCTAACTAAACTTTTAAAATTAAACCTGTATTACTTTGTAGCTAAAAGTGAATTGCAAAATTGACTAATTAATTTTAGATGTTAATTAAAAAAATTTTATACTTGTTCTCCTTCTAAAATTATGTAAGATATTATTCCAATTTAACATTATCTGATGCAGCACTTTTATAAATTCAAATTTTACAAATTTAAAAACTTTATTAATATAATACTCTAAAATGTAATCTCCTAGTGTTACAGGTTGATTATTTATTGAAAGCTAAGTTACTAAACTTATTCGATTTAATAATGTTTAATTTTATATCATAAATTTCACTCAATACAACAAATCATTGCTAAATCCTTTATTAAATTTAGTTTATTTTGGTTGTTGTACTTAAATCAATGTTGGTCTTCCATGAGGACAATTCCACGGAGATATTAATGTTGTTAAATTTTTGACTACATTTTCCATTTCTTTTGTTTATAAATCGGAACCAACCATTATTGAAGTTCGGCAGGCTTAAGAGGCTATTTTCTATTTAATTTAAGGGATCTCAATTTGATCTAATCTTTTGCCTTGACTCAACTAATCTAGAATTTAGAGTAGAGCATCAGCTCCTAATTAAATATTACTGTAGCTGGGGCATGTTTTTAATTTAACACAATTATCAGTTATTTCCACTTAATATTTAAATTTTTCATTTATCTATTATTAATTATCTATTAACAATTCTAATTGAAATCCTGATAATTTAAGAGTTATTGGTACAATTAATTAAGCTCTATTGAATTTTAATTGATTGATTAACTTCTCATAATTATATTTCTCGTCACATGCATGCTAATCAAGGACATATATTTTCTCTTAATGCTCACAAATAATAAATCCTTTATTAAATTAACCAATAATTTATAAGTTATTAAAATTTTCTTTGAGAAAATGATTTTATTTTGATATTTATTCAAATTCATCAGCTTCAAATAATTATTTTTCTTCTTTTTATTGAGCCATGTCATTTACTTTAAATTGTAATGTTTGATTATTTTATTATGAAATTGATTATTATTATTACTATTATTATTATTATTATTATTATTATTATTATTATTATTATTATTATTAGTCTTATTATTGTTATGTGTACTAAGATTCATTTTAATTAAATTCGTTTTGGATAGTCTTTTAGGGATTTAAATTCTTAAGTTAACTCAAGAATGTACTATTTCTTTTTTAAATTTCTTTTGTTTATTAAGGTAATAAATCTTTTCGTTTATCTGTTTAAACAACATTTTGTGAAATTGCTTGTTTTTCAGTTTATTTTGTTGTTGCCATAATAAATTAATCTAAATTTCCATCTTTTCCAATATACTTTAGTTTTTCTTTATTTTTTTCTAAAGTTTCATTAACAATCTACTCAATATTTTCAATTATAAATTTTTCGTTTTTCAAATATACATCCCTTTTGTCAACACTAACATTGAAATCTGCATCATTTATTTGTCTTAGATTTATTTCTAATATAAAAAAAAAGTTTCCATTAGGATTATGTTATCTATAGATATCTCTCATAACTTATAATATTTATTTGGGAGGATTTATAGGTTTTTTATTTATGTAACAATACCAAAATGTTTTTCTAGTTTATCCCTTATAACTTCCACTTTCAATACTTTTACTTAAAAAGCCATTTAATGTAAAATCTTATTAGATCTTCTCAAAAGGGATTAAGTCGTTGGCAATAGACTCTCCTAAAACATTTGTTATTCTTTATTTCATATTTTGATTTGCCAATCCACTATCTAAGACGAGCTTTTTCTTATTTTTCTTTAATTAATTAATTAAATTATACTTCTTCTTCATTATAGATTTTAAATTCAATATTTGTATTAATGATTGCATACTCTGTCAATATATTAATAGCTTTATTATATTCTATTTTATAATTCTTTTTAAACTCTTATGCTCTAACAGGAAGTGTATAAAATATATTTTCTACCTTAATTGATGTTCCTGTTTATCTGGCTATTTTCGTTGGTTCTTGTGGTATTTCCCATTTCCATCCTAGTTCTTCATCTTTATGTTTGGAAATAATTGTTACATTTGATAATGTTGCTATTGAATTTAAAGCTTCCCCTCTAAATCCATGAGTAAGAACAAACTTAATAATATACATATGATACTTCCAAATCTTCAAAATTTTAAATTTTGCTTGTACCTCCTCTAGTAGCCAATTATTTTTAATTAATAGTTGAAATTCCAATTCCATTATCAATTACTTCAAAACCTTCTTTGCCATTATTAAAAAAATTCACAATAATTTATGTTGACTAAGCATCTATCGAATTCTCGATTAATTCTTTAACAAAACTTGCTAAACTCTATAGAGTTGAAGATGTTGATATATGTAAAATAGACTCTTAATTTAATTATTTGATCATTAAATTATAATTAAAATTTTATGATATTCTAATTCCTATAATTTTTATTTTTGACATATTCAGAATGAATTAGATAACTTAACCATTTTACAGCTCATATTAAATTGTATTTGTTTTTCTATTCTTTTTATTTAGTAAAAAGAAAAAATGTACAAATTTTAATTATTAAAAATTTTATTAAATTTTGTACAGAGATAGAACCTCATTAAATTTAGATTCTACAAAATGTATTATATATTAAAAAAAAATGTTCAATCATCTTTTAGAGTTTCATAATCAAATGCTTTTAGTTTAAGCCCTCTCTAATAAAATACATGAAATTGAATATTTTTAGAAGACTGGAAAGCCTTATAAATATGGAAATAATGAAGAATTCATTATAGACGGATAACAACTAATTGAATTCTATTTTTATGACTATATGATGCTTTAAGGGTATTTATATTAACATTAAAGTAGATTTCCAAACGAATAAAGCTAATTAAAAAAGCCTAGTGACATTATTTAACTACGTTAGAGACTGATAAATGACAAATATCTATCAGAGATGGCAATCTTGTTAAATCTATAAAATCTTATCAAAGTTGGAAACTAAAAATCATTAAAGTATTTCTTACTAATTTAATAATCTTAGAAACAATCCAAAAATATTATCGGATTGTCTAAAATCAATCATAGGAGCCCATTACTATGATAAGTAAAATGATCTTGAAACTCTAAGAGATCTTATTCACCCAATCATTGTTTAATTATTGAATAAGTAGTGAAAAAAAATATTTTTAGAGGAGAGTAAATAACTAAAGCCCAATGGAAATATAATCCCAAGTCATCATTTTTAGAATACTTAAACTCATTAAAAGGACAATTAGACATAAACCCTAAATTGACTATAGAATGGAAAAAAGATGATTGTGTTTAAAATTCAAATAAATCTATATACTAAATTACATTAGAATTAAATAGTACTTTGAAAATATAAAAATTTGGAATGAACAAAAGAGAAACAGAATAAAATGTATATTTAGAAGCTTTGATTTAGTTGAGAAAATATGATATAAAGCACAACTAAAATTAGTAAACGCTAAATCAACAAAAAACAAAAATAATTTAAATTTAAGATGAATCTTAATTTTTAACTTCCCTCAATTCAACTATAAATAATCAAGATTTAACTTTACATATTTTTAGTGAGTAAAATTAAGATAAATATAACCTTGATTGCGATTTATAATTTAACCTTATTTTGGAGAAGCTTGCATTTGAGTGATATATTAAAGCCTAAATTCTGATTCATTAATTTAATATCTATTATATCTTTAATTCTTTTAACAAATTATCTAAATGTGTAAACTCATATTACTAATTTTTAGAATATTTGAAATAAACTATAAATTTGCTAATCATTTTCTAAAAATTAAATTATTATTTTAATTAAAAATATAAGAACTAACATTAATCCAACAAAAATTCGATGTATTAAATAAATGTAATTTCTAACTACTAGTTTAAAAAAGAATTTCATATTATTTTAAAATTTTCTTATATGCTATAAGAATTAAATCATTTATTAAAAAATTTAACTAAAATTTTTTTATATATTTTTCATAAACTATTTCTACTCTTGATTTTTTATATTTCTTAATGAACTTTTTTCTTCTAATCATTAAATTTCTTAAAATAACATTATTGAATCGCTATAAATTTAGTTATATGTTTTCATAAATATTTTCTTTACTTTAGCGTTTTTTCTAATTGTTTTACTTTTTGAAATATTGAGAAGGCACTTCATCCTAAATAGAATTTATATTGCTTTTATATTATCAATATATATTCTAATTCAAAATTAATAGATTGCTACATAATAATCTGATTATTCATTTTAAATAAAGAAGTACTGATTTTTTAATTTAAATAATCAATTATATCAAAGGATCTTGAATAAAAACTGAAATAATAGAATCATCTTAATCAGGAGAATCAAGACTTGCAAATTATCTAGATGATAAAGAAGATATTTAATAAAATCCATATAGACCTACTGTGACAGTAAGAATTTTAGAGTTTGAAAAAGAAAACCTAAGAATACTAAAGAGCAGGCTCAGAAAAAAATTATTTAGAGCTTTGATATGGGTAGAGATAGAAAATTTGATTCCTGTTGATGTACAATAACTAAAGATGATCAAAGGAGAAATATATAAATATGTGTAAAAATATGAATAAGAATTGAAATCATTGATTAATCAAATATCTTATAAAGCTAGCAGTTCCTAAAAGGTTATATTTGCTTATCATTTGATATGTAAAGCAATTAAAGGAAACCAAATTATGTAGATTAAATTTCAAATCATAGCGTATTGATCTTATTTGTTTTTTAAATTTATTTATTTTGAATATAAAAAAGTAAAATAAAATTTAATATATATATATATATATATGAATTATTAATCTAGATTAGTTTGAAATAAATAGAAAATTTAATAAAAACAATAATAATAATTTATTTTTTTAATTATAATTTTAATGGGATAGAGTTGTATAAAAAAATAGAAATTATAAAATGAAAGTGAATTAGAATGTTAATAGAATATTATATAACCAATAAGTCATAGTAATTAAATTAAAAGACCAATTTATGAAATTTGTTATATAATAGGTAGAGAAGAAACAAATGATGAAGTTTATGATTTTGATTTAGAAACAAAAAAGACTTAAAAAAAATAAAAAATGANAAATTATGAGTAAATAAAAAACTAATTTATCAGATCAAACGTTGTTTAGAAAATTCATTTAATTGATACTTAATCACTTATTAATCAAGAATATTTATTGTATAAGTTAAATTCTAAAAATTTAGATTTGATATAAAATGATATTATCTTTTATAGATATTACATCATAATAATATCATTTTTTCATTCATTATAACCATAACTTTATTAAAAGAGAGCTTAGTAATAAAATAAAAATAATAATTAAATTGATTTTATTTCTATTAGTAATTAATTAAAATTACGATATGAATTTTTGTAATAAAAAAAACTACTTTAATTTTCATTTCTTATTTTAAAACTGCAATTTTAATTTTGAGATTCCTAATAAGTTTTATATAATTCTAATACAATAATTTGAATAATTAAAAATCAACTTATTCTTCATCATTTAATTTTAATTTAATTTTTTATTTTTCCAATTGTTAATTATTGAATAAATTATTTAACAAAAATACCAGATATTTTAACTTCTTCAATGCTATAACTATATCAATTAAAGAATAGTTATATTCTCATCTATAATATGTATTTTCACTTTTAATTTTATATATTTATAGAGAGAAAGAAAAAGAAAAATCTCAAATGGAAGGGTTTGTAACATATATATAAAAGAATATTTTTAAATATATTTATTTAGTTTAGAGTTTAAACTTTTATAATGTGAATTTTATTTATCATAGTCATTTTTTAACTATATTTATATCTAATTGCTAAAGATAAGAGAAAATTCTTCAAAAGCTAAACTTATCATAATATATTTTCAATATAATTAACAATTACATGTATTATATAAATATTAATTTGTTTTTTATTAGAAGATTTAATAGCAATATATATTAAAGTATTGATCTTATTTGTTTTTTAAATTTATTTATTTTGAATATAAAAAAGTAAAATAAAATTTAATATATATATATATATATATGAATTATTAATCTAGATTAGTTTGAAATAAATAGAAAATTTAATAAAAACAATAATAATAATTTATTTTTTTAATTATAATTTTAATGGGATAGAGTTGTATAAAAAAATAGAAATTATAAAATGAAAGTGAATTAGAATGTTAATAGAATATTATATAACCAATAAGTCATAGTAATTAAATTAAAAGACCAATTTATGAAATTTGTTATATAATAGGTAGAGAAGAAACAAATGATGAAGTTTATGATTTTGATTTAGAAACAAAAAAGACTTAAAAAAAATAAAAAATGAAATGTGTTTATAATTCTAAAACAAATTTCTCTTTAGGTGTAAAATAATAAAAGTAATTGATCAAAAATTAGTTAAAATCACTTGGTGCAGATGTTTCATAAATATTTAATCCAAAAAAATAAAAATTAATTCGTTCTGATCGTGAAAGTAGAGCTAAAGAATATAGTACTCGTTTAGTATAAACTACAAGAGATCCAAAAAGAAATGGAACATTTTCATCAAATAAAAGTTATGATAATAGTTAATCTCCACTTTAGTTTTCTTTAAAATAATAAAATCATACATATGATTCTATAAGAGATGAAATTAAATCTGTTAGATCTATGAAAACTTTAAATTAATAAAATTTAAATCATGGCATCTTAAAATCAAAAAAAGGAAAAGCTAAATCTATGTATTACAAAAGAACAGTCAGATTTTAATTTTGAAATCATTTATATATTTCTTATTCTTTTTAAATCATTTATCTATTTTCAATTTACTATAATTTATTTTAATTATATAAAATATATTTAATCACTATCTCAATAAAATCATATTCTAAATACTAAATATTTTTTTCATTTTTTCTATTCTTTCACTTTTTATCTATGAAGACGACCATTGAAAAAAGACAGATGATATACAGTCAAAAACAAATTAAAAATATTTTTTTTTTAATTTTAATACAATTATTCAAAGGTTAAAATTGATAGAAATAAGTATTAATGACTTTGTAAGACTGAGATAATGAAAATGAAATAATTCAATAAAGACAGTAGTTTTCAATGGCTTTTCAAAATATGGAGAAAAGTCTGTTTATGATTTTTTACTTACAGTTTGTTAATTGTCCCTGATTATTTTTTGTTTTGATACGAATTAAAGTATTATATCTTTTTTATTACGTATCCTCCCCAATTTACTAGCATTATTTAATTTAATTAGATCCAATAGATTACATTATATAATTGAATTTTTCTCTAAGTTTCTATAGTTTCTTTTCTTTTTTTTCTTATCATTTTTCATATATTTGGTTACTTCAGATGCATGTTTGACTGGAATGATATTTTTATATGATTAAAGATAATTATGGATGAGAATATTTGCAATAGAATTTTAATGATAACTCTATACAAATCTTTGGATGATTTATAGAAATCTATATGATTCTTGATCAAAGTTTATTCTATTATCATATAATTTTTAATAAACTTGCAATTTAAAAAAATGAGTAAATAAAATAAAATTATTAGATAAAAAAGCTTAGATTAATATTATCGAATTACTCATTCAATTGATAAAGAATAAGAAATATATAAATGATTTCAAAATTAAAATCTGACTGTTCTTTTGTAATACATAGATTTAGCTTTTCCTTTTTTTGATTTTAAGATGCCATGATTTAAATTTTATTAATTTAAAGTTTTCATAGATCTAACAGATTTAATTTCATCTCTTATAGAATCATATGTATGATTTTATTATTTTAAAGAAAACTAAAGTGGAGATTAACTATTATCATAACTTTTATTTGATGAAAATGTTCCATTTCTTTTTGGATCTCTTGTAGTTTATACTAAACGAGTACTATATTCTTTAGCTCTACTTTCACGATCAGAACGAATTAATTTTTATTTTTTTGGATTAAATATTTATGAAACATCTGCACCAAGTGATTTTAACTAATTTTTGATCAATTACTTTTATTATTTTACACCTAAAGAGAAATTTGTTTTAGAATTATAAACACATTTCATTTTTTATTTTTTTTAAGTCTTTTTTGTTTCTAAATCAAAATCATAAACTTCATCATTTGTTTCTTCTCTACCTATTATATAACAAATTTCATAAATTGGTCTTTTAATTTAATTACTATGACTTATTGGTTATATAATATTCTATTAACATTCTAATTCACTTTCATTTTATAATTTCTATTTTTTTATACAACTCTATCCCATTAAAATTATAATTAAAAAAATAAATTATTATTATTGTTTTTATTAAATTTTCTATTTATTTCAAACTAATCTAGATTAATAATTCATATATATATATATATATATTAAATTTTATTTTACTTTTTTATATTCAAAATAAATAAATTTAAAAAACAAATAAGATCAATACTTTAATATATATTGCTATTAAATCTTCTAATAAAAAACAAATTAATATTTATATAATACATGTAATTGTTAATTATATTGAAAATATATTATGATAAGTTTAGCTTTTGAAGAATTTTCTCTTATCTTTAGCAATTAGATATAAATATAGTTAAAAAATGACTATGATAAATAAAATTCACATTATAAAAGTTTAAACTCTAAACTAAATAAATATATTTAAAAATATTCTTTTATATATATGTTACAAACCCTTCCATTTGAGATTTTTCTTTTTCTTTCTCTCTATAAATATATAAAATTAAAAGTGAAAATACATATTATAGATGAGAATATAACTATTCTTTAATTGATATAGTTATAGCATTGAAGAAGTTAAAATATCTGGTATTTTTGTTAAATAATTTATTCAATAATTAACAATTGGAAANTAAAGAATAAGAAATATATAAATGATTTCAAAATTAAAATCTGACTGTTCTTTTGTAATACATAGATTTAGCTTTTCCTTTTTTTGATTTTAAGATGCCATGATTTAAATTTTATTAATTTAAAGTTTTCATAGATCTAACAGATTTAATTTCATCTCTTATAGAATCATATGTATGATTTTATTATTTTAAAGAAAACTAAAGTGGAGATTAACTATTATCATAACTTTTATTTGATGAAAATGTTCCATTTCTTTTTGGATCTCTTGTAGTTTATACTAAACGAGTACTATATTCTTTAGCTCTACTTTCACGATCAGAACGAATTAATTTTTATTTTTTTGGATTAAATATTTATGAAACATCTGCACCAAGTGATTTTAACTAATTTTTGATCAATTACTTTTATTATTTTACACCTAAAGAGAAATTTGTTTTAGAATTATAAACACATTTCATTTTTTATTTTTTTTAAGTCTTTTTTGTTTCTAAATCAAAATCATAAACTTCATCATTTGTTTCTTCTCTACCTATTATATAACAAATTTCATAAATTGGTCTTTTAATTTAATTACTATGACTTATTGGTTATATAATATTCTATTAACATTCTAATTCACTTTCATTTTATAATTTCTATTTTTTTATACAACTCTATCCCATTAAAATTATAATTAAAAAAATAAATTATTATTATTGTTTTTATTAAATTTTCTATTTATTTCAAACTAATCTAGATTAATAATTCATATATATATATATATATATTAAATTTTATTTTACTTTTTTATATTCAAAATAAATAAATTTAAAAAACAAATAAGATCAATACTTTAATATATATTGCTATTAAATCTTCTAATAAAAAACAAATTAATATTTATATAATACATGTAATTGTTAATTATATTGAAAATATATTATGATAAGTTTAGCTTTTGAAGAATTTTCTCTTATCTTTAGCAATTAGATATAAATATAGTTAAAAAATGACTATGATAAATAAAATTCACATTATAAAAGTTTAAACTCTAAACTAAATAAATATATTTAAAAATATTCTTTTATATATATGTTACAAACCCTTCCATTTGAGATTTTTCTTTTTCTTTCTCTCTATAAATATATAAAATTAAAAGTGAAAATACATATTATAGATGAGAATATAACTATTCTTTAATTGATATAGTTATAGCATTGAAGAAGTTAAAATATCTGGTATTTTTGTTAAATAATTTATTCAATAATTAACAATTGGAAAAATAAAAAATTAAATTAAAATTAAATGATGAAGAATAAGTTGATTTTTAATTATTCAAATTATTGTATTAGAATTATATAAAACTTATTAGGAATCTCAAAATTAAAATTGCAGTTTTAAAATAAGAAATGAAAATTAAAGTAGTTTTTTTTATTACAAAAATTCATATCGTAATTTTAATTAATTACTAATAGAAATAAAATCAATTTAATTATTATTTTTATTTTATTACTAAGCTCTCTTTTAATAAAGTTATGGTTATAATGAATGAAAAAATGATATTATTATGATGTAATATCTATAAAAGATAATATCATTTTATATCAAATCTAAATTTTTAGAATTTAACTTATACAATAAATATTCTTGATTAATAAGTGATTAAGTATCAATTAAATGAATTTTCTAAACAACGTTTGATCTGATAAATTAGTTTTTTATTTACTCATAATTTTTTATAATTTATGAACTTTAAAATTCCTTCTATTCATAAACTTCATACTGATACTAATTCCAATATATCTCAACCTCATAGTGATTTTATGAAAAAATAAGATACACAACCTTAGTAAATAACTCCCTCATATTTATTTGCTAATCATTCATTTTAACCAACTCTTAAAATATTAGCTCCTCAAAGAGAATCAATTTTTGCTCATAGAAAAGAAACCTTTATAAATTAAAGCTATCGTGATATTTCTTAACGTGATATTTATGGAAGCCTATAAAAATATAAAATAGAAAAACAAGATGATAGCCTAACTCAACTTCGAGGAAGAAAAAGATCAATAAAGCAGCATTAATCACCTTATAATATAAATTAATAATCACCTACATCCATTTAAAATATTGAGAGCCAAAAGAGAATCCTTGAAAATGTTATGGATGATGTTAGGTTAAATAATATTAAATTAAAAAAGCTAGAGAAATCTCCTCAAGGATTAAACTGTCCTATGCACAACTTTTACTATCTTAAAAATATGAAATAACTCTATCCTTTCTAGATAGAAAAATCTGTAAAAGATTTAATGAGGCCATTTCATTAATAAAGAGAGAATTTATTATCTCCAATTTAAACAGAAAGAAGCTTAATTTATCCTTAAAGACCATAAATTTAAAGACCAAAAGAGTTTTTGAATAAATTGAAAAATAGATTGTTGAAAAGAAAAAAAACAATTTTCTTGTAACAAACATAGAATTATGAAGATCCAATTTAAAGAAAGCTTAAACATTTTTAAAAAAGTATATTTGAAAATTAATGTCTACATACAATATATATTCGTCCTTCAGCAATAAGAATATAAAAGTATAGGATTGAGGATCCTAACAATGAATCCATTTTGAAAAAATGTTTGAGTTTTAGATGGTGGTGGTAAGAAGCAGAAGAAAATGAAGAAGAAATATAGTTTTTATGGGCAAGTGAAGTATCAACTTCTTTTTTAAATAAATAAAGATAAAGACACATAAGCGATAAAATTGAATTTTAACCTTTTGAATAGATTTTGAAAATATGTGAAGGTGTTGAAGATTAAATGAAATTTGCAATTGAACAAAAACTTTGTTTATTATCTCCTTATATAAAAATACATAATCATATAGATGTAATAAATCCATTATGGACAAAAAAGAATTTAATTTGTAGATTTTAAAAGTACTGTTCTATAACAAATTAAAATTTCTGTGATTTCATTCCTTTTTCAATAATAGTAAACAATTTAGGAGAAGAATCATTTTATGAATTTATTAGAAATTATAAAACTTCAACAGAAATTTGGATAGTTTTGAAATGTTAGAATGAAGGAGAAAAAATTTAGTTATGTGAAAATACAAAAAGTGTATTTAACTTTATTTAAAAAGAGTACTAAACTCCAAGTAGAAAACAATAAAGCTTTATTGTCTAATAATATATAAGATCGTTTGTATATCAATAAATAAAATTAGATTTATGTTATTATTTATTGATAACTCAAATAAATGGAATAGTTAGAGGATATTTATTTGAATAATTTTATGGAGAAGAATCATAAATAAATTTTTCTCCTTTTGAAAAATAGTCTAAATCTATTACTAAATTAAATTAAGATTATAATTCAAATAAGATTTCAATGAAAACCATTATAGATTATTTCGATGATTGTAGAGTTGATTACGAATATAAAATACTTCCTGAAATAAAAAATATTTTATGTGAATATATTAGATCAATATTTATTCAAATGCCAGTTAAAGATCATAATTTTGAAGTATTCATTAAATAAGACTTAGTTACTTTAAGTTAAAATAATGATTGATAATCAATATAAACCATGGTTAATTGACATCAAACCTTCAAGAGAATTTGATTTATGTTAAGATTTTATGAAAGAATTTACTTAGTAGCTATTTGATAATACAATACAACTTTCAGTAGATGTTTTGTTTCCTTCTCCATCCATTTGGCCAAAAGAGAAAAGAAAATTAATAGATATTTATTCTGAATAAAACGATTTTGCTGTTGTTTTTGATTCTAGAATGGATGGTTAAGGATTAAAATCATTGTTTGAAGAAAAATAACCTGAAAGCCATAATGATAATGATGATGAATTTTGACTTACAATTTTCTTATATTGAGATATATAAAACTAAAAGTAATCTAATCATTTTCCAAACATCATTAATTATCTAATATTATCATTGGATAGATTAAATCTCACACTTTTTCCTGAATGTACACTTACACTTCTTTTTTAACTCCCTAAAAATTCATCTTATGAACTTTGATTTTTTAATATTCCTTTCTTAAAAAAACTGCTGCTATTTTCTTTTCTTAAAGTTGTTTGAGAACATTAAGTTTCTCCTGAAATTAATTTAGTTTGAGAACACTCTTTAATTTTTTTTTTTTTTTCAACAATTGATCTCAATTAAGAGTCAATCTTAAGATCTTATGGTAAGTGATCTATAGTTATAGATCTTAAGTTTCTTTCTGCATCTAAAACTAATGATTTATTGTCGGTTACACTAGCTGCCAGTATTGTTTGAGTATGAATAGAAGATTTTTCTAGTTTTTAATAAAATACATTATCTAAATAATTCTTAGTTTTTATTAAAATTTCATAATTTGCAAGCATTGATCTATGAGGAGGTGTTTCTAATTAATTTAAATCTTTTTCAAAAGAGTTTATAAATCTATGTGATTTTTTTTTCATTAATTTTTATATAAATTTTAGTATATTATAAATGATAATAATATTTTCAAATAGTAAATTACTCATTATCAGTGCTTATAGAATTATATTATTCTTTTAATCTATTTTGCAATCCTGCATAATTAATTATTGTGTGTCCTTTATTTAATAGTGAAACTTTATCTTTCTATGTTTAGTTATCTCTCAATCCTTAAATTATATCCTATTTACACACTTAAATAAAATATTGCATAACACTTTCTCTAGTATTAATATCATCATCATTATCATTATTATATGTATCTTATAATAATTGTTAATATTCAGGCTTTATTCCAAGTTAATTATCAGTAAAAATAGGAAATTTTTATTTTACTTAAGGATCTTTCTATGACTCTAACTCAATAAAATTTTAAGGTCTTTTTTTCTAAGAGACAGTAGTTAATTATCTTGATGATTAATGTTTTTTCCAACTTTATTTATTTGGGTGTATATTTTCATTATTAATTGTTAGATTAAAGATTGGTAAATGAGAAACACTTGGAGGCTTTGGAAAGGGATATAAAAATAGTGATGTTTTTCTTCTCTCAGCTGAGAGTGATTATGATATAGTGTTAGAAATACTCATTGATGAATAGAATTTGGCGCAAATATTATTTGAATTTAAAATATATAGATTATAAACTGAATAATGTATTTATTAATATATTAGTTTTATAATTTTATTATTTATTTAAAAGGAATAGTTTTAAATATAATATTACATTAGATAATGTTTTCAAATGTATGTTGTTTATTAATTTGATTACTTAAGAATCTAAAATAATATAAAATTTATATTCAATTTATATAATTAATCATATAATATTTATTTGACTCGATATATAACTTTATTTATTTTATAAATTTTTGTATTTATTCCATTCCTCATATTCAATATCAACTATATTGTATTTTCCTGATTTAAGATGCCTATTTATGTGCTTCATTAGTACCTTATAACCGTATGATGGTTTGGACTATATCCAATTAGTTATTATTTAAGATTCATTATAAAATGTAATGGACCATTACAATTTATTATGGTATTATTTGATAAAAGTATATCAACATCATAAATAAGTACTCTTTATTAAGTATTATATTTAATATTTAATGAATTCAAGACTTCAAGAACTTTAATTTCTAAATTTGTAAATTTATCTTATTTTTCTTCTATAGGCATTTTCAAAAAATTAATATTTTAGTATTCAAAATAATCTGCCTTTTAATATCCAGTTCTTTTTTCAATAACTTTTCGAGCGATTTTATAAGTTCTGATAAATTTTAAAAAATAAGGATAAAATTAATTTTATTCTAAGGGTTAAGCATCATAATAGTTTTAACTAATTACTTCAGGAAATAAATTGAAAATTAATTAGCAAAAGCGATAATTGAATGATCCAACATAATTTTAGATAGCTTCCTTTTTTTAATCCATAAATTATTTTAATAGATCCTCTATTAATTCCTATGGTACAATCTTTTCATTATAAAGACGAGTTTATATTAATAGAAAGATGATTTAATCAAAATGATCCATATATTCAAACTAATTGTTTAGTTAATTTGCAATAATAGTAAATAAATAATGTTTTTCCATTCTTAATTTTTAGAGACAATGTACAATTAATAATCTGTCTCTTAATTTTAAATGTTAAAGATTTAATGAAAGCACTTCACAAATCTATTCTAAAATTGTTTCATCATAAATTAGTAAATTACTTAATCCAACTAATAAAGAGAGTTATTATTCTAAATTAATGCAAAATAGAAAATTATTTTCTTGATTGAGTAGTTCAATTACTCTAAATTTTGCAGAATCTCCAAATATCTTTCTTTCATTACTTAATGATAAGAAATTTATGTAATGAATCAATTCAATTTAATTGCAAATTGGAAAAGTAAATCTCTTACCCAAAAAGAAGTAAAGTTGTTATTCTGAAACAATTGAAAACTTTTTCATCAAATAAGTCTTACTAGCTAAAAATAATGAATTCATTTATATTATAATAATAATCAGAATTCCTATTATTGATGCTAAATATCTATTTTTGAGAATCTCTCCTATACAATCTCTTCATGATTTTCTAAATTGAATTGTTCTAACCTATCTTATTTAATGATATCAATAGCATCATCAAAAACAAGACAAATAAGTGATTTATTGACAATAAAATCATTTTCTCTTGGAGGTATATAACTAATTATTATATTCATAAAAACTATACCAATAATCTCTATATCTTTCAAATCCATCTCCATCATCTTAAATACAACTTTGAATTTCCCCTTTAATAATATATCCTCCAAACATAAATTCTACATTAGAATTTACATCAAATTTCTTAAACTATGTTTTTGATCTTAAAAATTATCCCAATCTCTTTGCTTCCATTTATCCTAATGGCCCTGCTTAAGATTCAAACAATTTGATTAAATATTCTATTCAATTTAATAAAAATACTTACCTATTGAATTGATATATATTTTTTATTCAAATAATTCAGACTTTTACATTAATGATCTGAGTACATTCAAATTTAATGAATGCAAAACAGTCTCAGATGCAGCTCTAGCAGTTGTCATACATTTCCCATCTCCAATTAAATTAGCATATGAAAGTAAAGAACCCAATCCTTTCTTCAAAATATGTGTACCAACTTCATCATCTACTGTACCTTTTTAAACTATGTATATATTTTAACAAGTCATTCCTTTTTCATATATAATTTCATCTTACTAATACCTTTTTTCATATGTTGATTTAACTATTGTATCCAATTCTTCTTTAGGTACTCCTGTAAAAATAGGAAATTCCATTGCAAAAGCATGAAATGTTGGAATTTACCAATCAAATGAATGATTTTCAAGTTAAACTAAACGAGCATCAATATTAGCTTTAAGAGAATTAAATTCTTTATCATCAACTAATCCATTTTTTTAATTCTCTTCTAAATGATGTCTTTAATGCATTAGAACTGTATGTGATGCTCTTTTGGTTTATATGGCTCTAATGACTTCAGGAAAGGTGTCATTCAAACTACCTAAATAGATTTCTGCCTTAGTAATCTCATTCCTTAATTCATCCATAATTAACTTAACTGCTCCCTTATTCATAGGCATATGCTATTATAAGGTAAGTACTTCAGATGCACATGAGATAAATGTAGTAGTCACATCATAAACAAATCCTAAATGCTTTGTGATATATTATTAAGCATATCCACCTAAAAAGGTCCATTCTTTGGCTTTGAAAAAGTATTTGATACTACTAAAACTTGTAAAACTCTGGAACAATTATTCCCAAATATTGAGAATAGAACCTGTATGATCAAGAGCAACATCACTAGATTCAACAAGCAATCTCACAGAATCTTCATCACATTAACCATGTTCAAATTTAGAATAATAAAGTCCCTTAAGAATTCTAAGAACTCTATATCGAACTTCTCCAAAAGTTTCTGAATCAGTTAATCCTTCATATGAAATTCTACTCATATTTCCACCTTGAATTTATTTAATCTCATTTTCCAATTATACAACCTCTTGTAGATATTCTTGAGATCCAACAAGTGCTTTGACTTAATTCCAATCAGCCATAGCATAATGTTCATCACCTTCTAATTCTTTAATTGTATCTTCTTAATTCACTATCATATCAGTCAAATAACGTTTATAGACTTTCTTCTTTATGACTGGATTTTCAATCATATTAAGATAATTAACAAGTGCTTTACAAGTAGTTCCATTAACAAGATTTGTTAGAGCAGCCATACCAGCAGTAAAGAATACAGATAAATGTCTGAATCTTGGAGGTAAATCAGGATCACATCCAACCATCAATGAAAGTGTTAATCCTAGTGCTCCTCTTAGACCTCCATAAACAAATACTATTAATTCTGGTTAGGACATAGGATATCCATATTTCTTAAGTAACGGCCAAAATGATATAACCATAAGATATCTACATATTATCATAAAGAAATAAAAAAGTATCATCCTAAAGTAATCAGAAGTGTAAATATATCTTTCTTCAATAACTTCAGTTCCAACAATCATTCCAACTAATAAAAATACTGTAGTGTCACAAGAATATTATACAAAACTCCAAACAGTATGAACAGCATGTTCACTTTCTGATCTTATTCTTGTTTTACCAAAGGCACTCCAAAACAAACCTAATGATACAACTGCAAGTAATCCACTAGTTTTAAAGAAACAAAATTCAGCCCAATAGAAAGTTAGATATGTAAATACAAATGTCAACCATCCAACTTCAACATCATCTCCTACTATTCTTCTTGCCCATAATGCTCCAAAGAATCCAACAATTACTCCAAGTACTGGACCAACAATAGAATTTCTAAAGAAATTTAACAAAACTCCACCAAATGTTACTCCACCTCCAATACCTGCAGCTGCTTTGGATAATTTATTAAAAAATATGAAAAAGACCATTGCTACTCCATCATTAAGTAATGCTTCACCTTCAATAAGATGATTGAATGCTGCACTTGCACCTAATTCTTTAAGTAAGGCAACAACAGCTACAGGATCAGTGGCTGAGAGCACTGAACCAAGAGTGAATGCCTAATACCAATTCATATCTTCATCACTGTAAAATAGAAATAATTTGAATACAATTCCTAAAAGTATAGCACCCTAGTATATAATAGATCCTTACCCAACCAACACCTGGTCCTGCCAAAAGTAAGATATTTACCATTTAATATTTGAATACATACCAATCACAATTGAAAGCTGATTCAAAAAGTAATACAGGAATAAAAACATAAACAATTAAGTGTGGATGCATATGGCTTAGAATACTTGCACTTTCTCCTAAATATCCAAGTGAACTTTATAACAAACCAATTAATAACCCACAAGATAATACCATAGGAGAATAAGGGAATCTACATCATAATCTTCTTTACTTTGTTTTTTTATTAATTTCTCTTAAAGTAAGTCCTAAAAGTATGCCTAAAGTAAGCAAATATGCCACATTAGCAGATTCTTCCATTTTCTCCTCATCTCTAAATAAGGAGTCTTGATGTATAATATTTTCTCCTTCAGAATGAGTATCTTCTTCTCCCATAAATTTTATTTATTTATTACGTTAATTAAAAAATGATTGTATAAATGTATGAATCATTTGATATGTAAAAGCTTTCTAATTTCTTCAGCCGATAATGTTTCCTTCTTTACTAATTCTGTAGCCAACTCTTTGAGTTTATTTTCATTTGTTTTTAATAATGTTTTGACTCTATTATAAGATTCCTTATTCTATATTTATAATATACTTCTAATATCTTCTTGACTTCCATATCAACCATGTAATCAAATTGATCACTAGTCTTCACTCTATCACTTTGTATTGAAATCAAAGAAATCTTATCATCCATTCCTAATTACTTTACAAACATATAAGCCAAATCAGTTGCTTTAGCTAAGTCATTGCTACATCCACTAGTAATATCATCCTTTCCAAGAAAGAGATCTTCTGCAGCTCTCCCTCCCATAGCAACATCAATAGATGCAATAATTCCTTTCCTTGTATAATTCAATTGATCCTTCTCTGGCAACATAGCTGTCTATTAGGAAAGTCAAACAAAATATATACAAATCCTAAGGCTCCTCCTCTAGGCAATATTGTTACTTTATGTAATGGCATAGCTCCATCTGTTAATAAACTAGTTAGTGCATGTCCTCCTTCATGATATGCTGTCATTAATTTTTCTTTATCACTCACATGCATATTTTTTCTACCTATTCCCATTGATATTCTATCAATAGCAAATTCAAAATCTTCAGTAATAGCAATCTATCTCTCATTTTTTATTGCATTTAAAATTGCTACATTGACCATATTTTGTATATCAGCCCCACTGAATCCACTTGTTTGTCTGGCCAAATTTGAAGGTAATACTTTCTTTTCATCAAACTTTATTTTCTTTAAATAATACGAAAAGATTTATTCTCTTCCTTTTACATCAGGTAATGGAACATGAATCATCTTATCAAATCTTCCTGGTCTTTTTAAAGCTGGATCTAAGACCTAAAAATTATAATAAATCTTAATACTTTTTCAAAATTTGTAGCACCAATAACAATAACACTTTCTGTCTATTTAAATCCATCCATTTCTGTTAGAATTTAATTGATAGTATCTCTTGAAGATCCTGGATCTTAGGCTCTTCTTCTTCCTCCAATACTATCAATTTCATCAATAAAGATAATTGCAGGTGCTTTTGCTCTTGCTGCTTTAAATATATCTCTCACTCTTGAAGCTCCAACACCAACAAACATCTCATCGAATTCAGATCCTGATTTATAAAAGAATGCACATCCAGCTTCACCAGCTAATGCTCTTGCCAATAGAGTTTTTCCTGTTCCTGGAGGTCCTACTAATAGAATTCCTTTTGGTAATTTAGCTCCTGAATCAGTGTATTTTTTTGGATTCTTTAAAAATTCAACTATCTCTTCTAATTCTTCTTTGAATTCATCAATTCCTAATACATCATTAAAACGAGTAGGAATGTTTTTTTCCTCTTAAATACTCTAATTGTTTCTTAATATATTATAAAAACGATCCATTCTACCTACTCCTTAATCAGTATTTTCTTTTTATGTATTTTCATTCTTAGGTTTTGTTTGATTAGGTTGAAAATAGTAAAATATTTGATATATTATTGCAGCTGTTATAAGTAATTGAATTACTCCTGGTAAAATCATTGATTTACGTTTATCAGAATATAAATTAGATTTCAGATTAGTTAATGCAATCCCATATTATTCTTATAATTGTTAATGTTATTTAAGTGTAGCATTTTCTCTAAAGTTATCTAAAGGTCAACCAATATATGATACCTGTTTACTTGAATATTTAAAGTGCTTCTTCATACATTTACATACGATTTAATTATCTCACATATTTGTAAGCTTTTTCAGGATTCTGAGGATCTGAAGTAAAATCTTTTTATAATAAACGTAAAGTTTAAATATTTTGTTAATTGACTAGGAAGGTCGAATCTGCATTAATAAAAGGGGAGAAATCAAATTTATGATCTGGGATATTTATTGATTTCTTAATAAGATCATCTTTATTCAATTGAAATGGACTTTACAGAAACTTGAATGTAGGCTCTTAAGTTATTTGCAAAATGTTTACTTCTGAATCTAAAAAGTGGTTTATAAATAAATCCCCAAAGAAACTACTTTAAGAATGAATATATTTACCTATCCTTTCATTTAATTTAAAGCACAAATAAAATAAAATTAATGAATCTCGATAGTGCAGCTGACTTTTGTCCATAATGTCATTTTATGCTAGAACTTCCAGAAGTCATGGATGTTATTGAGTGCAATCGTTGTGCATATAAAGTATTTAATCCAATCTATCAAATAAGTGTTCTATTACTGATTATCAACCTAAATACATTATTTCAACTATCAAAATGGAACCAAAATCTTGGTTATCTAATCAACCTTAAGAGTCTAAACTCTCTGATTAATCACATAGAGCTGTTATTCAATAAGCCTGTCCTAAATGTAGTCATGAAGAAGCCTACTTTTCAACTGCTCAATTAAGATCAGCAGATGAAGGATCAACAGTATTTTATGAATGTGTTAAATGTCAGTTCCGCTATCAATTAAATAATTGAATTCAAGTGTATTATATATGTATATATTCAATTTAAATCACATAAAGAAAACTAAATATTATTAATTTATGTTTGAAAATTGTATATAAGAATATGTTCTTACTCAATATACTTTGAAACCATAATTGTATTAATGGTGTGGTTTTGAAGTCATGCATTTCTTTAATTTTGGTCAATTCTGTGATCCAAGATATTAAATGCCAATCAGTATAGACATCTGGATATTGCCACCTGCACAAAAATTAAAATAAGAAGATATTCATCCAAAAAATGATATTATTACATACATTTTAAAAGGACAATGTATATAAGATAAGTATTATTTCAAATTAAATTTTTTAGTTCTATTTCTTAAAATCAATTATTCAAAGAAGGAGATGCAATTTAATATATTTGTGGAAATGAGAATTCTTATAATAGAAACAACAATAACTCTGAGAATGTTTCTGAAATCTTATAAATTTTTATCTAAAATATAGATGTCTAAAGAGATACCTGTTAATAAATATACAAATAAAACTAAATTATTAAAAATGATAAATATTATGAAATGTAAATATTATAAGGGGATTAATAAATTGATAATACTAATTTCAATTTTCTTATATTAATCAATTTAGATGAAGTCTTATTGAATATAGATGATAAACTGAATTTAAAAAAATATGAATGCTAATATTTCAATACCTTAACAAAAATAAAAATTAATGGTAAGAAATATATTATAATTAAATTGCTTTGATTTTTTATAATAATATAAAATTAGAAATATTTCATTCTTATTATTCAGGTGGTTATGGAATCTTGACCATTTCTTTATTCTTTAAACAATACATGGCTATAAATTCAAGTGGATCTTTAGGTCTTTCTATGTCTACCAATTATAAAGCAGGCATTAATAAAGGTAATATTGTCTTACGAAGATAATCAGCATCAGAGCATTCTTCCAATAATTCCCAATCACTTTTCTTAGGTATTTCAGCTTATTCTTCAGGTATGCCTTTTTCTATTCTTTCAATTTCTTCATTTCTATTTCTTTCACAAATTTCAATTTATTTTATGAAATAATCAGGATCTTTAATAACATCTAATATATCCACATGTACTAAATATTTATTCAAACATCTCTTTCTACTTAAATTTTCTAATGTTACACAATCTGTCACTTAAACTATATTATTTTCATTTCTATATATATAAAATATATAATTACTCTTAAATTCCATCATCAAAAAATATATGAAGTGTATCAGCATCTTATTAATCAACATATAATTATTTAGCATTTTATTCACTTGGTTATGCTTAATAAAAGTTAAAATCATCAACATAACATAAAGCACAACTTTCCTTTAATGATTCAGTTATCTTTAATAACATTTATGTTTCATTATATATTTAGACTTATTCTTCTTCTAATTCTTTTTCATATCCATCTTCTAATTATTATTTATCTGTTCTTCTTAAAGTTCCTGTTACTAATTATTTTTATTGTCTATAAACTAAAGCACATTATTTATCCAAAACAATATAATTTTTAGTCCCTTTTGATCCATCAAATTTAACTATTGGTGTATTATTTCTACCACTAAAACATGGATGTTCTCCTAAACAAAATTTATTAAATTCTCTTAATATGTTTTTTGGATCAGTTCCAAATGGTCGAAATACTATTGCAAATTCTCTCTTCTATTTTTTCAAATTTATTATTGTCTTATAAAATGTAGGTAACAATTAATATTTATTATCTGAAAATAAATTATTTAACATATCCTTATCAGATAACAATTATGTTAAATTTCTTTACTTAACCTCATCTTCATTCAAAAAACCAAATTCTTCAGCTTATTATTTTAATTCTTCAATTACAGCCTTTGGTAAAGTCTAATTTATATTAATAATAAATATAATACAATTAATTTGACAATCCTATCATATTCCGGTTTCAACTTCATACATGGTTATCCTAATTTGACAAACTAAAAATATAATTGTTTTCTTTATTCTCTAAAATAAATTATTAATCTATCTTACATAGCACTGTTATTATATTCTGTAATATCATCTGGATCTCCTTCAGTTTTGAGTGGAAATTGTTAACAAATATATTCTTTATAAGATATCATATCTTCAGCAGGTCTAATTGGAGTGAAGTTATTTGTTAACAATTTCCATAAGACTGGGGATTTTTCATCTCTCTATTCTAATTTACCCCATGCATATCCAACCAATATTTCTTATAACTAAAATTAAAGATTTTATATAATACACATTCTTCTTTAGTTTAATTGATATATTTGGAATCAGCCAATATAATAGTTTTATTCAAATCGAAATGTAGCACTAATTTTTTTTGCTGTTTCATAATTTAATTATATATTATTTAATTATATATCATTTGAGTGTTTGAAACACAGACATTTTTTATTATTTCTTTTTAAAAGAAAATTAATCTAGTACGCTTTTCTTCTTTGTATTAACTAAACCTTTAGAAGAATTCATTCTATTTTACTCTTCTTCATATTAAGCAATTAATCCTAAATAATATTAAGTACTATTTTATAATTCCTACATTGATGTAAATGAATACTTCTTTTGGATCAGATCCAGAATTACGTTTTCTCTATAATTCAATCATATATAAACAAGTTTTATATTTTGATTTCCTTTTATCATAGATTATTTTAACCTCAGAAGCCACTGTAGGGAATTCTTTTAAAAGATTTCTAAAAATATCATATGAACAAAAGAATCTAATAATGTATTTATAATATAATTACAAATTTGTTGGTTCTTTAGCAATAGCAAAATATTCTCTATTGATATCTTCAAATGCTTCTATTTCACCAAAAAATGATGCTTCCAATAGAGTAATTAATGTATATTTATCATGAGTAACAAAATTGACTTTTCCCTTTTCAATAAAATAAATGTCTGTAGGTGGGTCATCCTGTCTATATATAATCTCTCCAGGATGGACTTCTAAGAAATTAAGATGAGGTAGTATAGTAGCTGTAAAATTCTTATCAATCTTAAGTAATGAAACACTATCTATCAAATATTTATAACAAATCATCAATAATTCATTTCGAATTTATGATGGTAATTCTTAAATCAATTTCTTAGGATCTAGAGATGAATACACATTTTTTAGATAATTATTTCTATAATATTTATGTACTTTGCATTTTAAAGCATATGGTAATTTAACTCTAACTGAAAAATCATTAAATAAATGCATTCTTCTTTCAAAATCAACCCATTTTTTATCTACATTCTCCAAAATAGATGATAATTTTCCTAAAGTATATGAAAAGAATCCAGTTCCAAAGATCATCCAAATAATAGCAAATATACGTTCTTCAATTGTAGTAGCCTTAATATCACCATAACCTACAGTTGTGAGAGTCTATAAACTCCATTCAAAAGCAGCAATATATTTATTATATAAAGTAGCATCATCAAGATGTGCTTAAGCAACCCAAGTGTTAGGATCAAATTCATTGAATTTTGCTATGAAATACCAAAAACAAGCAATTAGATGATTTATCAATAAGATTTTACCTAAGAGAATCAATCCCTTGATAATACCTTCATTGATTCCTAAATAAGATAGGATTCTAGCAGCTTATGTTTTATTTTTAATATTCAAATTAGCTTTTGAAATCTTTAATAAACGAACTAATCTATATAAACGAGGTAAACGAATCAATCTAAGTAATTTATTATATCTAAGTGCTGCTGTATCTGTATTATCATCTAGAAAATAAGTAATTGGTAAAACTGCAATAACATCAACTGTAAACCATCCATATATATATTATTTGGCTATCATTCTATAATTATCAACAATTTTCTATTCCTCATCATAAAATGCACTCATAAAGTTTATTATAATATCTGCAAAGAACAAAACATCAAATATTACATCTACCCAAAACCAAAAACCTTCATTTCCAGAATCAATCTAATTATAGTAATGTAATTTCATACAAAACAAACTTTAAATGGAGTTATGACTGCAGTTGCCAATAATAAAAATATCAATAGCATATTCCAAACTGTTTTAAATTATTCATCTGGATAAAATACATATACTTTCTTTTCTTCTTAATTTGATTTAAAAACTTCATCCTCTATTAAATCCATATGATCATCTTGTCTTATTGCTCCATAAATCTTTACTCTATTCTAAAAAGATCTCATTATTCCAATAAAATAAGATGCCAGAAACACTCTTCTCCAAACAGTAACTAATCTTTGTCTCTTCTCTTGATTAAGCTTTCTATAAAATGCGAAATTCTATAGAAAATCTAATTTCCTAAAGAACACATTAAAAACTGTGATTTATGGATTAATCATAATTATTCGATTAAAAATATAACCAACCACTATTATAACTAAAATCGATGATATATCAATATATAATCAATTCTAATATGAACTCTATCTAATTCTTTAAGCCATCTCTGGAGGTAATTTATTTGGTGGTCCTTATTTTGATCCAAATTCTTTTTAATGAGTTTAATAATCATTTCTACAATAACCTAATTAAAAGTGATGGGTTCTTAAATCCTATAAGATATCTATATAATAAATTTACTTTTTTCATTTCTGCATCCATTTTACCTGGTTATCCATGTGGATTCTTAAATTATGCTTTTGCCACTGATTCTGTTGTATCTTCATCAGTTCCAAATTTAAAGTGATGTTTTCTTAACTCTGCTTAGACTTCTTCTTACAATTTTCCTGGTTTCGAATGAAAATCTCTAAACCTTGCTTAAGCTTCACTCTAATAACTTAATTTATCATTTCCAATCATAATATTTTTAGAATTATCCACTATAGGATTAACTTTCTCAGCCTTTTATCCATTAAATTATTGATTATATGTGCTTTTATAATGTTCTTAAATTGTAGGTTTTACAACTTCATCTTTAAGATCAAAATTATTTTATTGAAATTAAGGATTTCTAACTTATTCTTATTATCCTTTTCTATCTGAGAATTAAGATCTATAAGCTGATTGATAATTAACAGCTTAATCATTTCCTACTTAGAAATGTGTTGCTCTTAAATCTTTTAATTATGCCTCATTTAATATAGATCTATCACCTTAATTTCCTACATGAGAAGCCTTAGCTTAACTTGTATATTCAACTCTATCTGTACCCATAGTTATATGTGTATTTCTAACTAATTGTTAGGTCTTGTCTTGAAAATTATTCACTTATAATTATGGTTTCCCATATATAGCTTAATTTTATGTTATATAACCATTGCCATCTCTTCCCATAACCAAATGAGTTTTTCTTAATTGAACATTCATTTCTGCCATTCTTTCTTTTGAGTATCCTTATCCTAATAAAGCCTTATCATATTGTTTATTATGCACAGTATCATACATAGAAGAGTAATAATTATTTGTATCACCAAAATCATGATGATGTTTACGTAAATCTGCATTATCTGCCTTCTTAACATTGTTTTTGCCTTAATCTCCAAAATTTTATTCATATTCAGTTGGCTTATTGATATCATGATAACCTAATTAGAAATGATGAGATCTCAAATCTTTCTTGGTTTCATCACTTAATTTAGCTATAGCTGCACTTTAAGGTCTTTAATAGTCAGATTTTTATATGGATTCTAATTTAGGTTTGTCATCTCCCAAATGAAAATGATTTTATTGTAATTTTGGAGGTTATATAGGCTATTGTGGCTATTGTTATTGTAACTTTTAATCCTTCTCTACAACAGATGTCATAGGTCTCACTTTAGCTGTTTTCTACATTGGTATAGGTTGCTTTGCTACGGATTGATTATTTGTGTCTTCATCAAATCCAAAGTAAAAGTGAGCTTTCCTCAATTCTTAAACATGCTTTAATCTCTCAGCAGTTGCATTTGAACTCATGTTATNAGCCTTTTATCCATTAAATTATTGATTATATGTGCTTTTATAATGTTCTTAAATTGTAGGTTTTACAACTTCATCTTTAAGATCAAAATTATTTTATTGAAATTAAGGATTCCTTACTTATTCTTATTATCCTTTTCTATCTGAGAATTAAGATCTATATGCTGATTAATAATTAACAGCTTAATCATTTCCTACTTAGAAATGTGTTGCTCTTAAATCTTTTAATTATGCCTCATTTAATATAGATCTATCACCTTAATTTCCTACATGAGAAGCCTTAGCTTAACTTGTATATTCAACTCTATCTGTACCCATAGTTATATGTGTATTTCTAACTAATTGTTAGGTCTTATCTTGAAAATTATTCACTTATAATTATGGTTTCCCATATATAGCTTAATTCTAGGTTGTATAACCATTACCATCTCTTCCCATAACTAAATTAGTTTTTCTTAATTGAACATTCATTTCTGCCATTCTTTCTTTTGAGTATCCTTATCCTAATAAAGCCTTATCATATTGTTTATTATGCACAGTATCATACATAGAAGAGTAATAATTATTTGTATCACCAAAATCATGATGATGTTTACGTAAATCTGCATTATCTGCCTTCTTAACATTGTTTTTGCCTTAATCTCCAAAATTTTATTCATATTCAGTTGGCTTATTGATATCATGATAACCTAATTAGAAATGATGAGATCTCAAATCTTTCTTGGTTTCATCACTTAATTTAGCTATAGCTGCACTTTAAGGTCTTTAATAGTCAGATTTTTATATGGATTCTAATTTAGGTTTGTCATCTCCCAAATGAAAATGATTTTATTGTAATTTTGGAGGTTATATAGGCTATTGTGGCTATTGTTATTGTAACTTTTAATCCTTCTCTACAACAGATGTCATAGGTCTCACTTTAGCTGTTTTCTACATTGGTATAGGTTGCTTTGCTACGGATTGATTATTTGTGTCTTCATCAAATCCAAAGTAAAAGTGAGCTTTCCTCAATTCTTAAACATGCTTTAATCTCTCAGCAGTTGCATTTGAACTCATGTTATTAATTATTTAATCTGTTATTCAAACAATATTAAATTATATTAACTAAAATCTAATATAACTTAATTAAACATCACTCCTAACTCTGGTTTCAAAAATATAATTCATTTTAAATATATTCAAATAATCATAACAATTCATATTAAACTATAGAATATTATTATATATTAATCTTAGTGATTTTTAAAGATTAATATATATATAATTTAAATGATATGATATAATTATATGGAATTTTGGATTGTGATCAGTATTTATTTCTAAACTATATACTAATAAGTTTTTATTAATTTAAAAAAAACTAAACTAAACTAAACTAAACTTAATAATATTATTATTTAGATGAAATATGTTAAATCTTATAGTAAAGTCTATAATTAAAGATATTGATATAAACCTTAATAGTTAGAATATATCCTTCTCAATTTATATTTTTCATTTAGAAATTAAAAAGACTCAAAAAATACTATAATAATAATTAAGATGATTACTTGAATACTTGAATATAATTTTATTTATTTTTTTAAATGATAGATAAATTATAATATATATATTGTTCAATGATAATATTAATCAATAAATTATATAAAAATTTATGTTTGAAAGAACTACTTCCATATTACTTTATCTGCATTAATTGTTCCCATATTTTATAATGTTTTTAAGGCTATTTTCTCATAATCTAAAATTAATTTAGTAGATTTTTTAGATGTTTAATTTGTATTCTATCTAATTGGTTCTATTGGAATATTTCTTATTACTCTGGCATGAAATAACTAATTAAAAATTTACAGACATTAACTGTAATTGTTATGATTTTATTATATAATTTAAAAGTAAGAATCCAATCTTCCTAATAGATATGTCATTAATTCTGCTGATAATAATGGAATAGCATCTGTGTTACCAAATTATATTTATTATTTACTATCCAAATTAATAAAAATAGTATTTTAAAATTTATTTATAACTCCTTGACTCTAAAGAGTAGTAAAATTCTAAGTTTATCAATTATATTTACACATTCTAAACCTGCAATTATTGGAACTGGACTTCCTAAATAAACTATATTTTCCAATGGTAAATTACTTATTATAGGATGGATCCATGCAAATGGTTTAAGTAAGTACTTTTAGCATAATAAACAAGCTGCAGTTGATAATTATGGTGATTTACTAACAAATACAATTGATTTTTCAATTAAACAACTTACAAATATTTTAATCAAACTTTAAGAATTCAATTTCTTAAATAATTGTGGAATTCCCTAATATTTCAAATATTAATACCCATAAAATATTATCATTTTCACATATTTTTAATTCTTAATTATTAATTGTTATAAAATTAAGAGAATTCTTCTAAATAAGTTAAGATAAAATTCTAAAACTTATTTATGCAATATTCTTATCAAAGAAATTAGTATCTGTTTATGAAATACTTTTAGTTCTTTAATATAAATTATTTCTCATGCATTTTAATTATATTAATATTGCAATTAGAATTTGTTAATAAAAGTCAATTAAATATTTGCTTGTTGTTAAACAGATAGCTCTTTTACTAAATCTGACTTATTCATTACTTAATATAGTAAAATCTGTATAACGATAACATATATGATATTTTAATTATTGTTATTCAGTTTATTTAGTCAGAATAACAAAACAATTAGAAGAATCTATTGAATAATTTTAATTCATCATTAAATTAATATCTTCTAAACTAAAAGATAATGGTATTACTTTAGGTTTACATCCATCTGGGAATATAAATTTTGAAATTTAAAGTATGTATTATTGATTTTCTAATTTGATAATAAATATTTACTAACTTAATTGTATGAATATATCACTTATGGATCATTTGATAATTCTAATCCTAATCCTAAAATATATAAATCATCAAATAATTAATCATTATTTCTTATAACCTTTAAATTATCAATAGTAACATTTTAAATATCAAATGAATCCAATACTTTCTGTTTTAAGTATTAAGTAGATTGTCTAAATTAAGAAACATTAAAATTATTGCTTTCTTATAGAGGAGCCTTTAATTTAATCTTCTTGCCTGAACTTTAAAACTATTCTACTCTACTATCACTTATTGCAGGTTCTGAATTCTCATCTAAATTACAATCTTCATCTGATGAAAGATTTTGAATAATTATTGATTATTTTTAACTTTTTAGTAATGAAACCTCTTATCTACTAAATTCTAATTACTATTCAAGTGCTTAAATATAACAATCCTTTTCATACAATAATTATAGTAATTGTCTTTAAGATAAGTGATCCATAATAAAAAAACAAATATTTATTAAAATTACTCAAATTTAAATTGAAATACCATTAGTCGTTGGTTAATTATTTTCAAACTAGCCTTATAATATTATATTATTCTTACCTATAAATAAATTCTTATTCTTTTTTAGATGACCAATACCACATCTAAGTCCATCTTTAAAACAACCTCTATAAACATCACTCTTTGTTATTTCAATACCATAACCTTATTTTTTGTCATTTGAGAAATACCCTATAAATTTATATTCTCCTTTTTAAATGCACAACCCAAAACCTTATTTACCATTGTTAGTATACTCTCCATAGTATAGTTAATCTTTTATTTGAATAGGTTAGAGCTGAATAATAATAAATAATTCAAGTACATTAAGTAAATTAGAATAAGAGAGCTTCGAATCTTTTGTAAGATTATTAGATATATCATTACCAAGGAATTTATCATCAAACCATTCTCCAATAAGAGGTTGCTTATTCATTTAAATGAAAATTCCCATATGATGTTTTCGACCAAGTAACCAGAATCCTTCATAATAGTCTTTATTTTTGTAATACATACGGCCAAAACCACACTATTTTCCTGCAAACCATTATCCTTAATATGTTCCTTATTCCACTTCTATTGGTCTCTCAATTCGACATTTATTATAAATGATATAGAGAGTTTTGGAAAGAGGATGTGAGTTTAAATTATTTTACAAAGTCTAAATTGGTAAATCAGCATCAAAATCTTTCTTGGACTAACTGACGGTAACCTAATTTTCCTACTGGGTAAATTCATCAGTAAATTCTTATTATAAATTAGGAAGAGGTATTGATTAAAATTCTTCAGAGCAGATTCGTGTATCGTGAGATTAGCAAATACCCATGATAGATTATACAAAAATAGTAAATATTAAATATAATATATATTTTTATCATTATCTTTGATCATGTTTGAGTAACTTACGTAAATAGCTTTAGTTATATAAAATGGAAAATTGTTAGGCTTAATGAAGGTATTTCATTGGATCCTTTTAAATTTCAGAAAATAATCTTATTGAATATAAATATTCTAATACAAAGGATAAGTAGAAGGTGATGGAGACACTTTCTAAGAAATAACTTAAGGATTTTATTTTTCTACATGAGTTCTTTTGGTGACAAATTGATTGATTGGTTTATTTGATAAAATGTCATTTAATAAATATTGCTAAGATTTTCTGACATTCTGAGGAAATTTGGTAAGCACAGTTTTCTTTTGTAACATCAAAGAATGTTTTGGAGAAGGAATCTTTGGAGGGGAATAAAGTAATTATGAGTTATTCTTAGAAAATAAGTTATTATTAACATCTTTTTTTTCATTTTACCTTATAGCAGAATATGATCTTATTAATCTTCTATTTGTCTTTATACTTATTTTTCCATCATTCTCCATCTAAAATTATAAAATTGAGTAAGATTTCTATTTAACTAGATATTGACATGCTTCTCTCTACTTCTGAATTCTTGAAATTCTTTACTGTGCTTTAATTAAACTTTGATTAGAATTCGATCTCTTCTAATGCAATAAATTCATTTTAAATATTATTGATTTAATAATAAATTCATGTCTGATACTAAATTTGTTGATGAAAATTCATTAATTGGAATAGCAGCTTCTTTTTGGTAATAATATTCAACTAAGACTCCTTAAAAATTGAAAATTATGGATGCTTTTTCTTTATATTGCTTTATATTAGTGATAATTCAATTATTTTATTGCACATTAGTAGGTGATTTTCCAAGAAATTCATTTCTATCTGGAATATTTGCAGCTGCTGGAGCTATGATAATAAATAGTATATTATTAAATTTCATTATTAGTATGTTTGAGAAAATAATTGAATCCTGAAACTAAATACATGGAAATTTCTAATGAAAGAGCTTTTTGGGAATATTTGGCAGCAATGATTGTCCTATTTTTGACTGTGATAAATTTCTTGGGTTGAATGATATTACATATATAATAGATATAAATCACAAATCTATATGACTTTTATTTGGAATTAGGTAATTAGGTACATTTGCAAAATAAGGTGGAATATTATATGTTCCAGGTCCTGGTCCTACATCATTTCTATCTGTTACTCTTGATTCGGATCCAAATCTAAATAAAATTATAATTTCTATAAAATACGGAAATTTGGGTCCTGGATTTCCTTAATTGAATTGATAATGATTTGGAGCAGGATTATCATTAATTTTGTTTTTCTCTCTAGTTTCAGTACCAACTCTACAAGATAAAGGTCTAGATTTTGTTTATGAGACGTTGGGATGATAATCCAAAGGACCTGGTGTTCCATCTGGTAATCTATCTGTATATTTGGGTCTCAGTGTATAACCTTTACTTCCTCCATCTCTACTAATATCATATGTTCCAGGACCTGGCACTTCCTATTAATTTATAAGTCTCCTTTATTCTGATCCTATTTTATAACTGGGAGGTCTTCTCTTAGTAGCACTCTAAGATTGATAATGTCCAGGTCCAGGAGTATAATGTGCATCAAACACTTATCTTTATTTTGCAGTTCCAACTCTTCCACCAGGAACAGATCGCTTTGTGAAATCAGTGGAAGGATCATAATGACCAGGACCTGGAGCAGAATCAGTTGCTGTAGGCATACGCTTAGAGCTTATAGTAGTTGCTTTGAGATTCAAATGTGATTGATGTAAATATTATCCAGGTCCTGGAGTCTATACTCTTTCTGTAAATGTTGAATCTCTTAATGCATTTCCAAATCTATGATATGGTCCCGATGTTGCTGGACGCACATTATACTTACCAACCCCTGGAATATATGGCTTAGTATCATAGAAACCTCCTCTATTTTGATTCCCTATTCTTGATGCAGGTCTGCTTAGAATAGTCGAATAATTAGTCTCATAAGCAGCAGGGCCAGGACCATTCTTTAGCTCCCTTAAATTGTCATCAATTCCTCCCAATTATGGTTTATTCCTCATACTATAACTGGAAGCACACTTTTGTAATGGTTTAAAATCTGGATTGTATGCACCAGGTCCAGCTAAAAGTGAATAAGATGTTTACGCGTGATTCCTTTGCCCACTTCTGTGTGATTTTAAAATTTAGCTCCCATTGAGAATTCAGGCTTTTTCCTTTTCTTCAAAATAAGATATATAATTTTACGATGGCTTTTTGGAGTTGCTCATATTGACCTGGTCCAGGTTGAAAAGCTATTTGCTATCCTATTCTACTGGCAGTTCCAATTCTATGTTTAACTGATTAATGTATACTTCCAAGCAGGAGGTTTTTAATGAGGATATCGATCAGGGTTGTAGTTCTAATGTATTATGCTATTCATACCCCTACTCCAGGAGCTTATTCGACTTTAGGAGGTGGTCTTTGATGAGATGTTCCAAAGGAATAAGCAGCCATAATAAAAAAATAAAATTAAATTATAAGAATGATTCCCAAATACTAAAATCTTTTTCAAACTTATCGATAAATATTGTTCTTACATTAGCTGTAAATAAATAGAGGAAATTACCAAATTGAAAATCTCTATTTCAAAATGGTTTATTTCATTTACTTCAAAAATTATTATAATGTTAAATATTTAATAATATTTTTAATAAGAAAGGATAGATTATTTAATTATCCTTTGATATATAAAAATTATATTATTCAATATAAAAGTATTCTATCAATTTATTATTATCATGATTATTATTATCATCAATTATTATTATTATTATTATTATTATTATTATTATTATTATTATTATTATTATTATTATTATTATTATTATTATTATTATTATACATTAAGTATTTAATCATTTTCTCATTAAACAATCAATTATAGTAACTAATTAGAATAAATTATTTCGTATTTGATTTTCAAGCATGATTTAAAAAATGAATTTGTGGTAGTGTCTATCAGTTATAAAACATAATGAATCTAAATAGTTATCTAAATATACTTATTTATATGAGTAGATATCTATTACTATTTTGTTTTCTCTAATGATTGTTTTTCTAATACAAAAAAAATTAAAAATAATATGGATTAATAATATTTTAGAATAATCATAATCTTTCATATAAAAAGATTATCATTTATACTTTTAATTTATAAAACTTTTGAGCCATCAAAATTAATATATTAAATAGATAATTAATTAATCAAAAATTTATCAAAATGTATAAGCAACCCTAATAGCCTACACCTAGAAATGTTGTCAAATAAACTCCACTTAACACTTAAGAGATACTGCAAAGACTTATGAAAAAAAATTCTAAATCAAAAATCCAATTAATTGATATTGCTGATGATACAAAGATTGTAAAAAATGAGAAATTTGTTTCTAAATCTCCTTGTTCAGGATGGTAGAGCTTTAGAAATTAAAGTTCTGAAAAGGCAATCCATAAAATAAGGCATTAATCTAATGAGGATTTGTAAAAAACTCTAAAAAAACCATGTCATTTAAATCATGTAAGTTCAATGATAGGATTTTAATAAAAAGATGTCATTTAAAATGCTAATGCCTTTTTAAGAGAAAAAAATCTTGAAAATAAACTAGATACTTTGACTTAATAGATCTCAAAATTGAGAGAAAAATCTGAACAATTAGAATTATAGAATAAATTACTATTTGATAATTTATAAAAGTATAAATGTGAAGGCAATTAAGTAATTTTTGGGTTATCATGAAGGAAAGAAATGCTTTGCTTGAAAGGTTGGATCACATGATTGAAATGCAATAGAAACAAGAAGAGAATTTATAGCATATAAAGACTTTATTTAGTGACAATTCCAGGAGAATAAAGACCCAATAATCTTAACCTAAGTAAAGAAGTTTTGGAAAATCTGCTTATATGGGATTCAATATATGAAAATGTTTATATTTAAATTATCTGTTAATAATTAATGAAACAATCACATATGCAACACAAAAGTTGGTTATAATTGTAGAGATTTGAAGAGTATGAAATAAATAAAAAAAAATACCTTGAAAAGGAATAAGAAATGAAATTCAAGAGTTAAGATTAATAAACTTAATAAAAGTAAATTAATTGGATTGGAGACATACATGAAAGATAAACTTTATTGTAAAAGGCAAAATGGAAGTGGATAGAAGAATAGAAGAAACGATTAGATTGGAAAAGAGAGATGGATCAATTGGATGGAGCTACATTTCATCCATAAATATTAAATAAAGATTAAAAAATACGTACTCCAGATTAATTTTATAAAGATAATATAGACTACAAAAATAAAACTGTATAAATAATACATATAATATGTAGGAAAAATAAATATAATAATTAATTAAGTAAAAAGAAGACTCAATTAATAACAGAAGTTGTTCTCCTAAAATAAACAAAAAATCTGTATAGATGGTAGTACAACCTTTTTATGATAGATTAAAAGATAAATAGTTAGAGAAAGAATAGAATTTATTAAAAATTAAAAAAAGTATAACACCTTCATTTAGTCCATAAATTTATTCTCGTAATTTTTAAAGTCGTCAAACATATCAAACTGTTTAATAATTTGCTAATTAGAATTCAACTAAAAATAAAACATTTGAAATTGATTTAGAAAATGTCAAAAATGATTATAAGACTTTTACATTTTTTGAAGACATAAGAAGATCTTAATATTCTTCATCTGAAAACAATTAATAAAATGAACTTAATATAACCAAAAATTTGCTTTTATTAACTGAGAACAGTTAGATATTAAATGCTTAATAGAGTCCATAATAATGTACAGTCAAAAAGTAATAGAGATCTGTAAGTCCTTTAAAATCAATTATGTCCAAAACAACCTAAAAGAATTACTTTAAAAAATGATTTATATATTTTTAATTATTCATACTAATAACTTAAACTCTACAATCTATATAATAGTCTTGTTACATTTTTATTATAAGAATTCCATGATATATTCAAATAGGCTTGAATTAATAAGGATTTTATAAATAAATTTAATCCATAAAAAGTTTAAAACGAAAATTGAAAATGGGAGCTTGTCACACCAAAAGATCAAGAAGATAGAGTAATGAATGGAGGTTCAGTGAAAGACTCACTTCGCAAAGATTAGATTTCATTTTCTAACGATTGTCCCTATATTTAGAACTCGTTGGAGATATTCATTCATTGGGAGGATACTTGTAAGAAAAAATAAACGAGTTGTTTTAAATAACATAAAAACTTACTTTAGTTAAAGAACACTTATAGAAAATAGAATTACTTTATGAAGCATCTGAAATAATAGAATACTTGTACGATGATAAACACTTCAGTTAAGCTTTCCCTATTTTAAGGGAAAGTTTATATGAAATCACACAATTGACATTAGTCACATAGTGATTTATACTAAGCGTTTTTCAAATGATAATTTTTTGTCATTCAATAATTTTTATTCATAAAATCAATACATAAAGCATTTAATCTTCAAGAGGGAAATCGAATAGTATAGTATTAGAGATTGAAAAAAAGAAACAATAGAAAATTGAGTTATTTATATTCAATAATATTCTATAAAATTCAAAAACAATATATTCCTATACTTATTAGATATGAAAAGAGCAGAAACCAATAGAATTTATTATATTTTATAGGTTTCTAAGAATATAAAATAGGAGTACTTAAAATATGAACCACGTTTTATTATTTGATTCAGAATTGTAATTCAAATAATCTGATTCATTAATTGAATTATATAATGTCTCAAACAGAAAATAAGTAACCGAAACCATTGAAGGAAGTCTTGGGACTAAAATATGTCTTTGGTTTTAGAGGTGACATCAAAAACTCAATCCTGTAAGGGACATAGACAAATGTATAGGAGAAATCAACTAAAACAAAATTCATCTATCCTGCAGCAAATAATATAGTCATTTTTGATCCTATTGCTGATAAGAATAAATCATAGGAAATTATTCAGACAGTATTAGGGAGCAAAGGTGTTACATGTTTAACAATGTCATAATCAAGAAGGTAGATTTAAAAATTGTATTTAGATATATTGCATGGTCAGAAGAGAGTGATGCAGGAATAATAGTAATATTAGATTTAAATACTCGTAAAACAAAAATATTGAGTACTACAGATTGCAAATCACGTTATTATGTGAGTCTTGATTTTTCAAGGACAGAAGAATCAAAATATTTAGTAGCATTGAGTGCCCCTCCAGAATAAATGTTGATTCATTGGGCATGGGATAAATCAAAATGTTTAGGAAGCACAATAATAAATGCTAAAGGGGATTCAATTAAATTCCATTAAGTTTTTTATCATCCTAAAGAAGATGATTTTGTATGTGTTATGGGTAATGGAGCTATTAAACCTTATAAATTGATATTAGATAATCCTCCAAAACCAAAAGATTCCCCTTTTTAAAAGAAGAAAGAAGTAAGCATTTAACATTAATTTTTATAAGGAAACCCATTCAACTAATTTCCTCTCTTATTGTATTTTAAGTGATTCTAAGACAATGGTAGTAGGAACAGATAGAGGAGAAGTGTTATATTTTAATGAGAATTGTGAATTCAAATTAGTTCTATCACCACTTTAAAATTCGAATTAGCAATCAATTGAAGGATTTCCAATAGAATGTATTGTAAGATATTCAAATGGATTTATTGTTGGTGGAAGTGATTGTATGATCTACATTTATAGAAAACATGAAGGTGATCTTAAAAATCCATATGTTCGAATTGATAAAAGAATATAAAATAAACAAATAATGGCAAAAATTACAAGTTTATGTCTTACAAATTAAGAAGATAATCTTATTTTTGGAGTTGAATCTGGTTAAGTGTTTAGCATTCCTTTTAGTGCAGATAGAGAAGTAGCAAATGAAGATGAGATTAAATTTGATCATTTAATAGCACCATTTCATAGTGGACCAATTACAGGATTAGATGTTTGCACAAGAAAATCATTAGTAGTTACTGTATCAGATGATAGAAGTATTAGAATTTGGAATTTCAATGAATTGATATTAGAAGTAATGAAAGAATGTGAAGATACACCATTAGCTGTAGCTATTCATCCTTCTGGATTTCATTTGATTGTTTCATTTTCTGACAAAATTGTACTTTACAATTTATTTGAAAAAGATTTAAATTCATTTAAAGAAATTCATATAAAGAATTGTCAATAAATTAAATTTGCTCATGGAGGTCATTTATTTGCTGTAGCCAATTAAAATTTAGTTTAAATTTATTAATTTTATACAGGTGAAAATCCATAAAATTATATATTTAAATAATCAACAGGAAATATTTCAACTATTGAATGGGATATTGATGATTTAGGATTCTATACTGGAAGTGATAATGGTTTTGTACTCTATTGGAGATTAGAAGATAATTAAAATAAATTATAATTGGCTATGATTCAATCTTAACCAATTGAATGTATTTGTACTCCAAAAACTTATGCCAATATTGAATTATAAAAAGTTTATATAGCAGGTCCGTATGATGGATAATATTGTATTTATGAATCTCAACATCATACAAAGATTTAAAAGGAAGCAACTGAAGGTACAAAGAAGGAAATTCCACTATATCCCATATAAACTGGATGTAGAGTAAGTAAAATGGCAATTTTTAATAGTGAAAAAATTATGCTATTTGCTACTTGTCAATTGGCTAATACATCTGAATTCACTTAAAAGTAAAACATTAAAAATATGAAATTTGAACCAGGAGGTCTCAGATTTGCCAAATATCCTCTTGCACCTGAAGAAATCATAGAAATATAACCTCATATTAAAGGTATTACATAAATGAAAGTATCATATGATGATTCTTATGTTTTTACTGCTTCTTATGATAATTCTTTGATTATTTATGATGTTAAAGATCAAAATTCTAAAATTGAATTCAAAGATGGAGGATAGGCATATGGTGTTTAAGCTTATGCTGATGAATTTTTAATGCAAAGAGATTAATATAAAAAGAAGATTGCTAAAATAGAGGATTTAAAATAAAAAATTAAAGAACATGATATCAATTAAAAGATTAAATAGAATATGTATACAAAGGAAAAAGATGAATTGATTAGAAAATTAGAAGAATAAATTGATTAATTGGAAAAAAGAGAAAAAGCAAAAATTTAAGAATTAGAAAGTGCTATTAATAAATTAGAAAGTGATTTCAAAGAAGAAAAGAAATAACTTTATGAAAATCATGAAAAGAATAAAAAAACTACTGAAAATGATTTCAAATAAAAAATGGCATTAGAATCTTAAAGATTAGAAGAATTAACTAAAGAGAAATAATTGAAACTATAGGAATTTTAAAGATATATTAAAGAATAAAAGGATAAGAGTACAGAAACTAAAAATGAAAAGAAAAGAGAATATGAAAAATAATTAAAAAAAGAATAAGAATTATATGAATAATTATAAAGAGATAAGGAAGAGAATTAAAGAAGATTTATTGAAGAAAGAAATAGATTAGAAGATGATGCAGAGAAAGAAATAGATAAAAAAAAGGAGATTAATGAGGCTGAAATGAAGAAACTATCAGATGAATTAGATAAAGCTGAATTGGAAAAAAGAACAAAAAAAACTGAGTTTGATAATGTTTAATCTACTTTAGAATAAGCTAATTCAAAAGTTAAAGAGATTATGGAAGATATTGCATAAAATTAAGAATTAAATAGATAATATTAAAAAGAAAAAGAGAGTCATGATAAAGAAATAAAAGAAAGAGATAAAACAATATAAGATAAATAGAAACGTATTTATGAATTAAAGAAAAAAACATAAGAATTAGAAAAGTTTAAATTTGTATTGGATTATAAAATAAAAGAATTGAAAAGAGATATTGGACCAAGAGAGGAAGAGATTACAAAAATGAAAGAATAAATTACTAATATGAATACAGAAATATTGCATTTTAAAAAGGTTAATGCAAATCTTGGATTGATTGTAACTGATTTAAATTTGAGATAAGCAGGTATGAAATAAGAAATTGAAAATCAATAATAAATTATTGAAAGCAATTCTTAATATATTAAAGCCTTTGAATATGATATTTCAGAAACTCATCCACATTTAGATGTAATAAATATTTATAATTATTATTATTAAGGATTTTAAGAGACTCAAATCTGATATGCTTAAGTTATTTAATAAATATGTTTAAAGTGTTGTTTCAAAGAAGAAATTTGAAAATGTAGATGTATAAAAGGAGTTCATTAAAGAAAGAGCACATTTAGAGACTACAAATAAAGGATTGAAGGAGAAGTTTTCTAAGAAATTGAGAGTTCATAAATAGGATAATAATAGAATTATGAGTTAGAATGTAGATTTGATTAGTGAGATTAATGATTTGAGGAGAGAGATTAAATTATTATAAGATGAAGAGGATTTGAAATGTCGTTAAATTGAGTAAATGAATGATCAACCTGAAGAGAGAGAACTTGATTAAATGATTGAAGAATAAGAAATAGAAATTAATTAATATAGAGAGAAATTATAATTTCTTAAGGAAGCAGTTCAACAGAGAAGATTATAATAAAATATTAACTCTGATAGTGATCATTAAGAAAATGAATAAGAATGAAGAATTATATTTAGATATAAAATTGTAATTAATTTACATAAATTAATATTAATGATTATTAAGAGAGGTCTGAATTTTTCACGTCTCATTAAAGAAGCTTCTAAATTAATACATGGAAGGCAATATATCGATCATTTTTGGTATTTGAAATCAAAGTATACTAATTTTATAACAATAGTCCAGAGTCACTTTAACCTCTTATAGATAATGAAACAAAAATAAAAAACTTATTTTTTGAGTAACCTTAAATAAAAGAAATATTTAATG